TGGGCATCGCCTGGTGGGAGAAATGGTATCATGGGAAAGGGGGGGGGGGGTGGTGCACTATGAACATGACGGACAAAGATAGCGGAAAAAATATACAGTTCCTCATTCTACCCTCGACAATTGCTGTGGTAGACAAAGGAACACCGCTTCACTGCTATTATGTAAAAATGTGTAGGCAGGTAAATATGTATGTGACACCTGTTTTGCACAGTTTTACATAATAGCAGTGAAGGGAAACCACACCTTGAATCTCGCTCTATTGATCAAAGAACATGAATCTATCATCAAAGAGTTTCCGAAGAACCAGGACAGGGGAAATTAAAACTTCCTTTCACCTTTTCGTTCAGCACTCCCCCCTTTCCGGTTCTTGAACGATCCAAAATATGTCTAGACCATGTTTTCAAAACTTGCACTAAGATATTTTTCTTTTCTTTTTTCTTTCTTTCTCTCCAACCTTTTTTTACGAGCTGTGATTTGTAAAGGAGATGTACATGAAATGAGGGCATGCCTGAGGTGAATTTCGTCCGTTCATTCCTGACGTAATTAAAATGTCTAGTACTGTAACAGTCAAACCTGTCTATAGCGACCGCACAAGGGAAACACAAAAAGTGGCCCTTTTTAGACAGATTCCCTTAGTACATGGTTCAACGAAAAACAATTTTCGAGGGAAACAACAAATGTGGCCTTTGTAGACAGGTGGTTTTTGTAGACAGGTGGTCTTTGTAGACAGGTGGTCACTACAGCAGGTTTGACTCTATATTCGATGATTTAAAGCCCTTGGCAGGGATTTGCCAGCCCCCAACACGCGGCAAGATGAGTTCATGGATGTATGTGCAAAATTTCAGATCGAAATTTTTCTCAATCTGTTAAGATTGAAGCCCTCGTTTTGTACACAACAAATATTAAGGTGAATACAAAACTGCCAATTTCACAATTTAAATACGAAAACAATAATGATCGTAATTGTGCTAATAAATGGAAAATTTGCAAGATACCTTTAAGAAAGTTTCCAACCATCATATTTCAAATTGTGTTCCTTTTTGAAGTTTCGAGATATTCACGGTGCAACTGCCTGCAACGCTCTTTTAATCAAGTTTTACTATAGACCCCGGAGCAGACCAAATGACAAGAAAAATGACGATTGCCATGAAAAAAGTTTCCTTTATTCTCGGTAACCTATAGAACATCAAATGACCAAATATATTGGACTTGCCCAATTAATAACCCTCCGTTACAATACATGAGCAACGAGGTAAATTTCTCATTATTTGGGGAACATTTTTCTGATCATGAAAGCTTGACAAAAACCTGCTGTTTATGTGTTAAACAACAGAAAGTCAAAAACGAAAATGCACCTTGTTCATCGGAATGACAGCATATCACACGTCCAAAGGGGTAACCCGACACATGCTCCGCCGACATTTACTCCGCAAAACGCGACAATTGCTCCGCGACATTTGCTTCGCCGACAATTGCTCTGCCGACATTTGCTCCGCCGACAATTGCTCCGCCGACATTTGCTCCGCCGACAATTGCTCCGCAAAACGCGACAATTGCTCCGGTGACAAATGCTATTCGAACGACAGTTGCTCCGCCGACATTTGCTCCGCCGACAATTGCTCCGCCGATATTTGCTCCGCCGACTATTGCTCCGCAAAACGCGATAATTGCTCCGGTGACATTTGCTCCGCCGACAATTGCTCCGCCAACAGTTGCTCCGCCGACATTTGCTACGCCTGAAGCGACAATTGCTCCGGTGACATTTGCTCAGCCGACAATGGCTCCGCCCCAAAAAGTGTCCCATAAAATACAAATGTTACTAGTACTACGACAAATGCTTCGCCGACAATATTTTTTTTTCACGGGTTATTTTCGTAACGCTTCGCTTGCTCACTACCGCCCCTCCCTAAAATAAGATCCTAGATCCGCGCCTGCATTAAAATATATAGCTATGATGTTGACTAAGTTGACAAAATAATTTGTATATTTATGTAGTCGAGGAAATTGATCATTTGCGCATACGCAAGTACTATAGATAGTCCATAGGAAAAAATTTTTAGCCTTCGGCCCCGGGTTTATAGGGTTATTTTTAGATATTGAGACACTTAATTTTGTCGGTAATTGGTGGCTAGTTTTGCCGGTAATCGTTGGCCTCTACACCACCCCCCCCCCCCCCCCCACTGAAAAGGTCTAGCGACGCCCCTGATACAATGTATTAGGTCATCGTGGAAGTTCTAGAAAGCAACAGGGGAGGGATCAAAATAAGCTTTGAAGGGCACTTATACGTAAAGAAGAGAACCCTTTCAGACGGGAAAATTAGATGGCAGCCTTTCTGCTTATTCCCATTTATACAAATCATTTTGTTGCAGTTTGATGTCAGTTCTTCACGATAAGCCAATTGCTCTTCTTCCGGTGGTTCCGTGAGTCCCTTAAAGTCAGTGAAAACAAAGTACTCGAATGAGACGGGGTGTTTTACACACTAATATATAATAGTAAAGCTACATACACTTAACTGAAGGAAAGAAACCTATAAAAAACGGACTGGATATTATTGAAAATACTATTCTAAACAAGAATGTACTACATGTACTACATTACGTTACAATTTTACGAGAGAAATAGAACTCGAGAGGGGAAGAAAAGAAGAAGTGATGAAAATGAAAGAAGACTAATAGCATGAGAGGAAAGAAAAGAGCTAAGAAGACAAGAAAAGGGTGTAAAAAGGAAAAGGAAGAGCAAGAGAGAGAGAGAGAGATATATAGCCTTGAGCTTTGGATCTGCTAATGAGTAATAAATGAAACAGATTTTGAGCGGAGTAATTATCTTTCGCCGGAGAACTTGCATAAGAAGCTAAAACTTAATATTTTTTTTAAAATCAAACATTATGGGGAATAGCAAAAAAAAAAGGCTGAGCATTTATTGCACTTATTGCCAGAGGAGCATTGTCTTTTCCGGGTTACTTTTGGGGAGGAGCAACAATTATTGTCGTAGTAGCCTTTGTATTTTACGGGGCACTTTTTTAGCGGAGCAAATGTCACCGGAGCAATTGTCGCGTTTTGCGGAGCAATTGTCGGCGGAGCAACTGTCGTTCGAGGAGCATTTGTCACCGAAGCAATTGTCGCGTTTTGCGGAGCAATTGTCGGCGGAGCGATTGTCAGCGGAGCAAATGTCGGCGGAGCAAATGTCGGCGGAGCAATTGTCGGCAGAGCAAATGTCGGCGGAGCAAATGTCGGCGGAGCAAATGTCGGCGGAGCAACTGTCGGCGGAGCAACTGTCGCGGAGCAAATGTCGCGGAGCAATTGTCGCGTTTTGCGGAGTAAATGTCGGCGGAGCAATCGTCGGCGGAGCATGTGTCATAGAACCCCCAAAGGGGTAGCATGTGAACAAAATCAATATACCGTAATTAACGGTGTATAAACCGCACTTTTTTGCCGCCGAAAAAAGTCGGAGGTGCGGCTTATACACGGTACACCAATTTTTTTTTTTTTTTTTTTTTTTAAGGGCGAAAAAGAGGGGTGCGATTAATACACAAGGGCGGTTTATACACCGTTAATTACGGTATGCAATCTTTCACCCATTGATTTTCACTGCTTATCTTGATTTAACATACTATTGAACTGTATTATATTGTTTAAATATGCTCTGATCCTATATATAATAATAGTTCAGTTCTTGTATAGCGCATAATACGTTATGAAATAACACCTCTATGCGCTTCCAAAGAGCTATTACCCTAGCTTTAGCTCCGGCAGCCTTATCAGCGCACAGTGCATTTCAAGGAATAACCCTACCAGGTACCCATTTACCTCACCTGGGTTGAGTGTGGCAAATGTAGATTAATGTATTGCCAAAGGACATTAGTGCCGCGGCGGGAGTCGAACTGCGGACCTTGTGATAGACAGTCCGGTGACATATTAGCCTCTTGTCGATGGCCCTCGCGTTGTTGGAGTCTGTAAATTCTGGCGAGCGAAGCGAGCCAGAAAAACCGCGCTCGGTTTCTCAGGATCGCTTCGCTCGCCAGAATTTACGGACTCCAACAAGACGAGGGCCATCGACAAGAGGCTAGTGACGTATCCACTCGACCACAACACGTTGTGAACTATAATTTTATAAAACTGAGCCCCTACCCACAAGCAGTTCCACAAGCAATATCCCAACATTTTATATTGTGATTTTATTGCTGTATTTTGCCCTCGTGTTCACATCATTTTAAAATGGAAAATAAATAAATTGAAATTTCACTCCCGAATTTAAAGGGCATCATATGAGATTCTCTTTGTCACTTTGAATCCCAACACCTACCCAAAGTAATAGGATTAAATTTTCAGTTAGAGCTCGAAAAAGGTACATTTTCTAATCATTATATATTACCTCTTTATCAGTTGGTTAGGAGTACTCTCCATTCTGATGAGAAATACATCATTTTGAAGATGATAATGCTTTATTTAGAATCAGACCTAAAACCTGACTGTAAATATAGATTCAATAGTCAAATGAAGATTTTGAATGATCGAAATGAAAACAATTAGACTTAATCTGAATGAAAATCACAAACAAAACATGTCTGGCGACTTTCGAGAGTACTTAATTGAAATGGAGGTCCGTGAGAAAAAGGGAGTCATCACTTTTGCATGTTAAAAACCTTCTCCATTCATCGCATTTGTAGAGGTGTTGTGGACTAGTGGATAAGTCACCCGACTGCAGATCACAAGGTAGGGGGTTCAAGTCCCGTCGCGGTACTAATGTCCTTTGGCAAGACGTTAATCTACATTTGCCACTCTCCACCCAGGTGTAAATGGGTACCTGATATGCTTGATCGCTAGTTACTTTGGCAGCTCGACTACGACCAGGGTAATATGTGTAAAGCGCCATGAGCGTCAGAACCTGACGGATACCGGCGCTATATAAATAACCATATTATTATTTATTTTATTAAACATACATTTTAATATCATTTATATCGTTAAGAATAATCACAATCATCTCCATAATCATTTCAGGTGCGTTTCTCATTCCCTATTTCCTGAGTGTGTTCTGTGCGGGGATCCCCCTCCTGGTGATCGAGATAGGGCTTGGGCAGTTCACGGGGCAAGGACCAGTCACGGCATGGGGGATGATCAGCCCCCTCTTCAAAGGTAAGTTCTGAAAAGGGGGGGGGGTGTTATGCGAGATTCAGTCCCTAACTTCAGTGGTGAGCATTTGCCATTTTAAGGTATGAAAGCTTACTGGGTTCTGTCTCGTTTAACAATGTTATCAGTGTCTGTGATATGGTGTAATATTGAAGCCCTAAATACATTGCGCTTCAAAATGACCATGAAGTGCCTCAAAAAGTAAAAATCTTTGAGTGACCGGTTTTACCATACTCATTTGCCCCAATAGACTGTAGTGTTATGAAAACCGTTTGGCAAACGCAAAATTAAATTACGATTTTCAATCATAAATATCTTGATAATCAGACAGGCGATCGGCTTGTAAAAGTCATGGGATTCCTTCATGACCTAAAGGTTTGTAATTATGATTGCAGCATGAGCTAAATCAAGGATTTTGTTTAAGGATCTGAGACAAAGTTACCGGATCCCTTTAAACTATCTATCTATCTATATTGTTTTATTTCTTTTTTCTCTCTTCTACTTCATATTTCTTTCTTTTCTTTCTTTCTTTCTTTTTCCTATTTCTTTCTTTTTATCTCTCCCGTTTTCTTTCTTTCTTCTTTGTTTGCCTATTTCTTTGTTTGACGTGTGCTTTTTCTAACTTTCTTTCTTTTATTCTTTCATTCTATCTTTTTCTTTCTTTCTTTTTTTTCTTTCTAAATTTAAGAGATATCACCAGAAATATGAATTACTAGTTTTATTTATCTTCTATTTCAAGATTGTTCAACCGCAAACACGTCCAAGGAAAACGAAGAATAACAATGTCTTAATTTATTTTGCCTTCTGTTTTGTACAAGCATAATTTTCCCACTCAGGGGTCCTTAACCGTATGCATGTTATATTTAGATCATTTTACGTACACAATAAACATTACATCTGTTTTAATATTCTGATTCCTCGAGCGAGAGATCGAAAAATAATTGAATTATTTGTTTTTTTCAGGCATTGGTTGTGCCGGGCTCGTCATCCAAGTCTTCCTCGACACTTATTATGTCGTCATAATGGCTTGGGGCTTATACTATCTTCTCTTCTCCTTCAACGCCGTCTTACCCTACTCAACGTGCTCCAACGATTGGAACACGCCTTGCTGCTTCGTCCAGGCGGCGAAGGAAAAAGTGATCGACGTCGATACGAACGGCAGCATGACCAGGGATACGATGACGGGGATTAATGGGACGATGGCGACGATGATGTCGGGTTCGTTTTTCAATATGAGCGAGGAATGTCCGAATGGAACGACGTCTCCGACTGTCGAGTTTTGGAAGTAAGGGCTGTTTCATGTTCAATAACTTTTAATTGGATAGATAAACAAGTTTGGGGGCAGGGGCGTCGATCCACAAAGATGGCGGGGGAGGGGGGGGGGGGGGGGTTGATGTAATGAGAATTATACCCTGCATGCAAAGTATACTCATTTAAAGCTTATCTGTAGTACTAGTTTATAGGAGGGATTAGACCACACCGCAAGGTCACTGGACAGGTGGCTATCTCGTCAACTCAGCTCTCAATTAACATAAGAAAAGAGGATCATGGGGACCATTGGTCACCGATTAGGCATTGTTTTCTATATAGAGGGAGCAGGTATAGCTACAAGTAGGACAGTGTGGCTTTAAATCACATGGGTATGGCCAGCTACAGCCTATGCTTGGCCGGTTAGGGAGGGGAGGGGGTTGTCGAAACAGGGAATGATATTCTGTTGTACCTATTTAATACCGAAATATCTTTTTGAGAGGAGAGGGGGGGGGGGGGACGTAAAATTAATTAGATAAATACTGCGGAAAAAATAACCAGAATGGATTATTCTCCTGAAAGAGAGCATGAACATGCTGGAGGAAATGCTAACGTCGGGATTATTTTGCCACCCCCCCCCCCCCCAATTTCAACGACACTGGATCCACTCGGGTAGTGCACCTCAATAGATGCCCCAAGGAAAAAGACGGAATCAGAACGAAAAAACAGCGCCTGCATGGCGTACTTGCGTTTGGCATTGCGATCATCGAGCTGGTGGCGGTGGCACACGACTTTAGCGCATTTGCAAGCGATGTACCACAATGGTATTATAATAATCTTTTTGACAGAGTATGTACCGACTTTATATGAATTACTAGGGTCTGTGGTTATCATATACCTCACACCTGACGTGATATACAGTGTATGATTCATCCATTGCACGTACCTAGCTATTCTTCGCCCCCTTGATTATCACAGAAGCCACTACAGGGGATTCAACTCTGAACAGGGAATTCTCAGGTGTCTACAAAGTTTTATTTCCTTGTTTCAATTTTTGGAAGGGGGGGGGGGGGGGAGGTGTGCACCTGTAATTTTAAGTAGACGAAATGGGAGAGAACATTAACAATGAGTTGGGGATATATGAGAGTGGGCCGTATCGTATCGTTTTTACCTTCCCTCTGTTATATCCTTTTCTTTCTCTCAATTTATCTCCCTATCTCCACTTTTCGTGTGTAGTAGATCAGCCGAAACACGATTTTGTTACAGTTTGGACTGCTTTTTGGGGGTAATAAATGGCATCCATGCTAAAAATCTTGCAATAATACTAAGGAATAAGATACAAGTAGATGTCACGCGCATGTTTTACTATTAAAAATGTCATTTTTAGCTTATATATAAGAACTCTAGTTCTGGTAAAAAAAAAGAAAATTAATTCTCACAGAATTAAACGAAACTTACACTGAATGTTCAAGATGACAAATAAATGACATGTGCCAAACAATTTTGGAAGAAAATGTATACTGGCAGAGTAATGAGCATAGAAAGACAAGGAAATCAAGGTAGTGAGCCCCGACACCATGTGTGTTGTCACATATATAGCTTTCTGTGTACAGTGCTTGTTACTTTACCAAGTTTACCAAATTTATAATGATTTTGATGACTCCAGAACCTTGCAGTGCACTCCAATACTTACATGCTACATGATCAACTGTTTCTGATCCATTCCACACCTTTCTTTTACAATGCAATCGCATTACCAGAACTCACCTTTATCTTTAACATTCGAAAGAACGTCAAAAATCAAATTACAATTGATATAGTTTCATTATGAGTTTGAAATAAACAAACCTGTTATTATACATTTGAATGTTGGATATTACACACATACCACATTATGTATGGCGCAATGAAATAGAAAAGTGTAATATACTGAGGATATGGGTTACACAAACTAATCATTTGTTAAAGTTTTGACACACCATAAATCTGTTCATTGAAACTCTTTTTTTTTTTGTAAATTAAACAAATAATACAATATATGTTATAATGCCACACCCAGACAAGAAATGATCACATAATGTGATGGATAATTAATTGATGTCTTTTTACAGGATGCACATTTTGAGCGGAAACACTTTTCGCCATTCATTAGGGAGAGGCACTTGCAAAAGAATCTTCCGAACTAACTCCAAATTGATAAAGATTTAAAAAAAAATCACTTATTGAAGTGGATACTATTCTCCTTACCATCATTTCTGTGTCAAAATCTTATCTCAATTAAGGGTAAGTTGGAGGAAGATGTCGGATTCGGGAAGAGAAGGAGGTTTAATACATCTTTTTTTATCATTGTATCACCCATGGGTGTCGATCTGTCACTGATACCTATTCATCAGGGGGGGGGGGATGATCTATTCATTCATCCCCCCCCCTGATGAATAGGTATTACGTAAGTATCGACACCACTGGTATCACCCTCTCTTTATTTAAGTGTGTGTGTGGGGGGGGGGGGGGGTAATGTCAATTTTGTTTTACCCAAATGGTTTGTACTGCATGTAATTTAAAAGTCTCGGGCCTCAATAAGTTAAAGCTCGTTTGTACTAGTTTGGCCAGGGGTGATTAGACCTCCCTGCAAGGTCACTGACAGGTGGTTATCTCATCAAATCAGCTCTCAATTAACATAAGAAAAAGGGGATCATGGGGGACCAACAGGCACCGATTAGGCATCGTTTGCTATATAAAGGGCGCGAGTAGCTATAAGTAGTGCAGTGAAGCTTTAATATTCATTCCATAAAATCGTCGAACATTCTCGTTCTTTCATTGAGAGCTGGGAGCTCAATAGAACAGACAGTAAATTAGGAGCCCTTCCTTTGAAGATGTTTTCATATTTTTTCCTTCTTTCTTTCACATCCGGGTTTGAAGCCCCTGAGAACTGACTGATGGAAATAATAATCTTGCTAACCCCGTCCTTGTAAGTTGTTGTCAAGGTACATGACTATGATTCACAAAAAGGAGATCCAGCGGTTTTTAAAAGTTTATTAAGGGGTGGGGATATAGACCCAAACTTTGTGAGTACACACTGGTCCGAGTACATTCTTCTTGCGTAATTTTATTTCTTGGTGACCCTTTGCTCCGGCAACATCTGACCCGGTGTTTTTTAAAGGCCCACTGCACTACTTATAGCTACTTGCGCCATCTATATAACAAACAATGTCTAATCGGTGACCATTGGTCCCCATGATCCTCTTTTTTATGTTAATTGAGAGCTGATTTGATGAGATAACCACTTGTCCAGTGACCTTGCAGTGTGGTCTTATCCCTCCTGTACACTAGGACAGATGGCCTTTAACTAAAAGATGTAGAGTTAGGGTTGGGGTTGCAATTAATTGGGTTTTAGGCTAGGGTCATTGTTACGTTCAGGCGCGTACGCAGGATTTTTTCAAGGGGGGGGGGGGGGTTAACATTTATAAATCGGGCCGAAAATTTCGCAACGACTCAGCCAGCCGCTGAATAAGCGGGGGGGGGGGGGGGGGGGGGGTGAGAGGACACATTTTTTTTTTTTTTTTTTTTTTTTTTTTGGGGGGGGGGGGGGGGGTCTCGAAATTTGAAAATTTGACATTTTGCTCCGTTGGGGGGGGGGGGGTAAGGTCAGCTTTTTAGGTCAACTATGGGAATATTTTTTTTAAATAAAATAAAAAATCCAAAAGGGGGGTTTTAACCCCCAAAAACCCCCCCCCCCCCCCCCCCCCCCCCCCCCCCCCCCCCCCCCCCCCCCTGTGTACGAGCCTGGTTACGTTTAGGGTAAGGTAAAGTGTTTGGTCTAGGATTGAAGTTAGGAATTTGGTTAGTGTACGTTGGAAACTGATCGCTGTGTAATTATCATTGGATCATGTGTCGTAATAGCTCTTTGGAAGTTCGTCAAACACTGAAGGAGGAGGATGCCTGCTTCCTGTACCCCCTCCTAGATCCGAAAAAAGGATTCATGATCCCCATCATCGAACATGAAGTGGTGTCATGACGATGACGATGCTTAAACACAAGTTCCCTTGTGACGTTTACCAAGGATCCGATCAAAATATGTTACAATTCATTTATCATTTTGTAGACAATATGGATTATTTGTTAATTCATTCGTGGGGGTGTTCCTAGGTTTTCCCAGACAATGCAATACAAGTAATTCTCTCGTTAATAATAGATTTGTTTACCCAGGGAAGCCTCATCAGCTTCGGCTACTGTTCTTCCAGATGGCGCACTGCAATTATTATGACCCCAGCAATTACCAGATACCCATGTGCAACTGAGTGGAGAATGGCAATTGTGGATTGATGTCTTGCCAAAGGACGTCAGTCCCGGGTTGAGATTCGAAGATTAAACCCTTGGATCGAGAGTCATGTAAATGACCACTATACAGGGCGTATCATAATAAAGGATATTGAAGTTTAATGACGATTTATATGAAAACTACTGATTTCATAATCAAGCATTTTATGTCTGTTGTAAAGGACAGAATGTCCTCTTGTTAATGACACCCCGATCATACTACTACTGTCACAGTTGACTGAATAACAAAGCATTGCTGTCCACCATGTGAAAGGTGCACTGTGCCAAGTTTGATAACATTCTTTCTTAGACACATAATCCACTCATTGTTCAGCATTTCAATATGTCTGGGCTGACACAAGCACTAATCTTTAGAATTTATCTGTGAATGCTAACTTGTCACAGTACACCTTTCACATGGTGGACAGCAATGCTTTGTTAATCAGTCAACTGTGACAGTAGTAGTATGATCGGGGTGTCATTAAAAAGAGGACATTCTGTCCTTTACAACAGACATAAAATGTTTGATTATGAAATCAGTAGTTTTCATATAAATCGTCATTAAACTTCAATATCCTTTATTATGATACGCCCTGTATACCTCGACAATGGTGGCCGCACTTCCTAGCATAATAAGTGAAAATCAAGTCCATGATATACCATCTACAACTAAATTATTCGTACCACTGTGAATTTGATGTTTTCTTTTTCTTTTTCGTAACTCAAGATATAAAGGTGGACTGGTTGAATTTAATTCGCTCGTATTATCATTTTCCCTCTTGTCCGTTTGTACATATCTTATATTTTCCTCTTGATAATTGTTTCTATTTACCTTTACCTTTACCCGAGATTCTGAAAGAATGCAGTTGGGCTTCCAGTTCAATTTCATTTTCTTCCTTCTCGTAGTTGGGTGTCTTCATCTTGGTAAGTTTGTCTGGCTCAGTTCTGTGTCGGGTATTCTACTCATATGGGGAGCAGAAACGCTTGTCTGTCCATATACCCGATCCAATCTGGCTTTAAAGGCATTCACTGTGGTACTAGTGACTATTTAAACCATTTTCTTCTCGTCTTCTCTAATTTGTCTCCTGATCAGTCGGAAGGTTCTTCAGATCCATCTTTCTGAGGGTATCCATGATGTAGGAGCAGTGAGCTGGCAGCTCTTTCTCTGTCTCATTCTCGCCTGGTTCCTTATCTACCTCTGTATATGCAAGGGAGTCAAATCATCGGGGAAGGTGAGCCGGGGGCGTTTCACAAAACTTGTCATCAGTGACAAAATGACAGTTTTGTTATAAGCTATTGAAATCCTTGCTTGTGATTGGTTATCAGCAGATTTGTCACTGATTTTTGTCATTTGTCATTGAAAAAGGCTTTGAGAAACCCCCCAGGTCATTTTATAATAATAATAGCATGATATCAAAATATGTCTCGTTCACCAAGGGTATAGCCTCATCAGTATATTTAAACATGTTCTTCCCGAGGGCCCTGCAATTATATTATTACCCCGGCTTTAGCCGAGCTACCATTAAAAAGGGGATCAAGTATTCAAGGAGCGGAGTGTGACACAATAATGTAGATTAATATATTACCAAAAGACTCGATCCACGAACCATGCGATCCACTGTCTGGTGACATATCCACTAGACCTCGACACCTCTTACTTTTGCCACTCCGTACCCAGGAGAGGAAAGTGAAAGATGTGGCCCCCTATTCAATGGAGTTGCAACTGATCTCAAATTTATCATTTTTTTAATAATTTGTTTAAAGATAACTAACAATTCCTCCTCTCTTTTTCTCCTTTTCTCCTTCTTCTTCTTCTTCTTCTTCTTCACCTTCTTCTTATTCTTAATTTTATTCTTTTTATTATCATTTTTCTCATTCTTCTTTTCATCATCCGTCACCTTCCCCTCTCCTCCTTCATGAGTGTGTGTGTGTGTGTGTGTGTGGGGGGGGGGCGGTGGTACAACGTCATTCCCCATCTTCCATAATTCCTGTCCCTCTACTCTATCACCCCTGACATCTCTGGTATTCTCATCATGTCGAGACTTTTAATTACACAAAATCAATCATCTGGAATTTTGCTTTTGATACAGGTAGTGTATGTGACGGTTCCGTTCCCATATATACTTCTCACCATCCTTCTCGTACGTGCTGTGACCTTGCCAAATGCTGTGGATGGAATCATCTTCTACCTCAAACCGGATACATCCAAACTGAGAGACAGTCAGGTAAGGCTACGGTCAAATCGATATGTGTCAAGCCTTGTGGTCACTCTGCACTCTACGTTGTGGCCCGAATTCACAAAGGAGGTTTGTCGACAAACCGAGGTTTATGTACGCCATAATTATGACGCGTTTTGACGCGTTTTTTTACAAACCTGATTTGTAAAAACGCGTCGAAATGCGTCATATGAAGCACGAAAACCAAGGTTTGTCAAACAACCTCCTTTGTGAATTCGGGACATTATGTCTGTCCCACATAACTGAGAAAACCCGAAGATCACCGATCACTTTACGATCCGACATTTGGAAGAATCGGGATGAATCTACCATTCGAATACATCATATCATACTATCAATTTCTGATATACAGTGCGTCCCAGAAAAAACGAAACCGAGAAGTATCGATGTTCTATCATACCTTAATCACAACTATAATTAATAAATGATACATATTTGGAAAGCTTAGAGTTTCCTCTTTCATGTGATGCTACTCAGATAATGCATATTTCACGCATGAGTGATTAAAACCAATTTGAAGGAAGGAAACCAAAAAGACATTTGGCGGGCGGTATCTGAATTTCGAAGAAGAATTCACATTTCTAGAAAGTTGAGTTTCTGCCTTTTCGTATGACACATCAATCAGGAAAAATGAGCGAGGAAAAATGAGCGAGGAATAACAAAGTTCTGTTTGTTTAAAGTAGCCCTTACATTTTCATAATTTTAACAAACGAATTCGTTTTTACTGGGTGCCTGCCGTAGCAAAAAGCAGATTTGACAAAAGACTTAACTCCGTTTCGTTGACAATCAGCCATGCATGAAGACTCTCGTCTACGGCTGATTGTCAACGAAACGGAGTTAAGTCTTTTGTTAATTCGTTTATTGATACGGCAAGCAGCCAGTGAAAACGAATTCGTTTAATAAAATTATGGAAATGCAAGCACTACTTTAAACAAACAGAACTTTGTCATTCCTCGCTCATTTTTCCTGATTGACGTGTCATATGAAAGGGCAGAAACTCAACTTTCTAGAAATGTAAATTTTTCTTCGAAATTCAGATACCGCCCGCCAAATGTCTTTTGGTTTCCTTCCTTCAAATTGCTTTTAATCACTCATGCGTGAAATATGCATTATCTGAGTAACATCAACTGAAAGAGGGGACTCTAAGCTTTTCAAATATGTATCATTCATTAATTATGGTTGTGATTAAGTTATGATAAAACATCGATACTTCTCGGTTTCGTTTTTTCTGGGACGCACTGTATAATGTAGTAGTATTCTGGTTGTAATAAGTGTAATAGCCTTTAAATTGAATGATATATCAAGTATCACATATCAAGTATAATTTCTCCTAATTTTGATTAAAACTCATTAGCATGCAACTGAGTTTAAACAGTTTATAGAATGAAAACATTCTACATTGATAACATAAATTAATATTTAGATGACTATCATATCCGTTACATCTTACCTAAAAAAAAAATATTCAATCAACATCATGAGGTCAAGTTTTTACATAAATTTCAGGCAGGCATTCTATTTTACCTATAACTTACTTTTAGATTAATCATAATTATCATTGTGACAGTCCTGGTTAACACAGCATTCTGTCTTCTCGAGTAGGTCTGGCTAGACGCTGCAACACAGATCTTCTATTCCAATACATTGGGACAAGGATTCTTGGTCGCTCTTGGAAGCTATAACAAGAGAAATCACAACTTTGTCAGGTAAATATTACCTCACTAGGCAGGGGCGTATCCAAGAGTTTGCAATGGAGGGGGGAGGGGGGATTATTCGGGAGAATCATAGCAGTATGATACATTTATATGGGACATTACATGAAAAGCGTGCGCATGTAATCCAGCTACTTGGAAGTCGGGTTTTATTTAATTCAATTAAACAATTAACAGTATTTATAGTATACCATTTTTAATTGAAAGATAGGCAGAGAGATAGAGAGAAAGAGAAAGAGAGAAAGAGAGGGAAAGAGGAGAGAAAGAATAGGAAAGAGGATAGAGAGAGAGAGAGAGAGAGATAGAGAGATAATCTTCCATCAATACCAGGGGCGTTGGAAAATGCAGAAAATCAAAAAAGTACAGGGTGACTCGGGGGGGGGGGGGTCTTACCTACTGTGCCAACAAAATTTATTCACAGGAAAACACAAGTTGTCAAACAGCCAACATGATGGCGAAAAAATATAATCCTGATTTGTCAGTTTGCTGACAAGGATGAACAGTCTTTATTATCTACGAAATTACCTGCCAAGTACTATTAAGGAATAAAAACTACTGGGCCAGAAGGGATTAGACCACACAGCGAGGTCACTGACAGGTGGCTATCTCACTAACTCAGCTCTCAACTTACATAAGTAAAAAAGGATCATCGGGGACCAAAATGCACCGATTGGGGAAGTTTTCTATATAGAGGGAGCAAGGGAGCAAGTAGCTACAAGTAGGACAGTGGGGCTTTAAGTAGTCAAAACTCATGTCATATACGATGGATATACTAACCGAAACTAGCGTATAGTCATAGCATGAAATTTGAAGTGTTGTTCGAAACATATCAACAATATTTGCAAATAGATGAAGCTACTTCAAGTAATACTGGTGGTGAATTAATATAGAGACTGTTCCACTGGAAAAAAAGAATGCTTTGAGATGTCATCGGTGTTTAGTATCGAAGTGCGTGGCCAGGCATTGAGGGGCACTGGTCGCCTGATCCAAAAACACTCCTCATCTAGGTACTGGTATCGTTATCATAATTAAGGGTGGGGGGGGGGGGGGGGGGGGCACCGATCTCACCTGTCACTCGATGGGTGAAAACAGTGTCATTGAATAGGAGCAGAGTATTAGGGAATGGATCCTATTGTTATTATTCGCTTCCCGTGAATTCCCTCCTTAACTTTCCTGTCGTCCCCGTCTATCATTATTACTTCCCTCAATTTGTCTTCCTTCCCCATGAGGGGGGGGGGGGGGGGGGGGAGCCCAACGTACTCATGTATTTCGCCAAAGTCCCTTCATCAGCTCTGGATTCAGAATATGTACAATGTTACATACCGCATAAAATGCCATGGATTATAATTAATGCATATTGAATTGAATTACACAGACATTATTTTTTTCCATCCAGGGACACCTTGCTGTATTCATTGACAAACAGCGCCACCAGTCTGTATTCAGGGTTTGTCATCTTCGCTGTGCTCGGTTTTATGGCGGGTAAACAAGGAAAAGAAGTCGGCGAAGTCGCAAAATCAGGTATGAGGCCCATCGCACCCAATGGCTAACGTGTGCCTATCCAGAATGGGGGCAGTTATGTCATTGGGGGGGGGGGGGTTGAAATATGGCATCTTGACATTAAGGTGGATGAAATGCAAGATAATAAAACAATTTATATACCTCACTTAAGTAATCCAGCAATCTGATTGGTCGAAATTGCATTCATAAACTTTAACTGTTCCCGAAAATTCCAGGTAACCATGGTTAAAAAACAGTTCAAAATCCCAATAACCATGGTTATTGGGAAAATAGGTCAGTCTCCATGGTTACCCCATAGGTTTACATGTTAAAAAATGGTCTGAGCGATCGAGGATACCGTACGTGTGCAAAGAATTGGTCGGTAATTTCAATACAATTGAATCTCGATCGATCTTACCGACAATTTTATCTTGCATTGTTGACATTAAGACGAAAATAAACTTCCAAAAACAAAAAAACAACATCTGCCGATAGATCTTGATCTAAATTCGTGCCAATATGCATTGCAAAAGTAAAAGAAGGGCCTGTTTAATGGAGCAGCCGCGAAGCTTCCACCACGCGAAGCCGTTTTCAAATCCATTTTAATGTATATATAAGAAAAAACTGCTATGTAAGGGAACAGAGCGCGATAGCCGAGCGGTTTAAGGCGGCGGTTTGTGTTACATCACCTTTGGTAGGCAAGAGATCGAATCCCATCTTCGACAAAAGTTTTTTTTTTTCCTTTTTTTTTCGGCATATAAAAGTATTAATGACTGCTTTAATATTCGAGAAATAGTTGTTTTTATACGCTCTCGGGAAGGTTACAATTGGGCTATTGCCCTCGGCACGCCTCGGGGCAATAGCACAATTCTAACCTTCCCTTGAGCGTATAAAAACAACTATTTCTCTCAAAGCAGTCATAATACTATAATAGTGAGGGGAAGGGTGAGGAAGGGGGGTTAACATCTTTTTATATTTATTTCTCTCGCTTTTCTGTCTTTTTCGCCATTTGATTTAAAGTGTGGGGGCGTGCATTCATAGCTACGCCACATGAATACATACAGAGGGGAGAGACCAAAACAAAAAAAGGGACCTACAAACCAAAAGTATACAATTTAGTTAGTCATTGGTGTATTATACCCCTACATTGTAATAAATACATTACGACGGATGATTTCAATGTTTGTTTCTCTCATTAAATGGACCAAGATAATGCATTAACATTATACTTTGCAGTTGGGTGTGATGTTCAAGACGAAATTCAAGAAAAATTAGCTCTTAAAATTAAGGTCACATGTTATTGGGAAACGAAAAGGGGGCATTTATCAGAAGGGAAAAGGAAATTTACACGAATGTGGAATGGGCATCTATCATAAAGAAAAAGGGGCACTTATCTGAAGTAAAAGAGTGCACTTTTCCTGTGTTAAAACACAGCAAAACACCAATATTAAGAAATGATAATTATAAGACAGATGGTCGTATTGTAGAGGAGGTCCGACTATTCAATCGTTGTTCTTATTCGTTGTTCTTGTTTCTTATCAGGTCCTGGACTGTTTATTCCTTGTTCTTATTCCTTGTTCTTATTCCTTGTTCTTATTCCGTGTTCTTGTTCCTTGTTCTTGTTCCATATCAGGTCCTGGACTGTTCATTTCTTGTTCTTATTCCTTGTTCTTGTTCCTTATCAGGTCCTGGACTAGGTTTCATTGTCTATCCAGAAGCAATCACTGAGATGCCTCTCTCTACTCTCTGGGCGATCCTTTCTTCTTATGTCTGCTCTTCCTTGGTATTGATAGTGTGGTGAGTATCAAACAGAAGAATATGCGAAAACCTACCGCCGCCGGAGTCCCAATAGCATTATCCAGCCGTTGAACTATATGCCCCTCCTCCTTTTAACCCAAAACGAAATTTAACTTTCAACCAATCAGGATCACGTATTTGGAACCATGTTTTTATGCAAGGGGCCCCCAGCATAAAATTGATATTGCAATGGAACTATAGCTGCATCGGGGTTCCAAACATTATTACCACGCCCTCACTTTGGTTTGGTTAGATGGCGCTATTAAATCTCTGGGGATTTCCCGAACTAAAGACTAAAAAGGATCGTCAGTTTTATTGTACCCCTTTAAAGACCAATATCTAGAGCTACTATGTTCCCTTATAAAGACTCTGACCTGTGTCCATGAAGTCAAATTCAGTTGAGCATGTTCTGAATGAGTGTGGTTTAGCATGACCCACATATCTCTCACTGATATTGACAACCAACAACTGGTGTACATGCCAGTTTCAAATAGCTATGGTTAATATACGAAATTTAAAAAATAATAACATCAACCCACTACGTCTATGATTTTGTTTATTAATGGTTATCTCTATATATAATCCCAATTTATTTCCTGTACCTCAGTTCGTGGTCGTCGAAGGTTTCGTGACGACGATCGTTGATATCTTCCCGAATACACTCCTGAAAGGCTACAGACGGGAGTTCTTCTGCGCAGGGTGCTGTCTATTCTTCTGTATGGCGGGAATACCCATGGTGACCTATGTAAGTCAGAATTCATTCAAGGCTTCCGAAGCTCTATTCTAAACAATGAAGTGCTTTTGAATAAAAATTGCTTTTTGTTTGGTTCCCCGGATGGTACGCAATCTATCTTTAATTTTGTCATTTTATATGCAAAACAATATTCTCTGCGAAATACAAAAGGGAACGGCTATCTTTAAATTATTTTAAGAAGATGCTCAAACGTTGTTATGAAGTTGAGCGGGTTCTTTCTATCAAACGCAATAAATTCGTTGTATTACTTGATAAATGGTGACATGTGCAACCGTTGTAAAATGTTTGTTTTACCGATATGTCACAATATGTACTTTGTTCAAATGTATTGTTTGGTTCTTGCTCAAGAATGATTGAATACATTTTTCTTTGGAAAAAAAAGAAAAGAAAAGAAAAGTCAGAATGACTGTAAATCTTCAGAGGCCGAACGTGCCTCACAGACATGACAGAAGAACATGCCTTTTTTGTCTTGTCATAGACTTTGGACGCATTTATATTTAATACGGAAAATCCACGTACACTTCCCTTTCAGAGATTATGATTTAAGAAGGTATGTGGCCCATAAAGTACATACATGCTAATTCTAAAACGATGTATTTGTTTGTTTCAATTTCCGTATACAGAGTTGTTCCGTTTTTAAAAAAAATCTGTTTTGTTATTCTTAAAACATCATTTTATCCAGAAACATCGCGCCGTAGCTATGTAGTTGCTGTCGGCACTATTTATATCCTGGGACCATTTTTTTTTGTTCATGTTAGGAATTGACTGCAATTGTCATTGTATTCGTTCATTAATCTCTTTACATTGTCTGACATTATTCTGTGTCTTCTTTTATTTATAGGGCGGCATGTTCATCTTTCAACTGTTCGACTTCTACGCAGCAAGTGGGTTTGTCCTCCTCTGGGTCGCTCTCTGCGAGAGCTTAGTCATAGGATGGGTGTACGGTAGGTACCAGTCTATCTTATCCGGACTAGTATCCCCGGACAACTACTAGTGTCTTGAATCCCCGGACAACTAATAGTGTCTTTTATCCCCGGACAACTAATAGTGTCCGTTAGGACAATACAGTGGCGGATCCAGGGAAGGGGCTGGCCCCCGCCCCATGGGGGAAAAAAACGTGTATTACACGATAATTTTACTTTTTACTTTTTTTTTACAGATGGGCCCCCTCCCATGGCGCTCAAGGGAGGGGGGGGGGGGGGTGCGATTTTGTTCAAATTTCGAGAGAGCCCCCCCCCCCCACTGAGCGAATTACAGTGGCGGATCCAAGGAAGGGGCTGGCCCCCCGCCCCCTGGGGGAAAAAACGTGTATTACACGATAATTTTACTTTTTTACTTTTTTTTTTACAGATGGGCCCCCTCCCATGGCGCTCAAGGGAGGGGGGGGGGGTGCGATTTTGTTCAAATTTTCGAGAGCCCCCCCCCCCACTGAGCGAATTATCGGCCGGCACGATTTTCAAATTACGAATAGGGCCCCTCCCCTGCCGCCGACTTGATCCGCCCCTGGGACAATTATCCCATGACGTCAACCCTTACACAATGAAGGCAATCACACCTTGGAAATTATGTCTGCATGACCTAGTGTGAAGTTGAGTTAGACCTAGAATATCCTCCCTACTGGCAATTATTGTTGGACAACTGCGGGGGTAATGTTATAGGGGTATAGTCCCTCTACCCCAAATATGTCCCCCCCCCCCTCCCCCTATGGACGAACGCTCCTTTGTGAGATACAGTACAATAATTAATCGTAGCCTTTGTTTTGTTATTACTATTTTAATTTTTTAAACTTTCTTTTACATACTCCTTGTTTGTTTTTCCAGGCGGTAATCGTTTCATGCAAGATATCATCAACATGATAGGCAAGGGTTGGATCAAACCGTACATGCTGGCTGCATGGATGTTTATGACGCCTCTGTTTGCCGGGGTGAGTTCGTGGTGCGCATGGAGATGATACCTATGATACAACTACAACTAGATCGTAATCAGGCGCGGATCCAGGATTTCTTAGGGGGGGGGCCCAAATTTGAAATCATGCGAGCCAAATATTGGTACGTTATGGTGACCAGCAGTGACGTAATTGGGGGGGGGGGTGGGTGCAGGGAGGGGCGAGTTTCCCCCTCCCTCCTCCGCGAAGCGCGGAAGCTTTGACATTTCAATCAATTATTAGAGAAAGAAGACGATTCGTTGTACCGTTCCCAAATATAATCCTCGTCTGAATTATGTTTCCTCACCTCCCGCGCGAAGCGCGGAAGCTTTTACGTTTCATTAAGAGAAAGGAGGACGATTCGTTGTGTCGTTATCGACTCTTAATCTTCGTCTAAATTCAGTTTCCCCCCCTCCCGCGCAAAGCGCGGAAGCTTTTACGTTTCATTAAATCATTGGCGAAAGAAGACAATTCGTTGTAGGCCTACCGTTATTACTTTTAATCCTCGTCTAATTTCATTTTCCCCCTCCCGCGCGAAGCGCGGAAGCTTTTACGTTTCATTAAATCATTAGAGAAAGCAGACGATTCGTACCGTTCTCGACTCTTAATCTTTGTCTGAATTTCAAAAATGTTCTTCGTCTACTCCCTTTTCTTCCTACGTTCTTTTCCTTTTCACTCCTCTCTTTTTTGGCCGGCGTTTTGGGGCCCCCCTCTGTGAATATAATGCATTTAAACGCAACGAATTTTCTTTTGGACCAATAAAATTGAATTTAAGAGTTCAATATTGTACCCTCAACAAATCTGAAACAAATATAGATATGTGACTCAAAGTGATATACCGGTTTTTACCGATATACCTGATAATAATATAATATGTAAAACATGGGAAAAAAACTTTATTTATTGTTAGGGTTAGGGTTAGAGTTAGGTTAATACGGACCTTGGTTTCCTAGGGTAACGCATGGGCCCGGTGTCCTAGGGTAACGCGGGGCCCGGTGTCCTAGGGTTAGGGTTATAGTTAGGGTAACGCAGACCCTATTGCTAGGAACCAATAATTGCTTGACTTTGTAAAAGGCATCAAATTAAAACAGCAAATTTAGGGGCGAAATTACCAAAAAAGCTGGGGCGAGCTGACCAAGAATCCCAAAATCGCCAACAAAAAAAAATCGGGGGGGGGGGGGGGGGAGGGGGGACATGACCAATTGAGGGCGACTTTGTAAGGGGGCGGACAGACATTGGGCGACCTGAAATGGAACCGCCTGTATAGCCTACCAGGCTCACCTAAAATTCTTGCGTTCGCATTGTTTCCTTCTTCCTCTCCCAACCTCCCTTTCTACGCCTTTGATTTCATACACTCATTATGCTACCAGCAAAAGTTTAAGGAATAAAGCGACAATCAAGTTCAAGTAAAAAGATTGAAGCTTTGCGTCGCATGATTCTTTTCATTTGTTTTGATTGGCGTGTTGAGGTCAAGAGATATCTCGACCCTTTATGGTGGCTCCAATTCGAGCTCAAGGCTATGAGTGTGTAATCGTAGACACCTCTTAGTATAGAAAGCTCGAAACAATATATACAATCTACTTGTTAACATGTAGTTCAAGTGAACAAGTGATTCGTAATCACATGATTAGTCAAGCCCGGTCACGTGTGATTCACTTAAATACTGAGACTATCACTCGTTTTTTTTATGAGAAAGTGTACAATAACTTTAGTTCAGCTCACCTCAGTTCATTTCAGTTCACTTAAGTTCAGTTGATTCAGTTCAGTTCAATTCAGTTCAACTCAATTCAAGTCAATTAATTTCCATTTAGCTCAATTCGATTCGCATAACTTCACTTCACATCACTTCACTTAAATCCAATTCACATCAGCTTGATTCATTTCAACCTCAAGTCAACACAGTTCAATTCAGTTAAGTTCTCTATCTTTCTTTATCACACAGACCATCTTCATCTACAGTATAGTTTACTACAAGCCCTTGACCTATGAAGATGATTATGTGTATCCCTGGTGGGGATACATGTTGGGTTGGTTTATGGCTCTCTCCTCCATCCTCACTATTCCAGTTGTCTTCATCTACCAGTTCGTCTTCGTGAGCAAGGGGACACTGATGGAGGTAATCTTTCAAAAAGAAATGAAGAGTTCGAAGAGTTTCGGAGTAGAAATGCCCCACGATAAGGATTGTTATTCAAGCGCCCTGATATTTAAAATATGACGAGAAATACCTTAAAGGTTTGAACAAACTTTCACGATGGAGATCATCTTTCAAAGAGATGGTTTGAATTGTGGTGAAGATGACAATTTGAGGCTTTTCATTCCTTAATTTTTTTTTACAGACGTTTAATGAAAGAGTATCATATATAGTAGAAATGTCCCCTAAAAGAGATAGCTATTATAGTACCCTGATGTTCGAACTATGATAAGAAATATCTTAAAAGTTTGCACCAAACTTCATGCCACATGGGGGGGGGGGGGGGGGGGGGGGTCGAACTCCCTCAGTTTTTTTAATGTGTGTGTTTTCGACGACCCCCCCCCTCATATAAAAAAAACCTTAACCCCCCCCCCCCCCCCCCTCTAACAGAACGAAATATCGGTCGGCCAAATTTTCAAATTTCCTGGAAAAAAAAAATGTGAGCGAAATTTTAAAATTTTAACCCCCCCCCCCCCCGTCAAAAAAAATCCTGCGTACGCCACTGTGTAGTCTTATTTACTCATGCATCCGTTGAAAACTGTCTGTATGTGATTACTGTAAAGCGCTCAAAGACGTCGTTCATGTATTCAACGATATTTTATAAACCCATCTAATTAAAACTGTGTAATTAATTTTCCTCAGCGATGGGTGGACGGGACTACATCGCGAGTACCAGAGATCCGACAAGATGGCCCATTGGACAAAAAGGACCACTCATACGGAGAATTGGAATTACGATGATTCGATCCCCAAGTTAGAAGACAGTGGATGATTAATAAATGCCGGATTTTGGGAAGCATTTATAAATGTTTATAATGAAACAAATGTAGTCTTTGCTTTCATTATTCATACTTGCAATTTGTTCGACACCCCCACCCCCTCATTCGAGGGAATTTGGGAGCGTCATCACCCTTGCATGCAATGTTATAGGAATTAGGATAGTCTGTAGTATGTGTAGTGCGGTAGTTTCAGAGAGGAAGAAAGCATATACGACATATGCTCCGGTGACAAGTCACTATGAACATGACGGACAAAGAAAGAGGACAAAATAAACAGTTCCTCAGGTAGATAAAGGAACATTCCATCACTGCTATTATGTTAAAATGTGTAGAACAGGTGTCACATGCATATTCACCTGTTCTACACATTTTTACATAATAGCAATAATATAAGGGATGTTCCTTTGTCTACCTGAGGAACTGTATATTTTGTCCGCTTTCTTTGTCCATCATGTTCATAGTGAGTGCTCCTGCTCAATATTCTAAACTATTCAAATTATTGATTGACCCCTTGACCAACAGTTAACATTTAATTTAATTTAATTTAAAATAATGCATACATGCATACTAATAAATTACCTATATATGCATACTAATGAATAACCTTCGCATACTAATGAATTACCTATGCATATTAATGAAGTACATGTACATAATAATGAATTACCTATGCATACTAATGAATTACCTATGCAAACTAAATTAATTACCTATGCATACTAATTTCCTATGCATACTAATGAATTACCTATGCATACTAATCATTACCTATGCATACTAATTAATTACCTATGCATACTAATTAATTACCTATGCATACTATTGAATTACCTATACATACTAATGAATTACCTATGCATACTAAAGAATTTCCTATGCATGTACCCTTCACGTGATTTTCATATTTGTTATCATACGTGGGGGTTATTAGTTATTTTGGGTTACATATCATGTGAATGAAGTTTTCATAATACGTACAAAATACCCCAAAATACAAATGTATTCTTTCCTAACCTTAAACCTAACCAAACACCCAACCGCACCCCTAACCCTATATCTTTTGACAAAATGAAGTCCGGAGCAATTGTCAATTACTTGTCGTAGGAGCATATGACGTACGACCTCGTACTGTTACCCAGTAATAGGCTAGCTGGTAGGTAACTTGTGATTTGGTGATACAGTACGAATGATTTATTTGAAAGAAGGTGTTTGATGTTTAAGTGACATACAGGTATAATAATAATAATAATGATAGTAATACAATATTTCTAAAGCGCATAATAAACAAAAGTTTCTCTATGCGCTGTACAAGCATGAATGACGAGAAATATAATCACATAAAAGGAATCAACAAAGAGAAATATACAAATCTTATAACTACTAAAATGACTAACTTAACATAGTAAATAACATAATAAAGAGAAAGCTAACATGGTCAAAACAAAAATCGTAAGTAAGGATAGTTTAAGCTAATTAATTAAAGGTAAAGAACAGTATTGGAAACGCCCCAATTTCAAAAAATGAAATGGAAGCTCTCATTACCAATCATGTGAAAGAATATGTTTTGACTAATACATGATGATAAAAAATTTGCCGGGAAACCGCCTACTAATTCATATATTTGGTAAATTTGTTTCTCTCATGGTCTGTGAGAGATATAGGGTAGTCCCATATACATCTTTCTGTGTATAGTGCTTGTAACTTTACGAAGAATGGGCCAAATTTCTTATCATTTTGATGATTCCAGAACCTTGCAGATGCTAGATGCCAGATGATCAACCTTTTCTTATAGATTCCACAACGTTTCTTTCACAATGCAATCGCATGACCATAACTGGTCTTTACCTTTAAGGCCAAAGAGGTGCGTTTTAGGTGTATGCATCTGGTATTTTGGTGAACGCTCTTGATTCTCTGAAGGGAAACATTGCATGTATAAGACTTTATAGGTACATGCATCTGACGTTTTTGTATCAGAAAGGATGGCATGGAAGTACAAATGTATACATCCGGTATTTTTCTTTTTCATGAGTTGACATCCTTGGAGGCTTGGACATGGTGTTTTCCCACACTCTTGTCCCAGGGGGTGTTTCACACAGACCTTAAGCCGAACTTATCTCTAAGTTAGACTTAAAAAATATGGAGAGCCATTTGTAGCCTTAAAAATAAAATCTATTCAAAAGCGAAAATTCAAGTATTTTAGACTTTTTTTTTACAAATTTCACGTCAAGAACATGAAATCTCCTTGATAATAGAAAATGTGAAAGATTTGAATCAACATTTTATGCTTTTTAAAATAACTTTTACAAAATATTTTCATAGATGTCGATGGCTTTCCATAATTGTTAAAGGGATAGTTGAGTTCTGTTGCAGAGGGCGCTACAAGTTGAAAGCCGTTGAAAAAACAAAATAGCGCCTTTTACGTTGGATTGCAGCCAATGGTGTATTGAATGTTGTACTTGGTTATGCTGCATGGGGGTAATAATAACCTCAAGAGACTGATCTATGTACGTACTGTGCACACAATATCTATGAACTTGCTGCTTATTTAAACCTGCAGCATCTATACATTTCAGTTCACTCGTGGTCCCAAAAGTCTTTCTGACTTATTTGCTATTCAGAATGTGCATTGATCTCAAACAGTGGGAATAAAAGCCGAAGTCTTTCTCAAACAACTACCTTAGATATTGTAGTACCCATTACTTCTAGGACTTGCTAATAAGAAGTATAAGAGGTGGCTTGCATGAGACCAGGGGGAAAAGAAAGGAGGGGAAACTTGAATCTTGAAAGGGCTCAGTGGTCGGTTTACTATTACTGATATTCAGTAACAACTGCCGTCCCATACCCATGAGAAGATCAATGTATGGATACAAGTGCAAGGGCACTAATTTTCTTACTGAAATGAATGTTATGATGTGTTTTGTGTTATCCAATTGCATGCCATAGAAATATACATCGCTACAAATAACATCAGGTGATAAAAGGGCCGTTATTTATAATAATACGTTTTAATAAGAAGACAGTATTATGTATAGATGATAAAAGGGCAGTTGTTTCTAATAGAAGTCAGTATTATGTATAGATTTTAAAAGGGCAGTTGTTTCTAATAGAAGTCAGTATTATGTATTTTAAGGCTTAAAACGACGTGTTTGAAGCTTGCTTCGTTTAAAGCTTATCTGCCGTAGTTTATAGGAGGGATTAGACTGCCCTGCAAGGTCACTGGACAGGTGGTTATCTCATCAACTCAGCTCTCAGTTAACATAAGAAAAAGAGGATCATGGGGGACCAATAGTCACCGATTAGTCATTGTTTGTTATATAGAGGGCGCAAGTAGCTATAAGTAGTGCAGTGGGCCTGTAAGGAATAGACTGGTTTACTAACATATTCAAATTGTATGCATATTTTTTAAAACAAAGGTTGTTCTTGATAATCTGATATCTAATCCTATACTTGCCCGACAAAGCATAGAGGAATGTATGCAGACTGGATTCCGAGAATTGAAGTTCATTCATTAATAGCGTGTTAATGGTATAATTCGTCACTATAGGTACCCAGGGAAGAAACATTTATAAATTTGAATATATTAGTAACCGGGTTTACTGTATAAAATATTGCGATGAAATCATATTGGCATGTCGAATGAGAAACCCAAAGATATCGGTTACAATTGAAAAAGCAAATTCAGAGGGCACTCCTTGCAAGGGCCAATTGGCTAGTGAAATAATCAAGGTTTAATAATGTTCGTCGCGCACGAGGCGCAATTTCGAATGCGCTATTACCTGCGTTGATAAAATCTATGAAGGTTATTAGCCCTTACTCCCATCGGTTGTTGAACGTATCGGTTGTATTATTCATTTGTAACTTTTTTGTTGTTGATGATGTAAGCCTCATATGGTGCGTCAAAGACAGCACCAACTACTGACGCAATCCTACGTCATCAAATTGACGCATCATCTGCGCCAAACATAAGAAGGACAATCATTTGAAAAAATAATGGATATGCGCTATATCATGTTTTCAGGTATGACGCAATTTATTTGACATGTTATAGAACAACATGTTTTATAGAAGCCAACACCACTACTTAGCATTATGCCCGTTGGACTCGAGGCGTCATTTCGATTGCGTTGTTATACCTACGCTAATCAAGCATTTTACAGCGCCAATAATTCGTCAGTATTGGGTCAGTATTGCAGTGCTATTTGCATTCATTTCCTACACGATTTTATTCTCACAAGGCGCGTCAAAGCCCGCGCCAGTCGGTGAAACAGGCTTGCGTCAGAGACTGCGTCAGTCACTGGGACAGGCTTGCGTCAGCTTCAGAGACCGCGTCAGTCGCTGAGACAGACCTACGTTAGTAAATGACGCGACAAACGCTACGGGCATTATGATTATTTTCACCCTAAAGAGTCAATTTGTAGTGCCTCAGTCACACCGCGACACCGACTCTGTATTGACTTCAAACCGACCGATTCTCGGCCATTCTGGGTAATGTTACTTTATTGTTTGGTCTGGTGTCGGTCCCGTTGGTGTGACGGAGGTCAGGGAGTTGTCCTCCTTGAGTACTAAGATCTTGATATAAAACGATGGCAACTATTTTCAGAGAAATCACCTTAAGGCAGTTTCAATAGTCTTGCGCGTCACCCATTGAAATGTGTGAACATGACCAGGGGGGTGTTTCACAAAGATCCTAAGTAGAACTTATCTCTAAGTTTGACTTAAAAATTATGGAAAGCCATTAGCATCTTTGAAAATATTTTGTAAAAGTTATTTTGAAAGGCATAAAATGTTGATACAAATCATTCATATTTTCTATCATCAAGGAGATTTCATGTTCTGGATGTGGAATTTATAAAAAGTCAAAAATACTTGAATTTCTGCTTTTGAATATATTTCATTTAAAGGCTCAAATGGCTGTCCATAATTTTTAAGTCCAACTTAAGAGATAAGTTCAACTATAGGTTCTTTGTGAAACACCCCCATGGCGTATTGCGTAATCCAAACATGATTTGTATAGGACATACAATAGGGTATTACAGATGCCCTTGGTTTGGTTTGTGGAAAATAGTTGCGATCGTGATTATCCTAATTTGTTTTTTAAAAATCATGTGATTTTGTGCAATAAATGGAAAGGTGTTCTCTACATAATGAAATATTGGTAAGTGTATTAATGCGTATGTAAATAGGTGTCGCTATATTTGAGAGAGAGATGAAGAGAGAGAGAGAGAGAGAGAAAGAAGGGGGAGAGAGGGGGAGGGGAGGGAAGGAGAGAGAGAGAGAGAGAGAGAGAGAGAGAGACAGACAGAGAGGGAAAGAGAGGAAGAGAGAGGGAGAGAGAGAGACAGACAGAGAGAAGGGGATAGGACAGGCGTAAAAAGAAAGAGAGAGAGAGAGAGAGAGAGAGGGCGGAAAGAAAGAAATAAAAAGGACAAAGAGAAAGAGATATCAAATTAGAATATTATTAGATAGATAGACAGATATGCATATATATATATATATATATATATATATATATATATATATTGTAGAGAGAGAGAGAGAGAGAGAGAGAGAAGGGGGACGGAATGGGGAGGGTTTAGAAGTAAGAAGAGGCCTGCAAGGCGCATTGATTCTATATTAATTCATTAATGATAATAATAATTTTGTCTAAAGTTTATTCATTCATGTTGTTTGGGGAAAAAAAACTACACACACAAAAAAAAATAGAAAGTGGACACTTATTTATAGATTCAGATTTTGAATAAATATTTGATATGAACCCTCGTTAAAATGATACGCAATAGAAAAATTTGGTGATTTAATCAAATTCAACGCATGAATCTTTGTTAAGTGCCATGTTACAAATTATTCAATTCACCTGTTACAACTAATTGTATTTCACTGGTTAGAATGCGAATTGCATGCATTCCGTGGTGTTAGGTAAGAGAAGTCATGTTTGTCCTACCTAGCAACAATTAACGTATGCCATTCGCATTCTGTATATTGAAATACAATTAGTTGTAACATGTGAATTAAATCATTTGTGACATGGCACGTAACAAAGATTTATGCATTAATTCTGATTACATTACGAAAATGGTCTATTCATTATGAACATGACGGACAAAGAAACAGGACAAAATATACAGTTCCTCAGGTAGACAAAGGAACATCCCTTCACTGCTATTATGTAAAAAAAGTGCAGAACAGGTGAATATGCATGTGACACCTGTTCTACACATTTTTACATAATAGCAGTGAAGGGATGTTCCTTTGTCTACCTGAGGAACTGTATATTTTGTCCTCTTTCTTTGCCCGTCATGTTCATAGTGATTAGAAGTATAAATTTTCTCTAATCTGCTATGATAATAAAATAATAAAAACGTTACTTATAAAGCGCTTACTATTTTATTATGTTTTATTGATGGTTTATATGTAAATTTTAAACGATAAAGAGACCAGTATACACTTTCTTTTTTTGCTGAGTGCACATCAAAGAAGATTAAACGCCATATTTGTTTTTGTAGTGTTATACTAATTAAGTTGATCCATACCCAGCATTTAAGATAACTTTTAAATAATATAAAGGGAATTTTTAACTCAAGTTTAATCATGTTTCATTAATTTTAGCGGCATAATGAGTTCGAGTCCAACCAAACCAACTCGGCCAAACCCTTTGTATTAATGGCTCTGCATGCTGCACGACGGAGCCGTATATCAAGGCGTATGTTCTTTTGTTTTCTGCTCGCCCAACACAGTATTTTCCAAATAAAATTGACCTGTGCCCAACTCATACCGGGTTGGCCAAACCCTCCTAATATTTGGCTATGGTGCATGATAAACAGCGCTCTCACTCGTTGCCATGCAATTCGCACTCTCTTAAATCCCATGACGTGTATTGCTTGGCAGCTGCAGTGGGTATGCCAGTAAACGTCTCAACTCTAGTTGTATATTTACCAGCGGGTCATAGGCCTACCGCCGCCTACGTATATAAGCGGGGGATCACGCCATAGACCGTGGGTTGGCAATAGCGTGGATTATATTGCACTACCACAATGAGTCAGCAATTTTTCATGACAAAATATCACTTTTTATAGATCTGCCTCGATAGTTTCAGAACCATTCATAATGATGCATGCACTCTGAGGGATGCGTTTATAATTAGTCGGATCGCGTCGGAACTGCGTACTACCTTGATCCTACAAATGACCTTGTGACTTATTCATCCTGGAAATGATCCCGGATGAAAAAGGAAGGAGAAGGCAAGCACATGATCACCATTATTCATAACAAAGACTTTATATTGCAAGGATATACCAGCGGAGATCTCGCCGAAGTTCATATATCGGTGGCCTAGTTTTAAACTCACATCTCGCTGGCAGATATACCAGCTAGATAACGACAGGAAGGAGATCCCATCTTTGGTGTGGTTATACGAGTGCGATACATATACGAAGACAAGCATAGCAGCCTATCATTGATGAGAGCATACTTCGCCAGCCAGGCGTTGTAGATTTTTTGGATTTCCCTTTAAAACTCCTTGCTCCGAGGATATAGTGCTGTGCTACCTTATCTCATATTACTTTCTATACAAGGACCGCGTGAGGTAGCTTGACTCTCGGTTTCGACATTGTATATCTCAAGACCCTTATAGTTGATTAATGGACTTTAATATAGAAGAGTAGATTCGACACCTAAAGAAGGTAAGTTTATATACTGTTGAACGTGTGATCATTGATTGTATTTCGTTTTTTTTTAGTTAGTCTGACAGGCCAAAAAACAAACAAACAAACAAACAAACACCATGATCACAAAATATCACGGGTGATTTCGATTCACTGAAGTTGTATATCCCATCAAAATTGAGGCTGTTGGAAGTCTTTGTTATCATGATAAAAAAGATAACAAACAAGTTACCAACATCAATATTTCCCCTGATTCATTTCAAATTTTCTTGGACATCATTCATCGCAAACTCGGGCTAAATGATATTTACATGTTATAAAAAAAAAAACATAACACGTACGCTCAGTGCTCAATGGCATAATGATATTTTCCCCAAATCTTTACTTCATTTGATCCAAAGATATTATTTGGGACTTGGATGCGGATTTCTTTATCGTAATGTTTATTCAGTACATCGTTTGTTGTCTAGGTTGCGATAGCAGCTGTATACCAATCACTGCAAGTGTAGCGCGTGTCTCTGAGATGATTTGTTTATTTATGTTGAATTCATGTTTATCTCTGAAATAGCATAAATCCTAATTACAACGTGTAAACGCGGACAGGGACGGATTGATGATGGTAATATGCGTTGTCCAGACCCCTCTCCCAACCCTTTTAGTTTTACAGGGTACTGGTAGCAGCTATGTACGTGTAGATATATTCCTCCTTTAAAGCCACAATTACGTCTCCTTCGCTTGTTCAGCAGAGAATTTATCATAAATATACCACAAAAATAATTATAGGAATATCATTTATTCTATAGCTAAAGGCATGTCCTCTACCACACACGGATATCATATTATACCTTTTTCGATCAGTACAACTGTATGAAAGTAAATCATTTCCCCCTTTCTCTTTTTATTAAGAAATAAATAATCTAAAAACAGTACATAGTTTTTTATGCAATCACCGGAAAAAGACTCTCATATACAGGAAGACCTTCCTGTCTAGTCTCCGAATACTTTAATGTGTGTTCCTCCTTGTTCTTGATGTCTTCTCCGCGTGTGTTATTCTCATGTTATATATTGATGTATTATATTTTAACTTTTATATGTTTGTATTATACTTTACCAATAACCACGCAACTATACCGACCTGGGGCGGCTTAGGGATTTCGTAAAAGAGGGGGAGGGGGGATACTACCACTATTCTGAGAAGTGATAATAATAGTTTGTATAATATTATAATAAAAGTGCAAGTAGAATGAAATGAATAAACATAAAAAAGTTATCGAGCATGAAAGGAGCAAGATCCAATTTCCCTTATCTGACTAAAGCACCCCCCCCCCCAAAAAAAAAGAGAAGAAGACAAGGTTATCGACTATCGAGCATAAAAGGAAGTGTTTTTATTTCCCAAAATATCTCACAAACAAAGAAGGGGGAAAGGGGGTATTCGCATTTACCTTTACTCCAGATATGGCAGAAATACCATTCGACCTAGACTAGAGCCCCACCATCAAATTACCATTGATTTCTTAATGATGATGAATTGATGATGATGATGATGATGATGCTGCTGCTGCTGCTGCTGCTGATGATGATGATGATGGTGATGATGGTGATGATGACGATGTTAATGATGATGATGACAATAATAAATATAATTATTATAATATTATTTTGTACTTCGGCCAAAACCCAACCATAACTGTATTTTCCTTTGACTGTCTCCTCCCCACCTCACTCCAGCTCGCCCGTTTCATCCAAATGACGACGTGATCGAGAAGTCCATTTATCAAAATAAATCATTCACCAATTGCTCTCTCACTTCCCGCTCCATGTAACCAGGCAATTTGTTGCAGGGTCCACGAGTCTATATTCAGTATATTGCCGATGAGCCAATAATGATTAACATATATAATAGGTGTAGCCGTGTAAGTGATTATCTAAACAGAGTTCTTACATTGAGTGTTTATTAGATGCTATAAGGAATTTTGAGATGGTGCATGGTCAAAGCGTTAAACAGTTTTATTTATTCAACAAATATTTAACAAAAATTAAGATAAGGATTTTTATCGCAATGATTATCAAAGTAGACATTGTTACTCAACGCCTTGAAAGGAAGATACTTGTTATTTCAATAAAATAATAATAACAATAATAATGGTAATGATAACAATGATAAAACGGTGCTTTTAAAGCACTTTCCATCGAAGTCTCTAAGCGCTATATACAAATAAAATATAATGACAAACAATCATATATTAATTAAAAAATACAAATGAACAATGTTACGAAGTCCCTTTAATACATTGTAGGTGAAAAAATCAGACTCAGAATGCAAATTCGAATGGTCATTGAATTTCTGACATTTATTTACCTCTGATATGGTACCTAATATTACCCCCCCCCCGATCAAAATTATGTTTAAAGCTTTCAATAAAAGAAAGAATTTCAGCACATCATTCCGCCCCTTCCCTGTAAAAAAAACAACATTGATCTGCCACTCATTATGTCACTAACAATCTCATCTTCCACTAGACTGTCACACCTCTGCCTCTATTTTCTCTCCCTCTCTCTCTCTCTCTCTCTCTCTTTCTCTCTCTCTCTCTCTCTCTCTCTTCCCCTCTCTCTCTCTCTCCCTCTCTCTCTCCTCTCTCTGTCTCTCTCCCCCTCTCTCTCTCCCTCTCTCTCTCTCTCTCCTCCCCCTCTCTGTGTTTCTCTCCTTCTTATTATTGTATGACTTTGATGTGTGTTTTGGATTTGTAACATATTTTGTTTACGTGATTTTAATAATAATAATAATAATAATAATAGTGGGTTCGTGTCTCATGTCTGTCATACGTGACACTCCAGACGCTCCCAATTATTACCCTGGCTTTAGCACGGCGCTTTAGCATTTCAAGGAATTAATTCCTGCCAGGTACCCATTCACATCATTTACTTTGTATTCTCCATGTAATTCACCCTTTGGGCTGCCATGTGTATTAAAAATCAACAACAACTATATACCATTTCGTAGATACAATCTGCGCATGGGCAGATAAAGGTCATTTGTACCAAAATGGTTAAACCCACAGAGATGCATACTGGATATGCGCTCATGAAAGTTATGTAACATTATTCATTTATGCACCAACGGTACATTCTATGATACGCAGGTGGAAGTATTCTTTTTAAGAGGTCAAACAAAAGGTATTCATGAAGCACATCTAGGACTTTGGCAGTTATTATTCTAATATGCTCAAAGTGGAACTTCTCCATGTGTAAAAGATCTGTGGATATTTGGGGGCATTTGTACCATGTGCTATCTGTAAACTCCCTTATTCAATTCAAAGTCACCGATGACTAATCACAATAACAATATTTCAAGAGGTTAGTAGGTGAAAGTGTACGAGTGTGATTATGAATAATGCAAAGCCAAGCCGCCATAAAGATGGTACATCCGGGAGAGTAAAATGGCTTCCTTCCGCTATGACGTAATAATATGTGCATTGAGTCGTGCATATTTATTAAGCAGGTTGAGTTCAAGCACATTTAAAAAATAATTGATGAGCTATCGCATTGGAATATTTGATGCTCCCACTTAGAAGACTATGCCCATTTGGTTGGGATATAATTTAGCGCAGGTAAGTAGTATTACCATACTACCATCGTCAGATGAGAGGGCTTGCTTTTAAATTGTTAATTACACATTCAAGTTGGTAAGGTTTTATTTGTTTACAAATAATATGAATTATCATATTAATATAAGGATACGATGATTAAGAAGTCAGTCTTGATAGCTTGTCTATTACGTGTAAACAGAATAAAAGAGAAGAAGGCCTGTACGTGTGCATGGTTAAAATATCTAATGGATAATGGCATTTTCAGGGTGTCTTATTGTTCACCTTCCAAAGAAATGTGTACTACAATAGCCTTTAACTGAACACATAAAACTTGCAAATATTCCAGAGCTGGGCATGTATTCCCAAGCTTGGCAAAATGAATGTCAAATATTAGTTTGCACAACAACGGGTGGACTTTTTATGCGAACTTGACCCAATATTTTCTGACAAAAAGAGGGTCCATTCACGATGCATTTTCTTTTTATCTCCCTATACAGAAGAACAAACATCGATAAGCTCATTTCGAAGCCACCGTAAGCGAAGTCAGTGATGTCGGAGGATGCGACATCGCCTTCGAAAGAAGGCTCGGAGCAACCCGATGCCGACGTCGAGCTCGTCAAGATGAGGAGGATCGACTCCGACGACAACATCCGAGAGAGGGATCAAGAAACTGGTGAGTAATGAGGAGAGAGAGAGAGGGAGAAATAGAGAGAGAGAGATAGAGAGAGGGGGAGGGTGAAGAGAGAGAGAGAGAGAGAGAGAGAGAGAGAGAGAGAGAGAGAGAAAATGAACTATTATTATCGTTATTATCATTATTAATATTATTGTCAATATAAGTTTAAATGTAGAAACCGTTCCTTTAAACATTTCTTGCTCTGAATTATTGCAAGTCATCTTCATAAAATGAGAAATTGTCGTTAGTCATGGTCTTAGAAATAGGAACATCCGATGAACTGTTTTTTGTAATATCACCTTTTTAACCTCTAACCCATGAGATGTATGCATATCCTCCCTGAATGCATTTTATTTTTATTTAATAATGATGGAAATTTAGCAAGTCATCTTCTTCTGTCAAAAGAAATTATTTACATTTTGTTTTAATAGTTAGGAATACTCATGCCTCATGACTCGTAAGCATATTTACTCAGCCACCGCTGTCTACATTGTTGACTGGTTGGACCATGTTTTTATACCGTAATGTCAATGTTAATATTTGTATTCATGGTATTAAAATGAAAATACTTACAGGCGCATTTCAAGAAGAATATATAATTCAAATGGCATTCCATTGACACTAGACGGGAATAATTTTTAGCATGTATAATGTATAACTGTATTCATGGAAAAGCCCCGGTACGATTGTGCAGTGAATTGGAAATGGTTTTTGACAGACTTGGTTTTAACACTAGAATTGCCAATACGTTGAATGTTGTTTTACCCAAGCCTACTCTTGAATGTTTTAAGAATTGTTTTAGATACGCTGGTGGTGAAATCTGGAATAACTGTTTACCTTTTGCTTTTCAAAATGCTATATCTATCAATGTCTTTAAACGTGTGGACAAGGACACATTTTTTTAACCTTGCCAATTCATATACTGCCATAAACGGCCATTCCCAAATCAAGCCCCCCCCCCCCACCCTCCATAACAACTACTGATAGTTGGCTATAACTCCATCAGATTAAATTACTCACTGGTCCCTTTATAGTCCCATAGACCTACTATTCCATAAATATAACCTTTTATAGACACTCTGACGTAATAAATGCATAAAATAAGGTTCCTGGCTGATGTCTGTTATCACTTCCTGCCACAGGTGTATTGGAGTTGATTACAGATTGAAATGTTTTAAATAATAAATGTAGATTTCTACTTATTTTATGTGTAATGGATTGTTGAGTTTAGAATAAAACAGAGAACATTTATTTATATACATTATCTCTTATAACTACTTTGTTGTTGCCACTTAGATAAAGTGGTGGCGATAGTAGTAGTAGTAGTAGTAGTATTACTTAGTAGTAGTAGTAGTAGTAATTTTGAATAAAATTGAAGCACTAATAATATTCAATACTCAATTTGTTGTTTTCTTTTATCAGCGGATGTTGCAGGAGTACATTTTGTAGGGATGAAACGAATCGACTCCCGAGAAAACTTCAAAAATGATCAAGGTAAGATAATAATTATTCAATTTTTTTTCTTTGATCATGAAAAGAGTTCTTTATTTCTAATCATACCCCAATTCATTACATCCTTCAGAATCTTTTCTTGTCTTTTCTTTCCTTCCTTCCTTTCCTTCATTTTTTCATTCTTTTTCTTGTTTTCCTTTCCTACTTTCTTTCCTACTCTAATCCCTTTTTTCTCCCTTCCTTCCTTTCTTTCTTTCTTTCTTCATTACTTTCTTTATTCCTTTTTTTTCTTCCTTCTCCTTTTTGTCTTTGCATATGACAGGGACCGGTATAATCCATCATTTCCTACAAGTGTCTTTATGAGACCATTACACACATTGCACGGTACCAGTGAGCTTTACAATCGTCGGGTGCTTGCGAGCAGGAAGGCAGTTATTGGGAGTTATTGCCATAAAAGCTTTTACGGCCATCTTGCAGGCTGCCCACAAAATGCTTTGATACATATCGGACTATTCATATTCACGTATTTGATGAATACCTGCAACTATTAAAAAGTCGTTATTTATGCCAGCTCCTCCGCCGTTTGTATGCTTTTTTAAGAAATCGAAATTGTTTTGTTTTGCTGCATGCTCAATCTTCCCGAAACAACAAAACCATTTCAAATGTCAGTCATTTTCATATTTGATATCTTCTTTTATTTCATTCTGTTTTATTTTCTCATTCCAAGTCCAGATTTCATTATTCTTTGATTTAATTTCTTTCAGTTCTTCTTCTTTTTCTTCTTCTTCTTCTTCTTCTTCTTCTTCTTCTTCTTCTTATTATTATTACTCTCCTCTTTCTTCTTCTTCTTATCATTATGGTTCAAGGCATGGCCACACAGAGGATTTTTTTCTGTTGGGGACCGGGGGAAAATGCAATGAATTATTAATAATTTATTGCATTTTTTTTTGTTTTTGTTTTTGTTTGTGGGGGCTGCCCCCTACCCTAGCCCCCGCTGCGTACAGTCATGATTCAGTGGCAAAGCAAGTGCCTCGTAACTGTGAGGCCCCATGATCAAAACCATATCGATGTGCTATATTAGTGCCCTTTTGTGAGGCATTAATTCTCATTACTGTCAGTTATGACTTAAGGACGTAAGTCCCCTAATTGATAAGCATAGTAGCATACACATGCTTAAAGGTAATACAAAGTTTTGGTATGGGGTCATGAATTTGGTTCAAATGAACATATTTGAAGCATATGCGATCCTACAATATTCAGTGATCGTTGTCGCGGTTGAAATCGAGTCAAAAGTTATGAAATTGTAAATATACACTCTTTATGTTGTATAGCTCCCTCTCAAGTTCAAGATATTAATTAAGCTATCAAACAATGTTTCTTGACTAAAATCAACCGATTAGCTATTCCCGTTTGGAAATTATATGTCACAACTACATATTCTGAGATTTTCATGGTCGCAGCTACCATTGTACGGCCGTAGGCGCTATTTGAAATTTATCATAATTTACCGGGAGCACCGGTAAATTTTTATATTAATTTTTTCTCGAAAGCAGAAGTGTCTTAGGGGCTAAATTTTCTCGCGCTTATAATGCATCCACAGGGGCATCCAAATATATCAAAATTGTAAAGAATCACTGTCCACCCAATTTTCAAAATTTCCCAAAACTTTGTATTACCTTTAAGCAGTCACACACAAAAAAAATACCCTCGTTAATTATTAATCAATAAAATATGAGAATGTAAACTAATATCTAGATCTATTAAAGGAATAAATCATTGTCCAGATCATTCAATAAATTGGGGTAAAACAATTATTCCACCTTTATGACCAACAGTGTAATAATAATAATATTCCGCTTATATAGCGCTTAATACAATGTCTGTAAGCGCTTTACTATCATTTTACTAAAAGTTGCCATTCTTTCTGCTAAGGTAGTATTACAAGCTATATAAATGTGTCTATATTGTTGTTACAATTTTTTTCAGCGACCAAGAAGGCTTCGTCGGTGATGTTCGCATCGATGGGCGAGCCGACGAATGACGGCTACGACTACGATGACGACGAGGATGTCGTGACAACCAATCCTTATCTAAGATACGGAGAGAAGACCGGTTTTCGATATAAACAGGGCCTAAAACTGCTATCCCCGTTTAGATTCAAGCCTTCGTAAGTGCGTTGTGTGTGTATTGGGTTTTTACAGACGTGGGACCGACCTTTAAACGTCACCATCCGAAAGACGTGACTCAGTTTTGAACCTGTGTCATCGGCTGAATCAGTTTGTAACTTCTACTTTTAGCTGGATTACAGGCGCACGCCACAACGCCTAGTTAAAGTTGCAATTTATATATATTTGCTATAATTAGTTTATTTACAGTGAGCGTCTGAATCGTTAGGATATGCATTAAGCACGCATTCAATAGTGGTATACTTTCTGGTAATACATGAATATTACTATTTGATAACCTGTAATACAGATCAAACCACAAGATAAGTAATGCAGGTATGGTACATGTAAATAAAAAATATGTATCAATATCAATTATATTAATAATTTAATAATTATATCAATTATTCTGAAATGAAACATTTGTATCAATCCGGCGTCCAAAGATAATTTAATTCTAAATAAGTTGTTGTCTTTCTTCTATGTCTGTCTGTCTCCTTCTACTATCTCCCCTCTCCATCACACGCCCTCTCTCGTCGCTCTCATTCTACCCTTTCTCATTCGCACTTTCACCGCTCCCCTCTCTCTTATTTTCCTCTCCTCTTCCGCCTCCTACCTTTGCTTCCTCTTTCGCTTTCGCTTCTATGTTCCCTATCACGCTCCCTCCCCTACCTCTCACATTTCCATTTCACTCTCCTCTGCCTTTCATCATTTCTTTGCTCCTCTCATTCTCTATCTGTCATCAATATTCTTCCCCATCTCCTTCATACTGCTCTCTCTCTCTCTCTCTCTCTCTCCCTCTTTCTCTTACCTCTCTCTCTCTCTCTCTTTCCCTCGCTTTTATAATTGGTATGCACCCTCTCACTTCTCTCTCTCTTTTTCATAATATACACCTCTCCTTCATTTACCTCTCTTCTTTTCTCTCTCTATTCTCTTTCCCATTCGCCCTTCCCTCCCCGCATCTGTCTCTTCGTTTCCTTTCTCTCTCCCTTTTCTTCCTCTCTCTTAATTTTCTCCCTCTCCCTTCCCTCTATCCACCTATTCTCCTCTCAGCAAGGAGCAGTATTCACCCCTGGACTACAGCGGTTTCTTCTCATTCGCCTGGCTGTCTTGGATGTCACCCCTCTTCTACAAGGCCTACAAGAGGTCACTAGAGTACACCGACCTCTGGACTATATCTGACTACGACAGAGGCGACTACAACGGAGACAGGCAAGTACTTCATCACTGCCAAATGAGAGTTTAAAGCCGTTGGAGAAACGAAATAGCGCCTTTTACGTCGCATTTCAGTTTAAACTCTCATCTCCGTGCTCCATCCAAACAAACTACTATAGAAAAAATATCACAAATAATAAATAAATAGGGATTTTCTTTCCCAGATTGATTCCCCAAGATAAGAATCATCCTATAAATCAATCACTTTTAATGATACGAATAATATCTGGTATTTCGTCACTATTCTGATGACGTATGCTATAATTATAAATTAGGCTTTTAAAAGACATTCTAGAGAATATGATTATCGTCATTGCAATGTAATATTTTGATATTTAATCTAGAAATTGTTCAGAATGCTTCCAAGTTTCCTTCTAACACTGCACCAGGTTGTGTGCTGAAATTGAAGCCCACGAAATAACTCGTAATAGTTCGTGGCAGCTCGTACTTGTCCGAAGGGATCAGTAGTAATTCGTTGCAATTAGTAGTACGTAGTAGTTCGTCGTAACTCGACACCGTTCATAACTCGCAGTGTCTCTTGTTGAATTCAAGAAGCTCGGAAGATTCTGGGAAAGTTAAGTTTTCAATGCTCATAATGGGAAAGGGAAGTAGAACTTATTGTTCCTATTTTGTCTCAATTTGGTATTTTTTCTTTGAATCTAGATTGGAGAAGTACTGGCAGAAAGAAGTCACAAAGAAGGGGGAGAAAAACGTATCCCTAGGTCGTGTCGCCCTCAGCTTTGTTGGTACAAGACAATTCATCTCCATTCTCTTTCTCGTCATATCAACCCTCGCATCTTTTGTAACTTCGGTAAGATTCTATTTCATCATGATTCTTTAAAATAATAATAATTATATTAATGATACTACTACTACTACTACTACTACTATACTACTACCACTATACTACTACTACTACTACTACTACTACTACTACTACTACTACTACTACTAATATACTATTACTACTACTACTACTACTACTACTACTACTACATACTACTACTAAATAAACTATTTGACGCATCTTATTTCGTCTACATCAAATCCATCTCTAATTAAGTACTATCTGTTTTGTTCTGTGATCCCACTCGTTAAATTTCCCGTTAATTGTTCTCTTGTCATTCAAAATGTTTGATACGTGAGATATAAACCCATTGCAATGATAAATATGATTTTATGGCCAACAAATTAGTTAGATCGGATTAGGTAATGTTGTGATTATTTAGACCTTGCTCTCTCTCCATTTTTTCTCTCGAATCTCGTATGGATAAGGAAATTTAGAATTTCATATGAAATTTAATATTCTATCGTTTATGATTCTTAGCTGTATTGAAATGTAAGTTGATTCCATGTCGCCTAAGACTACAATAAATCGACTTTCAGAGAATTTTAGAGAATCCTGAATAAGGGGACATTTCTTTAAGTTGCAGTAGATCAAATGTTTATATTTTTAGGTTAGCTGATCTTTTTTAGTCTCTTCTTTCATTTGAAAAATAAAATCTTTCTTCTCAACACGATTGCCAAGACATTCACGAAATCATGGCAATGCCAATACCCTTTTGCGATCGGATTTAGTAATATGACATTGTAATGTTAAAGATAAACTTTAGTACTGGTAATGCGATTGCATTGTGAAAGAAAAGGTGTGGAAAGGATCAGAAACAGTTGATCATGTAGCATGTAAGTATTGGTGTGCACTGCAAGGTTCTGGAGACGTCAAAATCATAATAAATTTGACCGAGTCTTGGTAAAGTAACAAGCACTGTACACAGAAAGCTATATATGGGACAACACACATGGTGTCGGGGCTAGTACAACCTTGATCTCCTTGTCTTTCTATGCTCATAACTCAGCCAGTATACATTTGCTTCCAAAATTGTTTGGCACATGTCATTTATTTGTAATCTTGAACATTCAGTGTAAGTTTCATTTGATTCTGTGAGAATTAATTTTCTTTTTTTTTTTACCAGAACTGGAGTTTATCTATAATGTTGATGCACAGATTAAAAAATTTAAACTGACTGATGTAGATGTTTTTTATTTTGACTGTCAGTGCGATCATGTCGATCTTTCATGACTAAATTTGTAGTTCAAAGTCATATTTTAAGTACCCCCTTTGCTATATTTCGTCCTACAAATTTACAGGCAGTATGTGTTCAGCTGTTACTACAGTACGTCGAAGACGAGAACGACAACCGTGTGTGGTACGGCATTGTCATCGTCGTCGCCGTATTCGTTCTCAACATCATCCGTATCATGTGTGATGTGTTCTTCTGGTGTTTCAGCTGCCGAACAGCGACCCGACTTCGTAGTGGGATGCTTGCATTGGCGTTCCGAAGATTGGCTGATTTGAGGAGTTTGAAGGATCATAGCGTGGGAGAGGTGGGTTTGCGTCTTTTGCGTCTTTTTATGCCCGTCTGCGTCTTTTTAAAACCTAACCTAGCCATCCTAGCGATGCATATTAATATTTGAATATATGAATATATGCGTTGGTTATTCGGTGTGGTGGAGATCACAATTAAATCGGCCAGATTCTGGCCTAACCAGTATGTCGCAATGATTATGGATACGTTACGACCTTGGTAGTCATTCGTTTACGGTAAGCCTCCCGATTTTCTTGCAATGTCATTTATTTTAAGTAAACATAGCGTTGCACTTGTAATTTTTGTATGAAATCTCATTATTTGATAAATTATCGCATCAGCTACATAAAGAAAAAAATTATCGCATCAGCTGCTGTGTGCGTGCGTATCATGAATATTTATGACTAGCGCATGACGTATAAGTTCCTATTGAGCCAATCAAATGCAGCGATATGATGGCTAGGTTAGGAAAAAAGACGCTGCCCGTTTCGCACGACCACACGATGCGCTATTACCTGCGTTGATAAGGTAATCTGAGTCAACGTCAGTAATTCAATGAAAATGTTTGTTTTGTTCATTTTGCATTCACTTATGTACGGCACCAATCAAATATGGTGCGTCAAAGATCGCGTTAGTCTCAGTGCTACGGCAACCAAAATGATACCAAGTGTGTAACAGCCTTTTAAACACCACTCCAAGGTTTCTTTCTTTTGTGACGTTATGCCTATTGCACACGAGGTGTCATTTGTCTGACGTAAGGCTGTGTCAGTGACTAGCATGGCCTTTGACGCACCGTGTATTAGTTATATCGTATAGAAGTGGATGCAATGTGAATTGTAAAAGAAGCATTAAATAAGTTACTTGTATAAATAAATTAAATATCCCCCTACTGCTAGGTATCTTGGTATTCTTATTTCTAAATTAAGCGTTTTTAATGGAAAATATTTGTTCCCCCTACCGTCATCATCGATGACGCATTCTCGCCTTCCAGATCGTGAACATATGCGCCAACGACAGTCAGCGTCTGTACGATGTCTGCCTGCTGGGCAACTATATCATCTCATCGCTGGTCATGCTCCTCGCCGCGCTGGTCGCTGTCCAGGTCATTATCGGTACGGGAGCCCTCATCGGAACCGCGATTACATACCTCATCTTCTTGCCGTTGACGGTGAGTTACGTGGCTTTCACGACTTTGAGATTTAGAAGAAACATAACAGAAATCAGGAAGATACCTTCAATCAGTTCGAAAATGTTAAAACACCTATTTTTTCCCCAATCACGACGCACATGTGATCGCCTTCTATGTCTTTTTCTTTGTATGTTTCTTTTTCTTAATCATGTTGTATTTGCATTCAATTCATCTTCATCTATTTTATAGGGGTCCTTTGTTTCCGGGCTTCTTTCCTTTTCATTGAGTCTCACTGCCCGTCTATCTGTCTTACGGGTATAATTGTATAAATTATGTCTGTAGGTTTATCCGTCTTTTTTCTGTCTATTTGTCTATCTGCTTATCTTTCAAACGACCCATTTAATTGGGCATACTGAATTATGTCTTCCTGTCTGTATGTATATCAGTTTATCTGTCTGTCTATCTGTCAATCCGCTTTTCTTTCAGACGACCAGTCTGCTTACCTGTCTGGGTTTCGCCTGTATTTCTGCTTATCTGTATAGGCCTATGTCGTTGTCCTGGGGGGCGTTTCACAAAACTTGTCATCAGTGACAAATAAAAGTTTTTGTTATAAGCTACTGAAATCCTTGCTTCTGATTGGTTATCAGCAGATTCATCACTGAGTTTTGTCATTTGTCATTGAAAAAATGCTTTGAGAAACGGGCCCTTCCCGCTTATTTTGTTTTTCTATCTTTCTCTCTCCCACTCAGACGGGCGTTGGTCGAATCATCTCTAAGATCCGTATGAAATGCATAAAGTACGTTGACCTTCGGGTTCAAAAGATGAACGAGATCTTGACATACATCAAACTCATCAAGATGTATGCCTGGGAGTCGCCTTTTGGCAAAGCTATACAAGGTTCGGTTCAATTTGATTTGACTCATCATTCATATATCTTTTTAACTCGTAGCCTGCCATAAGGCTGCATGCACGCTATCGTTATACTGCTTTGTACATGCGAGAGAGCTATCGTTTCAGTGCCATGTGCGTGCAATGCAGCATTCGTAATAGCAGTTATTGTTCATGCTCATTGGACTGTGCTGTGTATTTTGCACTCGCTATTCATAGAACCATCGCGTTAATCAGATTATCTCCAAAACAACCTGGCACGGGGGGGATTTGGGGCTTGGCACAATGGGGATTAGCCCTGTGGCATGATAAGAGTTAAAACCCACGTAGCATATTTATTATTAATAATAATATAATTAAACATTGGATATATATTTTGGTAAACGTTGTAAAAGTCAACTAAATATTGTGAAAATTTGAAATCAGATTTAGTACTTGTAAAGTTAAATACACGCATTTGCTTGACATCCGAACCTTATATTTACAAATAATTTATTTGTAACGAAGTTTATACGCGTATTTACATTATGTAAAATTGTTAAATCTTAATAATTTGTTTCCTCGACATTCTGGTGTAATAATGATTGCAGGCCCGGATTGCAGGGCCCTCAGGGAGTACAATATTAATAGTATTTAGGCTATCCTGTATAAGGCATACTGTTTGAATGCATTTAGTAAAGAAGTAACGAGAGAAGATATTGATATTTCTGCTTATTTACAGCTATCCGTGCGCAAGAGAGAGTTTACTTGGAAAGAGCTGGTATCTTGCAGAGTTTTAGTCTCTCCGTCGTCCCCGTCGTACCCAGTCTAGCTGCTGTTCTATCCATCATAATTCACGTAGCCTTAGGAAACTCGTTGTCGGCGACGGAGGTAAGGATTGTTTCACGATATGCGTCATTTCGATTACGTCAGGCTTGCGCCATTCGAGCAAATGAAAGCAAGAAGCCCATGTATACGCCAGTAACTCAACGCAATGTATTTACTGTTCTTTGTTGTCAGTAATGTGTGCACCGCATCGCCTTCACGTGGTGCGTCAAAGACCACATCAATCGCTGACGCAATCATACGTCAGGCAAATGACGCATCGTGTTTAACGGACTTAAGAAACGAAGTCGAAAGTTTGTTCATGACATATGTCAAGCCCATCGCACATGATGCGTCATTTCCCTGACGTAGGACTGCGCCAGCGACTGGCGTGGCATTTGAAGCACCAGTAAGAGTGACATGGTACAAAAGTTGAGTGCAACATGGCACCGGAAACATTGCGTCGACTTACTGGCGTATGGGCTAATTGCCTTCACATACTCGATTAGCGCAGATGAAAGGCTATCTTAATGGCGCCTCATGCGCGACAGCCATTATTGTTGAGATGCTGGTAGTCATTTACCCTTTTTTCGCATTAAAAAATGATTTCACGGGGAAAATCGTCTGCGAATTGATAGGCATGACTTTAAATCTGATGTCTCTGGTTCGCATTAACAAATGTTCACTTTAACGTGTTTTGAGTATAAAGAAACGATTACGTAGCTCGTGGTAAAAGTCCTGAAGAGTTTCAATTACCTAACTCACGCTTGAGACCTTTTTCATACTGTGCATTTATACATGTATTATTAAAATTGATTGTAACTGGTACATATATGCATGCCATGCAAAGGGATTTTGAATGGCTGAAAATGTATTTCTTCTATTTAAATTAAACAATAACAATAATAATTTTAATCGTAATATTTATGTAGTGCTTAAAACTATTTTTTGAAAATTTATTATGATTCAGCATACTTTAGCCGAGCTACCCTGATGGCCTTCTATAATAGCAATACAACACTGTTTAATCCAAAAGTGCTCTCTTTTAAGAATGCCCAAACCTCGTTGCATTTCAAACATTTTGAGTGTCTGATGTCAGCATTTTTGTATTATACATATTTGATTAACCGTGTCCACTTAAAAAAAACTGCACCTTTTCAATTCAAAACGAAGTATTTGCTTTCGGGTGCATGTGGATTATTGAGTAAACAATGACAAACCGTTCTTTCAGGATTATTCCAACTACGACGGGGCATTATGAGGGATGTTCTATAGTCTAATTAAGGGACGTACATCGACCATTTTGAATGAGGGCCGGGCGGGGCTGATGGACAAGCTCGTAAGCAAGAAGAAAAAGTAGGAAACGGTCTTCAATGTTTGTAATTTGCCGCCAAGGTTACACAAATAAATGTCACATTTGCCGACAGGAAATTTTAAGTTGGAGGGGAGGGGGTTGTCACACCCCATACCCTCCCTCTAACAAAATTATGTTGTCTGTCTGTTCTGCAACAGGAATGACAAATAATAAACGGAAATTCAAACAATATGGCCGCCACTTGTCTACGACTGGACCAAAGTTCAGACTTTTTGAGCAAATATACATTTCTCTTTATAGAATATTGGTAATAAATAAGTCATAATATTGTGCGATGGCATTCCATAAAGTTATATAACTGATTGTAAATTGGTGGGAATTTCTTTTATATTTCAAACATATTGTAGTATTATAAAAACCCGTAAAAGCCAATGTACATAAATCATGATAATAATGTGATAATAACACGTGCGAAATGTGTTACTGAATGTAAGAATGATTCGTTTTAACGAAATATATTCTGTTTTTGTGTTTAATCACAGTCTGATGAAAAGAGGCAAACTCGTTTTTTCCTTTGATTTGAGGGACAGAGTTGGTACCACCACCATACGTGAAATTCAGATTGATTTGTTCACTACAGTACATCGTGCAGATGGTATTACATCAACAAATAATATAACAAAATAAATTTCTGATGTAGGAGTGAAGTTAACAGTATGTGGTTCGCATGTTATGGCCTTGATTTTAATTATTTTTTTACAAAATAGTAAAGCTCTGCGTTTATCTTACATGCTCGAAAACTAAGCTAGAATAATCTATGATTGGGATATTCAATTTAATCATTTGATAAAATATCATTAGTAACAAACAAGATATTGAAAACTACGAAATATTCAAGAAGGTTAACATTTTTAGTCAATCCGTGACACCTGAATTCCTGGAATGTCTTGTCGAGTGTAGAAAGGAATTTCGATTAAAAAATAACGTGAATGTGTTTTTTTCTCTTAAGATTGAAATTGAAGAGAGGTACAGATGATGGCGGACTTGTATAGTGAGTTCAAGAGCCTGGTGGCATCTGGAAGGACATTTGAGACGACTGTCTTCATTGCGAATTTATTTATTTTACAGGCGTTGACATTTGTGTCTTTGCTGAACATGAGGAAGCGGATTGTTTTTGAGCCGCCCCTACGCTGTCAAGATGATTCTCCGAACCCCTTGACGTGTTAAACAGCAAAGTATTAGATAAAATAAAATCTTATCTTAATCATTAAAACCAATATTTAATATCTTTTTTCTTTTGCAGGCGTTTACATTGGTGTCTTTGTTGAATGTGATGCGAGTCGTTCTGGGCCCGACTCCCTACGCTGTTAGGATGATAGCCGAAGCGAACGTGGCCCTCCGTCGTCTCAAGGTATGAATATAAAGCAAGCACGCGGTCAAACGGGGTGAAATATAATGTTGATGCGGGAAGTTCTCTTACCCCCCCCCCCCCACCCCCACACACACACACAAGTTTTGTTCATAAATCTAAAGTTGTTGTTGGCATTTGATAATAATCTTAATAGCAAAGTCATTCATATAGCGCTTTCACAGTGCATCACAGAGTTCAAACAAAAAACATGTAAGTAGAAAAAGGTAACGATAATCATTGAAAAGGATACATTTTAGTGCCTTCTTGAAAACATCTCATGAGGAAGCCAGGCGGTCAGATCGTGGCAGGTCATTCCAGAGTAGTGGTGCAGAGGCCTGGAAAGTATTACTTTGAGCTTAATTTGTCACAACATGAGAACAACATTATGGTGACTCGGACTTTTTCATGGTTAATTGTGTAACCAGGCGCGTACGCAGGGGGGGGGGGGGGGGGGGGGGGGGTGTTTGGAGGGGTTAAACCCCCCTTTGGTATTTTTATGTGTATAAACCCCCCTAAACCCCCCCCTTTTTGGTTGTTTTGTTTTGTTTTGTTTTTTGATAATTAAAAAAAAAAAAAAAAAAAAAAAAAAATATTCTCATGGCTGACCTAAAAAAAGGCGACCTTACCCCCCCCCCCACCCCCTGCTTATTCAGCGGCTGGCTGAGCCGATGCGAAATTTTCGGCCCGATTTAAAAATGTTAAAACCCCCCCCCCCCCCCCCCCCCTTGAAAAAATCATGCGTACGCGCCTGTGTGTAACATATTTTTAGTGTGCAAGGACATAAACATTAATAGGAAATTATAACAGATTAATGCACCTCTATTTTCTGGCAAGAGAACTAGGAAACTGAACATTTAATCCCTATTATGACAACAAATCGACCTGTGTATCCCTTTTGCGACCAACATCAAATTCTGTAGAGCTTTGCAGGAATTATGAATATGTCACGTATGTCCTACATGTGAAATTTAAACGTTAGCAGTGTCCTAGTATTCAAATTATGCAATAAAATCCGTTTAGTTTCTAGAATTCACTGTCAAAAACTATTGAGTGACTGACTGACTTTTTTTTCTTTGGTAATAGCATTTGTCTACATTAATAACCCACTACTTCTAATGGCCAAATATTATTTAATTAAACGAGCGCGCTCGCTAAATCCCACAAAAAGATATTTTAAGCCCTTTTGTTTTGAGGGAAGTTGGAATGCAACCTTTTCATGTTTTGGCCTTCAAGTGAGACATAGTACCTTAAATACAATATGTTCATTTGTTTGAATGTTTAACAATCGCCCATCGTTTTCCATGACACACTCTCAATTTGAGATACATATCTGTCATTCTTCCGTGTGTAGGAAATCATGATTCTCGAAAAGATGCAACGAAACGAGGAGCTCGAAGACAGCAGTGAAAACATGGTAGAGATTACCGGGGCAACATTCGGCTGGGATGTTATCCAAGCTGAGGGGTTAGATGATGAGACGACGGAGAAGAAGAACAAGAAGGAGGAGAAGGAGAAGGAGAAGAGAGGGAAACCTAACAATGCAGAGAGGAGTGAAGGTTCGGAGAAGCGAGTTTTTACTTTGAAACGACCCTAGGCTTACGGTTACAATGTTAGGCATAAATATTCACTTCTGAATGACAAGCGCCTATTAAATAAACCAACAACAACAACAACAAATGTTGCGGGGGGGGGAGTGGGTGGAGGCTGACTGACGGCAATTGCACGAATATCAACTTACTTTCTAAACAGGTGGAAAATGCCTGAATATTAGTCGTTTCAGGAAATAACAGGAATTATGTAGTCTCATGAATTTCAAGAATTATGGAAATAACATAATAGAACAGAAGATTCGTTGTCAATGGTCGGAGAAAAAGCTAAGAGGTACTAAAGTTTGACGACAGACTGTGAGCCATCATAGGCACGCTTAATACTCACAGGACGAGCTTTGGTTCAAGGTTTTAAATGATTTCTCTTTCTTCTTTCCATTTAAATCAATACCTAACGAAATTCAACTCCTTTACCAGTTTAGCAAAGAGTGTGGAGACATTTTCTTCAGGGATAGAGTCATGAATTTATTTCTTCCTATCCTTTTGAAAGGAAAACATGTGTCAAGTACTTATTTACATCATCAAGTTGCCTTTTTTTAATTGTTTACTCAAAATCACTTTCTTTCTTTTTTGTCCAAAACCACACATAAAGAATTGAAGTTGGAGCATTCCAATTCGTCGAATGGGCATTTGGCTTCGGAGCGTGACGTTTTGGGCTATAATTCAGCCAAAATCACGCCGGCACTATTTGATCTCGACTTCAAACTCAAGAAGGTAAGACATAATCTAAGTAATGTTTCATACAGTATAGAGTGAAAATCAATAATAGAATAAACATGATATAAACGATATGTGCAACTACCAAAACATATTCAAATTTAGCACAGGTATAATTGGTATCAAGATCTATATGGACGGACAATTTCTTGAGGTAAGAATGAAAGTTTAGAAAATATTCACACTCTTACATTGCAAAAGTTTTTTGATAGATCAGTTTTGTCGGTGCATTATGAATCTTTACGGCTTTATAATATTAATGTTACATTGTGGGTTTCTAGCGTCAATTTCAAATTCTACTTCTAAGATCTGACTAAAATTAGAAAAGGGGGACATTGCTCCCTGCCCCTACCTCTCTTGGCAACGCAGTAGTAGTACAAGTAGTAGTAGTAGCAGCAGAAGCAGTAGGAGCAGATGTAGCAGTAGTAGTAGAAGTAGTAGTAGTAGTAGTAGTAGTAGTAGTAGTAGTTTTAGTAGTAGTAATAGTAGTAGTAGTAGTAGTAGTAGTAGTAGTAGTAGTAGTACAAGTAGTAGTAGTAGTAGTAGTAGTAGTAGTAGTAGTAGTAGCAGCAGCAGAAGCAGTAGGAGCAGTTGTAGCAGTAGTAGTAGTAGTAGAAATGGTAGTAATAGTTGTACAATGTAGAAGTAGAAGTAGTAGCAGTAGTAGAGCGGAAGTGAAAGTGATTACGTAATTTACTGGAACGTCTTCGCCCCTTTCTTCTGCAGAGAACTTTGACGGGTGTATGCGGTCTCGTCGGCAGCGGTAAATCTTCTCTCATCTCCGCCATCTTGGGTGAAATGGAGAAGGTCAAAGGTAGCTGCAAGGTCAGAGGTCGATTAGCATATGTGGCGCAGGAGGCCTGGATTTTCAATGCCACAGTGCAAGAGAATATCCTGTTCGGTACGAGAATGGACGCGAAGCGGTACGACGCGGTTCTTACCGCATGCAGTCTCAAAACGGATATGGAGATCCTAATGGATGGCGATCAAACTGAGGTATTCCGAAATTCCTTTTTTTCGTTGTTGGTTGATGATTCATGAATGATATCGAGCGATTGATTCACAGACTACTGCACTTATTTACGGTAATCATAATTGTAAATCATATCTGAATAGGCGAACAGACTTACGATCAATATTCCAAGACCCTGTGTGACGAACTATCAACTTTACCCGTTATTTTTGGAAACATTTGTGTAGATGAAATACACCTTTCATCCAAAAGTAAGTGCTCAGTCGGGCAGGGCTCTCTTGCAAAATATCTGGCTGTCGAATGCAATTTTTTTCTTCTCGAAAAGGTATCCATACAACATGAATAGGTTGTACTCCAACCACACCGAAAGACCAACCCCAAATCGACCGATCACCGACAAAATCTTGTCATTTCGGGTAGTGTAATGTCTTGTACATTCTCTTGTCCTTCTGGGGCCCGTTTCACAAAGCCTTTTTTCAATGACAAATGACAAAAATCAGTGACAAATCTGCTTATAACCAATCAGAAGCAAGGATTTCAGTAACTTGTAACAAAAACTGTCATTTGTCACTGATGACAAGTTGTGTGAAACGCCTCCAGGCTCCAGGTGTCGGTCCATTTGATTGGGTGGCTCTTTTAACTTTAAAATCTTCAAGTGCAACTTTGTTCAAGATAGATATGCATGAGATTTAAAAACACCGGCAAATTAAACCATTTAATATTCCACACTTTTAGATCGGTGAGCGAGGAATCAACGTAAGCGGTGGTCAGAAACAGCGGATAAGCCTAGCCAGAGCCGTCTACGCCGACCACGATGTCTATCTACTCGACGACCCACTGAGCGCGGTTGACGCGCACGTCGGCGAACAGATCTTCAACCGCTGCATCAAGGGAGCCCTCAGGGATAAAACGGTTCTCTTTGTGACACATCAGTTACAGGTACAGTAATACCCGCTGCACACACGGTGCGTCAATTGGATTCCGTCATTACCTGCGTCAATTTTAAATTCCATGAGACAATAATTCAACGCAATATTTGCACTTTTCAATTTGCACTTTTTTCCTTTTGTACAAAGTCACTAACTAAGCGTTGACCATTTTAGAATGAGTTACATAGAGAAATGAGACTGAAAAAAGTACACTTCACTACTTTCAGTCTGTCTCACTTTATTCCTCTCTGCAGTTCCTGCAGGATTGTGACACGATCGCAGTCCTGATGGAGGGGAGACGAGCCGAGCAGGGAACTCATCGGGAGCTGATGGACGAGGAGGGCGGAGAGTATGCCCGTCTCATCACCGCACATTATACCAAACCACCTGAAGAGGAGAAGAAGGTCGAGGAACCCATGACACCCAAGCTTAAAAGGTAAAATATAAATCACGTACTGATTTTTTTTTGTCTAACTTATTTTATCTACCATTCTGATACTCTTTATTGCTTTATAATCATTTTAGATTCTTCGCTTCTGGCATGCTGTATTCCTAAATCCATCACTGGCACCATTCTCACATGTTATCTGGGCCCTGTCTTATAAAGAGCTGATATTAATCGCAACTTATTTGCGATTTACATGATCCGTAACTATGTACATAAGCAACAGGGAACTGCAAACTCTCGACTAATTAGCAGACTTGCAATTAATTTGGATCAATCAAAACTCTTAATTAGACAGGTGTGTAGTTAATATTGATTAATACCCCCTCCCCCCAAAAAAAGAAGAAGAAGAAGACCCCCCCCCCCTTTCCAACAAAAAATAAAATATAGAACACCTGCGAATCTTGATCTTTCCTTTTGTCTTTGTAGACAGATCAGTCGTCAGAAGTCGATGAGTCGGAGCGTGGCCAGCGAGATAGAGGCTGAGAGCGTCGCTTCATTCCAGGAAGGTAGGTTTTAATTTCAGTTTTTGCTCGGTTTTTTTCATCAGAGCTGTCTCGGTTATTGCACAGCATTTGCTCTCTGAGTTTGCTTTAACACAAATACTTTTTTACATCCATATTTTCTAATACATTTCGTCAAAATTTCCTTTTAATATAGAGTATTTGTAATGCGCCACCTCCACATGAATAATGTGTTCGAGGCGCATGGAGAAGAAGAACTATAGAGTACACAAAAATACACACAGAAATGAACAACAACAGTAAAATAAATCTAAATCTACTGGAAAGCCGCTTTGAACAAATTAGTTTTGAGGGCATGTTTAAAGCAATCTACACTTGAAATATAACGAATATGTTGTGGCAATTGATTCCATAGGTGAGGTCCAGCGTGTGCAAATGACCGATCCCCCCATGATTTCTTAGTTTTCGGAACAACAAGCAATTGAGAATCGGATGATCTTTTCATAAGCAAAAGTTGTTGACTACTACCATCTTGACTATGATTATGTTAATGCTTCCGAGAGAGTGAGTGTTTGTGTGTGCGTGAGAGAGAGAGAGAGAGAGAGAGAGAGAGAGAGATGTTTGGATACGTCCGTATCTTTTGGTAACAAAACCATTTATAACAAGATATAAGGGTATTTCGATGGCCTTCCATAGCATCACCTTTCGGAATGTGTAAACATCATCAAAGCATTAACTTAATTCATTTAATCTGAACACATATCCAATATAAATTATTGGCATTGCCCTTGAGATGCTTCTAAGTTACCATTGAGTTGATTAAGTCTCTTTGATGGTATTTAATTGTTTAAAACTTAACTTTTTACATGATACAACGGAATACAAATTTAACTAATTGCTGATAACTTACCAAAATATCAATAACTCATTAATTCACCCCATTTATATTTGCATGCAGTTGGACAGCTCACCACGGCGGAGGAGCGGGGTAGCGCAACACTGGGTTGGCAAACCTACCACGGGTACATCATGGCCATGGGTGGATATTGTAATGCTATTGTGATCGTTCTCTCATACTTGGTTGTAATTGGCTTGCTGACGGCAAACGCGTGGTGGCTGAGTTTCTGGATTGAAAACAGTTTGAACAGACCGGTAAGTCTTCTTCTTCTTCTTCCCCGTATCTTTCTACTTCTTCTTCTTCTTATCTTTCTTCTTCATATTCTTCTTTCTCTTCTTCTTCTTATCTTTCTTCTTCTTCTTCTTCTTCTTTTTCTTTTTCTTCTTCTTCATATTCTTCCTCTTCTTCTTCTTCTCCCCCTCATCCTCCTTCTCCATATTAATAATGTTGTTGTTGTTAGTAGTGCAGTTGTTGTTGTTGTTGTTATTCTTCTTCATATTTTCCCTCTTCTTCTTCTTCTCCCCCCTCATCCTCCTTCACCATATTAATATTGTTGTTGTTGGTGGTGCAGTTGTTGTTGTTGTTATTGTTCTTCTTATAATCTCCTTCTTCTTCTTCTTCTTCTTCTTCTTCTTCTTCTTCTTCTCCTCCTCCTCCTTCTTCATATCCATCTTGTTGGTGTGGGTGCAGTTGTTGAAGAGAGAGAGAGAGAGGGGGGGGGGGGGTGTAAGAGTGGAGGGCTGGAAGAGTGGAGGGGTGGGGGGAGAGGGGTAAGTGATGAAACGACCCTTTCCATAAAATCTCCCCTCCTCCCCCCTCTTCCTCTCTCTCCTCTGATCCTTGTTCTCTCCAATTTTCCCACCTTTTTATGCTTAATGAGCATAATTATTAAAGTTTAAAAAAAACACAATCCTTTTTCACACATGCTTTTGTTCTGTTTCGTAGTACAACGAGACCCTCGGCGACGAAATTCCAACATTGACGAACGATGATAGGCTAGGTTTCTACATGGGAATCTACGGAGGCTCACTTCTGGTCATCCTCATCTTAGCACTACTAAAAAGCGTTGTCTACTCGAAGGTAATTGTAATCTTGTAAATGTAGTAGGAGTTGACCAAGGACGTTGTCAGGGTGGCGTCCGAGTCAAATAAAATCTCTGAAAAGTGAAGAAAACAAAAACAAAACAAAAAATGAACAAACAGACAAACTATCCAACCAACCGACAAATGTTATCACACTCTCCTGCTACATTTTTGGACTCAAACTTAAGAGGGGTGCAAGAACACAATTTGAAGAGGAGGGGCGGGCGTACATTTTGTGTCAAATGGTATTTTAAATAATACCAGATTTTTGTCGGAGGGGGTGGGGGTAGGGGGGGCGTCCCCTTGTTTACCCTCTAGATCCGCCACTGAATCTATAGGATTTACGAAGAGGTGGTAAAAATATTGATGGATGGATCACATTATCTCAAAAATGTTCAGTTTATATCAAGATCAGTTGTTCGTATTTCACTAATTTTTCCCGATTTCAGAAAAGAATAAGTTCTACGACAAATGCCCAAGCGTCGATTGCTCTGTGAAAACTTCCTACATCACCCATATTCCTAACTCAACATTTGACCTAACACTATACCTAACCGTAACCCTAACATATCCTAAGACCCAAATTACAACCCTAACCCTTTATATTTGACGAAATAAAGTCCGGAGCAACAGTCACCGGATCAATTAATGTAAGATTAATCACTGGAAATCAATGTTCTGTTTGCTCCATCTTATGTGTATATAGTTGACGATGCGGGCTTCCTCCAGGCTACACAACACCCTCTTCAAGAAGGTTTTAAGGAGTCCGATGAGTTTCTTTGATACCACACCGACAGGAAGAATTCTCAACAGGTTCTCTAAAGATATGGATGAACGTACGTATTCCCTATATGTATGGGCAGCGTTTCACGGAACTGTCATAAGTGCAAGTTCGTCGACATCTCATTGAAACGCGTATATTCAAATTAACACGCGTTTGAACGAGATGTCGGTGAACTTGTACTTATGACGGTTTCGTGAAACATGCTCTGGTATACACTTTCACGCAAGTACTATATACTCAAAAGTATCACTAGAATATTCCAAGGGCAGGTGCAGTGTTCTCTTGCAAGGAGGGGGGGGGGGGGGCACATATGCAAAAATGTCTGACAAGCAAGCAACAAAGAAAGAAAGAAAGAAGAAAAACAATTACTTGACTTGGCCCAATCGGCCTAAAATTCGTTTTATTTTTTTCATGGAGGATCATTCGCCCATTGATATCTTTTGGAGTGAACTATCAGCTTTTTAAGGCTGAGATACCGGATTGGAGGTAAACTTTTCAGGGTTACATGATGTAGAATTGCATGGTGTAACACTTAAGTCAAGGCATGGCGATGTAAGCTGTAAGGCATTACTTCCTACCAGGTAACAGATGAACATAATAGAATACTTATAAATCGCACAATAAACATAAGTTTCTCTATGCGCTGATAATAGGGACTTTTAGATTTGAGTGGACTGATACGTGTGACGTCCATTCAAGGCAGTGCATCAAAAGGACGTCGATCGTAGCGTAGACCTATTGTCTTGGTGCGAATCTAAAAGTCCCTACTATCTTTGCTGGGACTTGAGCCGCGGACCATTTAACCCACAGTCTAGTGACTGCCCATTAGATCATGACACCTGGGGGGCGTTTCACAAAACTTGTCGTCAGTGACAAATGACATGTTTTGTTATAAGCTACTGAAATCCTTGCTTCTGATTGGTTATCAATAGATTTGTCACTGATTTTTGTCATTTGTCATTGAAAAAAGGCTTTGTGAAACGGGTCCCTGGAAAGGGCATTTCAATTGACGTAAAACTCCCAAAGCGCCAATTAATTTTGTTCTTCCCTCGATTTTCTTTTACAGTGGACGTCATCCTCCCAATCAACCTGGAGCTGACGTTAATGAGTGTGTCGTTGATCCTAGCCTCTCTCGTCACCATCTCCGTGGTCTTCCCTTACTTCCTCGCCGCGGTCGTCCCCATCCTCATCGTCTTCTACTTCATCATGAACTTCTATCGGAAGGGCGTCAACGACCTCAAGCAGATCGAGAATGTGAGTCGGTCGCCATGGTTCTCGCACATCGGCTCGACGGCGATGGGCCTGGCCACCATCCACGCCTACGATAAGACAGCTGATATGATCAAAAAGTGAGTCAGATCAACTAGTAGAAGCTGCATTTACGTCAACTGTTAGTAACTTGAAGTGTCACGAAGTACTTGTGAGGAACAACCTCTCTTTTGGAACATTTCAAATGTATACAAATCGAAAGTGATACGGATTTCTGAGAGGATATTTTTGTTTTCTCTTGTAAAGTAAGTCGGCTATAGTTCACGTCACGGACTATGTTGGCATTACTAGACTTCTGGGAAGTTATGAAAGGGTACTGGAGACCGGCATGTTTGTCTTTTGTTCCGGCGAAAATTGCCTCGAGCTTTATTTCGTCATAAGTTTAGGGTAGGGTTGCTGTTGGGTTTAAGGTTATGATGTTTAGGGTAAGGTTAAACGGTTAGGTTTAGTGCTGGGTCTAGGGTTGAAGTTAGGAATTCAGTTAAGGAAGGGCATTATCGCGGAACAACTGTCGCAGGAGCAAGTGTCGCTGGCCTTAACAACCCTTCTTAGGGTTCATTATTAAACCGACAATGGCGGTCTCGTGGGCTATGGTCTCGCAGGCTGTCGTTTTACTTAGATGTCTCGGCTAAAGTCACCTGTCATCTCTCTCTCTCTCTCTCTCTCTCTTTCAATAGATTCGTCTACCTACTCGACATCAACGCTCACCCTATGATGCTGTTTCGCATGGCTAACCGATGGGCTGGAGCACGCTTAGAGATTCTCGTTGTCCTGATCGTTACCGGGACCAATCTAATGGTTGTCCTCACCAAAGGTACCATTGCTACTTCCACCGCTGGACTGGCCATCTCTTATGCTATACAGGTAAGTTCATCCAGTGTATATATATGTATAGGTGTCGTGGTCGAGGGGATATGCCACCGGACTGTGGATCACGAGGTCCGCGGTTCAAGTCCCGCCGCGGCACTATATCCTTTGGCAAGACATTGATCTACATTGCCATGGGTAGATGGGTGCCTAGTAGGATTATTCCTTGAAATGCACTGTGCACCGATATCGGTAGCCGGAGCTAAAGCTAGGGTAATAATTTTCGAAACTCTTTGGAAGCGCATAGAGACTAAGTATTATGCGCTATACAAGGACGGACTATTATTATTACATGAAAATGATTTGGACAAAGATATACCAAGCCCTTTCTTTCTTGCACGCATTAGAACATTTTACGAAAGGATGAACCGAATAATTGCAATGCGGATCATCTTTTTTTCTCTTTGCAGGCAAATCAAACGTTTCACAGACGTCTAAATTCAAATTATAGGAACCAGTCGTAAACTGCACATTCAGAATGGTGCAAATCAGGAATCGTTCAATACGACGTTGTATAGGCGGATCAGAGAGTAGATTGCTCGGGTGTGTGTGTCAATCAGATATGATTATTTACGTCTGGGGACCGACTTTTAATGTCACCATCCGAAAGATGTGACTCAGTTTCGAACATGCGTCCTTGGCTGAATACATTGATAGCTGGATTACAGGCGCATGCCACAACGCCCCGCTGACAAAGTATTCTGAACAAGTGTTGAAAGGTGTTGTACGATACGTCGCCGGACTGTCGATCACAAGGTCCGCGGCTCGAGTCCCGCCGCCATACTAATGTCCTTTGGCAAGACATTGATCTACATTTGCCACACTCCACCCAGGTGAAGTAAATGGGTACCTGGTAGGAATTTGTTCCTTGAAATGCTATAGCGCCGTATGGCAGCCGTGCTAAAGCCAGGGTAATAATCGGGAGCGGCCGGAGGGTCAAATCTGACTGACGTGAGCGCTATACAACTAAGAACGCAATATTATTATTATTATTAAAGGTAGTCTATACCAATCTTTTTTTTGATCCACCAGCTGACTGGTATGTTCCAGCTTCTGATGAGCACCCTGGCAGAGACGGAAGGCAGGTTCTTTTCGGCAGAGAGGATCCTTGATTATAACAGGGTAAGAGCTAGTATGCCCATTCAATATTTTTTAAAATTTATTATTGATTTTATTTTATTTTATTCTATTAACCAATATAAATGATAACATGAGAAAATAACATTGAATGGATCGCCCTGCTCTACAATACAAAACAAATGAAAGAAAACGATAGATCAAAAATTAAAATTCTTAACATATTGGTATGATATAAAACAACATCGTTTACACAGTATCATGCCCCCACCTACCCAAGAGCAAGACCCAATACCCCACCCACCCTATTATTGATCAATATTAAAATTCCTCTATTTTAAAGGAAGATAGTTTTCAACGTTATTTTATTTAATAACCTTATGAATTCATTGTAATTTCGGGATGATTTTAAAGCAGAAGATAAGATGTTAAATTGTGATGCCCCACGATATATATGAAAACATTCTACGACATGATTCGGTATGTGGTTTAGGTAAAGATAAATTTCCGATGGAACGTAACGAATATTGGTGATAGACAAAATTATTAGGGGGATGATCGAAGAACAAGACAAGAACCTTGTATGGCACTGGGAAGTTTCGTAGTGGGGTCTGGTAATTGTGATGAATTTTATGATGACATATTTTATTAAATCCAGTCTGTACTAGTTTGGGCAGGGGGATTAGACCTTCCAGCGAGGTCACTGACAGGTGGTTATCTCATCAACTCAGCTCTCAATTAATAGAAGAAAAAGTGGATCATGGGGGACCAACAGGCACCGATTAGGCATTGTGTGTTATATAGAGGGCGCAAGTAGCTATAAGTAGTGCAGTGGGGCTTTAAATGAAGTCCTAAATCATTTTACAGGTTGCATGGCTCAATGCCTGTGGATAATTCTATCCCATATATATCAGTGTCTGGATAACTACTAGATTCGGGTAGCGGTTCGAAAACGTAATCATTACACTATCGTATCTCCCCAAAGTCTCTAGAAGCAGAAGGACCCGAAGTGGTGCTGGATAACAGACCGTCAAAGGAATGGCCTAGTGATGGTGCGATCCGAATCGAAGGCTACAAGATGAGATATCGTGAAGAGCTTCCCCTAGTTCTGAAAAATGTAGACTGCAAGATCAAAGGTGGAGAGAAAATCGGCATTGTTGGTCGTACCGGGTCTGGTGAGGATACATTCATTCATATCTTTCTTATTTCCAAAATATGAAAGGAATAGGACACTAGTTCAACATTTGTATCCATTTTTTTCTCATGACAGGTCATCAAACAGATAAACATTCAAACCAAGACCAAGACCAAAGCCAAACCTAAACTGAAACGGAAACCATATGTCTTGGAATTAAACAGAACAACAAAATAAATGGCAAAGAAGTGGCAAAATTGTGAAGACACACTCTTGTTGTGGTCTAGAGGATAAGTCGTTGGACTGTAGATCACAGGGTCCGCGGTTCGAGTCCCGCCACGGCACTAATGTCCTTTGGCAAGATATTAATCTACATTAGCCACCCTCCATCCAGGTGTTAAATGGGTACCGGTAGAAAGGAAATCCTTGAATGTTGTGAGCACCGAAATCGGCTGCCTAGCAGAGCCGGGGTAATAGCTGGAGCGTCTTGAGCATCATGCATGGTGGATATGTGCGCTATATAAATAGCCAATATTATTATTATTATCATTATCGGTACTAGAACTAAATATTAGGCCTATATTAACGATATTGTCTATCCTTCATTATTATAGGTAAGTCGACGATCAGTGTTGCGCTGTTCCGACTCGTAGAAGCCGACGAAGGGTCGATGACCATTGACGGACTCGACATCAGTACCATAGGCCTGACCGATCTCCGGTCTAAGATCTCCATCATTCCTCAAGACCCAGTCCTCTTCATCGGAAATATCAGGTTGGTCTTAATCATTTTGACCAGTGCCGGCCAGTGCCCCCTCCCCCCTCCCCCAATTTAAAAACTTGAGTCCATGTACCATACTTTAAGTACAAGACATAAAAATGTGTGCCCTTGTGTTATCGCACTCCTTAAAAATTGTAAGGCCGAAAAGTCATCTGAAAACTCACCTTTTCCCCCCGAGTCAGAAGTGTCTTACAAATGTTACTCTCTCCTTTACAGATTTATATATAAACAAGTAGCCGAAGTAGTTGGCTCGAGTGTGTGAATGTCTGAGAATAATCGTCTCCGTTAGGACTGCAGAGTGATAACGAGGACGCGGGAACGGCTGCTATTATCCGAAACATTGCTGAACAAATATCTTTGAATACCTACTGGCAATATATTTTGTCTTCAATTTATCGTGATTTGTAACGATACATGACGGTGCTTTATCTTTCACGAGAAAAAATTTGTAATTGAGTAACGAAATGCGATTTTTTTTTCTCTGATTAAAGGTACAATCTGGATCCTTTTAACGAGCACAGTGATCAGGAATTATGGGGGGCTTTGGAACAGGCATACATGAAAGAACGGGTAAGCCTTTGACATCTCTATAAACACCTCATATTTTTTTCGTCCTTTCTTCTTTTCTTCTTTTGCTCCTTATTCTAATCCTTCTCTCTCTATATAATAAATGAATCATATTCCATCGCATATTGCGTCTTGTAATAACAGTATAGGGCAAAATCCGCTCAAATCAGGCATGACCCAAACTACTTAGGCCTGATCATAACAACTACTCCGTGACTAAACTATACAAAAATAAACTAGAATCATGTACACTGGTGTCTTTGAAACCAACTGAACATTCTTGGGAGGGACAAACACTTCCATCGGAAGGGGGGGGGGGTGACAAGGGAAAGTTTCCCATCTCTCCGACAAATTTGATTAAATTAGGAGGCCCGATTGCTCAGTTGGTAGAGCAGTGGTCTCTCGGGTTCGAAACCAAGGCGATGCGTTAGTGCCCTTTGGTAAGGCATTAGTCCTCATTACCAGGTCTCTCGGAGAGGACCTAAAACCGTCTGTCCTCTGGTTGCTTACTAATTACAAGCATTTATGCTTTCTTAACAGTCAGGCAAAATAACCACCACCACCAATTAGCCCACACACCCTGACAGTTATAGATTTGATTGTGCACTCAGTGTGTGCGGGCAAGCACTGAATCCAATGACCGGGGTAATAGTATATTTGTAAAGCGCTTAGAGACATTTGTATTAAGCGCTTTATAAAAGCTAATTATTATTATTATTATCATTATTATTATTATTATTATTATTATTTGCATGATCCTCTTGTTACAGATTAGTGTTCTTGATCATCAGCTGGAAGCTCCTGTTACCGAGGGTGGAGATAACTTCTCTGTAGGAGAGAGACAGCTTCTCTGCATGGCCAGGGCTCTACTCCGAAACAGCAAGGTAAAAGCGATATTCCAAAATTAATGATAAATGTAACTACCTTTATCACAAATAATTACATAATGAAAGAGACCGTTTCATATCCAGAGTTATCAAGGAACATGGCAAAAGTGGCTCAAGTGATTTAGACCTAAAGTACATACCTTGCTAATTTAAGCAACAGTTAGAAAGGGCAGAGGCATCATGAGTGAATTTATTTTCAATTCGTGTCCATTTCTTTCTTTAAAAATAATTAGATCTTATTCTTGGACGAGGCAACAGCAGCGATCGACACAGAAACGGACAGCTTGATACAGCAGACGATACGAACAGCTTTCGAAGACTGTACCACACTCACCATAGCACATCGACTCAACACTGTACTTGACTCAGATAAGATTCTAGTCATGGATGATGGAAGGGTAAGCGTCACTCGGATTTTTTTTTTTTTTTTTTTTTTGGGGGGGGGGGGGGGGATACCCAACCCTTGCTCCCTTCTGATACCATTCTGGCCATCCTTAAGTACACCCAAAGATCTAATTTTTGCTTTTGAAATAGGTTTCGAATTGTGACCCATCCCCTCTTTTCACTTTGCAAGTTATGCATTTATTGTAGTTTGTTTGTCCTTATGTATATGTTAATTCGGGCGTCTGTCGTTATGCCTTCATAAAGATAATTGGGCACGTATTACCCCATTATCTAACCATTGATGTATTCTTGTGCTGTTACTATATGATATCTTTAGCAGACCTCACAGCTTCTTCCCCCTACCTGCAACAATTACTTGCTGGCTACGATAGGGCAGACATAGTATTGCCAGGAAAAAAAAAAGGGGGGGGGGCTGACAATTTACGGACTTTTTCTTCTAAAGACCTCAATATCGCCACCCTGCCCCTACCGATCTCCAGGCTCTCTCATTTAAGGGGCGGTGGTAGTGGTATAATTAAAATTTAGAGAAAATCCAAAATGTTTGTTGTTTCAGTTCTTTCTTTATTTTCCCCGTGGGGATTCCGCTCGACCTCTATACAGAAACAGGAACAGTAGAACAACATTGACATCATTTAAATTCAGATTTTGCGCAAATCATGTCTATAATTTCCCCCGGGACAATCAAACATTTATTGATCTATATTGTTGTGTTTTATATTTCCGTCTACAAAATATAAAGGTGTTAAAAAGTACAACTGAACATTCTTTATCCACTTTTTGTTCCACAGGTCGCCGAATTCGATACTCCTTCTACGCTGCGAAGCAATCCAAGGTCTATCTTCAGCGGCATGATGGCAGCGGCAGAGGCGCAAAAAGATGGAATTATGGACTGAAGTTACCGACAATCATGTGACAATTAATGTTGCCAATTTTCACATGACGTCTCCTTAATCACATTGCCAAAGATTATATTTTGTGTAAAATGATGGTGCTTTCTAATTATTATCAAGTAAAAGACTGAAAATGTCAACCATGGACCAAGCAAAATTTGTTTGATAATTGTGGTAGAGTATGAAATCATTAGCTCTTAAAAGGGTAAATTTCTGTAAATTTGTAAATGTTGGTAATTCTTAGCCATTGAAGTTTTTCTGCCATGAAGAAAAAAAATCTTAGTCTACGAAAGTATTCTGAAAGCTACATGCATCAAGTTTATATAGGCCTTGGCTGAAATAACGCGTGCAATAATTAATGTTTGCACGCAGAATGTTACCTCCATAATAATAATTCTATTCGCAGCTTTAAAATAAGTAAATCTGGGTGATTTTATTTGAATTATTCGACCGTATACTCCTGCGCCAATTGCTCCGCGGTAGATTTTGTTGACACTGGCTGCATACCGAAACTTCCCCTCTGGACTGAATGCTATGCCTAATCCCGAAACAAAGAGCAGCAATTTCCCAAACCATGCATGTATCAGAGCCCAGAAAAATGTCGCTGAGCAAATGAGGGGTCACCAATTTTTGATGGAAAAGGGAAATCTAAATTATGTTTTTACTGATTGATTCAAAAAGTGTCGTTACATTTGGTTTGTGGAAGTGGGGGAGGGGCATCCTAAATAAAGGAAACTAGGTATAGTGTTATGAAAACTGTTTGATACAAAACATGTATTTGCTTCTTTTTTTTTTACTCAAGAGTTTTTGTTTCGCAAAAAAATTACGTGTATAAATTATGTGTACAGTTACTCCATATTCGAGATTCATAAAACTGGCTGACGAAATATCGTAGATTTATTCCGAGTACTTGCCAGACAAGTCAATATTTTGCTGTTATTGCCGATTTAATGATGTCCTTTTGTTAAAATTATTTGGTTATTTGTTTGTAAAATTATTTGTAAGCAAGCAGCTAATTGATGAGTTGAATGTATGTTTCGGTAGGCTGCTCTGTTTTGTAGTACTATAACATAATTATGCAAAGATTTTTTGCACAATAATTTATCCTTTCTATTTGCGTATCCGTTTATTTAGAAGCAGTCGAGGATATTTAATATTTAGAGCCTATCAATAGTTTGTTTTCGTAAATATTCTCAAGTGCATTTTATTGCTTGTAAATGGCTTCATACTTCTCTTTCTTCTTTCCATTCATCATCATAAATTTGTTTTTGTTATGATTAATGTTCCTGTTTGTCAGTTCATTCTATACCGAACTATCTCATTTTCTGTTATCATTTAGAAGAGTACTCAAGTCGGTTACTTGGAAATTTGAAATGAATGCTGCCTTTTGTATATTTCTTTTATATTGACCAATATATTGAATTGTGATGAAGAAAATGATAATCTTGCAAAGATTTTATCTCGAATTAAAGATGATTATCTAAACATAGCACAAAGTCTTCTTCTGTTTATTTTAGTCTCATTCCTTTCTCCAGCATCTTCCTGGGGGGGGGGACGTTTCACAAACTTGTCATCAGTGACAAAAGACAGTTTTTAGCTCATCCGGCCTGAAGGGCCCGATGAGCTTATGCCATGGCGTGGCGTCCGTCGTCCGTCCGTCCACAATTTTCAAAATGCTTCTTCTTCGTTATTTTTCAACCGATTTTGATTCTGATTGTTTCATATGATAGGGCTAGGAGGGAAATTTGGTTTGCTTTATCTGGTAGAGCTAACTTTGGTACACTAAAAGTCTACACAGAATTTTGAAATTGTTCTCCATTAATTAATTATGGTAATTTATGCAAATTTATTCCAAAAATAGCAAAAATTGCTTCTTCTCCCTCATTTCTTGACCGATTTTGATTTGGTTTGCCTTATCTGGTAGAGCAAAATTTGGAACTCTAAATTCTACACAGAATTTTGAGATTTTTCTCCATTGATTAATTATTGTAATTTATGCAAATTTATTCCAAAAATAATTTAAACATCACAAAAAATGCTTCTTCTCCTTCATATTTCGACCGATTTTGATTTGATTTGCTTTATATCATAGAGCTGACTTTGGTTCACTATACCTCTGCGCAGAATTTTGAATTTTTTCTCCATTAATTAATTATGGTAATTTATGCAAATTTATTCCTGAAAAAAACAAAAATTGCTTCTTATCCCTCATTTCTTGACCGATTTTGATTTGGTTTGCTTTATCTGGTAGAGCTAAATTTGGTTTACTAAAATTCTACACAGAATTTTGAGATTTTGCTCCATTGATTGATTATAGTAATTTATTCAAATTTATTCCAAAAATAACAAAAAATTGTTCTTCTCCTTCATTTCATTTTTAAAGTTTTGTGCAAAATATTAGGATGATTATTTTCAAATTTGATCTCTCACAGAAAACACTTGATTTGTGGATCAAAAAGAGGAGAAAAGAGAGGTTGAAAATTAAATGTCCCTTCCAGGGCATCAAATTCTTAATTTATGACCAGTTCCAATGTGTACCACATAAAATTTACGATATTTGTTGTTGCGAGATGCGAATGAGCGCTACGTCATTGACGTTCTGGTTGTTATAAGCTACCGAAATCCTTGCTTCTGATTGGTTATCAGCAGATTTGTCACTGATTTTTGTCATTTGTCATTGAAAAAGGCTTTGTGAAACGGGCCCTGTTCTACCCTGCTTGACCTTCATTCAGTGTGGTTTCATTTGCTCTTTTTTTAATTCTCATACGGTCTTGACCAATCACCAAATAATAGCTATTTGACCACCATGATAGCACATGTTTATGCTGTACATGTGTGTAATACATGGATATTTAGCTCGCAAATCAGCTCCCTTTTTTTACCATTGTCTTTGAGGATACAAGGCGATTGATAACTGATAGGGTTGTTGTGTGTACAGGGATCGGATGACGTTTCGAACCCGCCATTTTCTTGCTGGTATATAAAATACATATTATGTGTCGTCTGTATTTTGGTCAAATGCGCCTCTAACAATTTCGCATCCTAAAACCAAACAAAAACAAACCAAACCAAAACAAACCAAACCAAACCAAACCAAACCAAACCAAACCAAACCAAACCAAACCAAAAAAAAGGCAGGAAAAACGGGGAGGAAGGGGGGGGGGGAGGGGGGTCAAGTTAAGGCTTGGTACAACGTTCATTGCAAGTAGAGGAGTATGATGTGGTTTACAGAAAGAGAAATATAGCGAGAGAAAGAGAGAGAGAAAGAGAGAGAGAGAAGAGAGAGAGAGAAGAGAGAGAGAGAGAGAGAGAGAGAGAGAGAGATCTGAAGACTAACGTTGCGTAGTATCGTGTTATAAACTCACGAAATGTTATGAATGACTTAAAATTAACAGCTTTTAATTGACGCAGCACTTCGATAAGACTTTGCAAGTCAGTCAACAGAAGTTTGTTTCTAGTACAAAATCAGTTAAAAACAAATTTGTTGATCCCAGTATCCCAGCATGTTTCCGTGTCCCCGACTTGAGTATAGTCACTCATACATACTGCTCCTTTTCCTTATAGGTAGCACACCCAAAGATTCAGAAGCGGGCTGAAATGAAATATGAGATTATGTTTTTCACGACAGTAATACAATTACGCTGGTATGAACGACTAGCAGTTGGCGTAGCCAGGTGGCAAAGGGACTGCGGCCCCCACTTATTTGGCTTTTTAATTGGTGCGATGTTTGTTGTAAAGAACAATAAATGTATATGTGTATGTATTAATGAGGATTCTTTGTTTGTCTTTGATTCTTTCATTCAGTTTTTCCTTTTTAACAAAAATAAGAGAATCAGGACCAGATTGAGCATCGTATAAAAGGATATTTTACTCAAAATCTACTGTCTGAAAAAAAATGTATGGATTGCTCGCAAACGCACAATGTCCTCTAACAACAACTTATCAGGGTATGCGATCGCAAAGACTTTCGAAAAATTAACCCTAGGCATGTTTTGATAGCCTTGTGTGTTACCCATTGAAATGTGCGAAATGGCAATGCGGTACTTGTATTACATAATCCGAAATTGAATTCTGCCTAATCTATACAACGGGGTATTGAAATTACCTTTGAGTTGATTTCTAGGTAATAGAAGTTTTGCGATCTTGTTAATGGTCCTCAAGATTTAAGATAATCACAAATCGGATTAATTTAATACGTATTACTAATACCATTGGGAACATGAGCAATTGATTTATGCTCGAAAATAAAAAATTAAGTCTCCCCCACAAAAAAAAAACCTTTCAACGCATTATCGTTTGTCCTTAAATGACACGCGATACATGTATCCTTGTAATTTGAGGCCTTTTAGAAAGCACAAAGACGGAGATTCGTCACATCCGTCATACCCTTTATGCTTGTTTGTCGTATCCTTCATAATCATGAAAACAGTTTTCAGAGAAACCTTCTACAATTTTTTTTTTAATAGCTCGTTGAAAATAGATACCGTAACGGGCTTGATTGATGTTCATTGATTTTAGATGTAGCCAACTCGCTCCTGGTGCAATGTTAGGTGACCGGAATGTTAGCGCGATTATACAAACATACGTGCTCTGTGTACACAACGAAGATAATTTGGAGTCATTTATTTGATTTGATCTACAATTCATTGATTCTTTGAATTTGAATCTGTCGTTTCATCTCTCTGAAGTACATTTGATTTGACAGAAGAGGAGGAATTTCTTATCAGCAGATTTTAAAACAAAACAAAATCAAAATGGTGGCGGAATGCTCGCGTGTCTTCTTGTCGATCTCCTGCAACCAATCGATGTCGAACCTCCCCGACGACCTCGCCAGTCGACTGGACACGACATCGACCATCGCTTTCGCTCTCATGCTGATCATCATCTTTTTCGGTTTGATAGGCAACCTCCTAATCGTCTACATCGTTTGTACGAAGCCGAAGATGATCACGGTTCATAACGTGCACGTCGTCAACCTTGCCGTCATCGACATCGTCTTCCTATGTGTCTGTAGCGTGGTCGATGTCATCGGGATGGGTGTGATCGCATTCCAGGATGGTCTCCTCAGCATTTCACATAGCCATTCTGCCGGTATCATGTTCGTGCAAACGGTATGCCCCCCCCCCCATTTCTTCAAGCCCTCGATCCCCCTCCATTTTTTAAAAATATATACATTATCACTCTTGGTATTGGTGCTAATGCATTATTTCGTATACAACTTTCCTTATTTCATTGTCTTTTAAAGAGAAGGTTGAGTTCTGGGAAGAGGAGAAAAATAAATTGTGAGCGTTATCATTCTTATTATGCAAGTGTGGAAGAACATCAGATGAGACATGTTCCCTGAAAAGCATGGCTCTTCAAATGCCTTCATATTCTAAATATGTCATGTAACATCGTAAAACTCGGGGGTAGGTTTTTACGCCACGTGTTCGTGTAGTCCCATATACATCTTTCTGTGTACAGTGTTTGTAACTTTACCAAGACTTGGCCAAATTTCTTATCATTTTGATGATTCCAGAACCTTGCAATACACACAAATTCTTATATGCTAGATGATCAACCTTTTCTGGTCGATTCCACACCGTTTCTTTCGCAATGCAATCGCATGACCAGAACTCAACTTCATCTTTAAATCCCCCCCCCCCCCATGAAATTACGTCTTCCTCTATACTGCTATGGTTTTTACATCTACAATGTTTATTTTACCAGGAACCTAAAATATACAAGCATTGCTTTCAGTAGGTTCCTCACATTCTCCTTAATCTATCATATGAATTGAGATTCATTGAGACGTGCTTATATATACTCCATGTATTGTATAAATATAATCATTTTTATTTTATATGTGTGTCTATATTTTGTGTAAAATGTAGAGCAAATAAAGCGACCTTCATTTATGAAGATTTTTCATTTAGAAAAAGCAAGAATCCAAATCTTAAACCGCACTTGCTACAGTATTCATAGTTTAAAAAACGAAATTGGGATCCATCCGACATTTCCCCATCCCTATTTCCTCTCTTCTCTATAGCATTATCGTAACGCCCTGACGCCCGTTGAACGCGAGGCGTCATGTTGATTGCGCCATTACCTACGCTATTTAAGTTTATTTAGCCATATAATGTGTGAGCCAGTAATATTGTATCGTTGGCCATATATCCTTTTTTTGCATTCACTTTTTATGCAATGTCACTTTCATAAAACAGGGCGTCAAAGATTACGCCAGTTGGTGACGCAGACTTGTGTCAGAAAAATGATTACTTTAGTTGGTGACGCAGACTTGTGTCAGCAAAATTATGCCTAGTGGACGCTGGGCATGGTCATATTTGAGTCAAATGTAGACAACTGCAGAGATGCGATTGGATATTTCCGGTCAAAAAGACGTACAATTTATTTATTTCACTTTCTCTCTCTGAAATAATGATAAGTTTCATGTTCTGTTGTCATGTTTTGATCATTATGCCATGCACATCTCCGGTTCAGTTCCTTATCTCTCTTCTTTTCCTCCCTTCTTTTCCCCTTTATTTTTCTTCCCCTTTCTTTCTTTATCTCTCCCTTTCTTTTAACACAAAAAAGGGATTTTACAATAACTTCCTAAAAAAGGTTTATTTCACTTTTATATTTTTCAAAACTACAATTTAAATCATTATCATAAATTGATCTGTTGTTACATTTTAGCTGACGTTCACGGCTGCCTGTGGGACTTTAATAGCGCTAGCCTTTCAGCGCTACCTGGCTATAGTCAGACCTTTGGAGAACAAGAAACGACGCACCGTTAAGAACGCTAATATACTACAAACTCTTGTATGGACAGGTATGCTACGTGTTTTACGTAGATTCTTTTATTGATTCTGTTATCCCTTTTGTTGACATTGATCAACATAATTTCAGCATGCGTCAGAGACTGCCCCGCGCGGATCTGGGGTGACAACGCAACGCCTCTTGCACACGAATCATTATTTTTATTTTAACGCAGGACTGCGTCGACGAGTCAGCGACTGTAATGGTATTGACCGACGCACCTTACTAGACTGACATCGCAGAAATACAGCTTATCGCATGATAATAGGATGCGTCAATTTAGCTGCGTCGCATTTACGCTTATGAAGCTAAAAACATTATCAGCGGATGCGCCAGCAATTCTATACTATTCTTGTAGGATGCCGTATTCTCATGCAACCATGATGCGTCAAAGACGGAAAAGGTTCAACTGACGTAGTCCTAGGTCAGTGGGCGATGATTAGTGAACACTGGACATTTTGTTTTGGTTGAAATAGTGATAGCCTATGTCATTATACAAAATTCATGAAAGTTAAATTAATCGTAAATGAGGTTCAGAATTGTCATATGAATAGTGATCAAAGCGACGTTGCGGGGAATTTCTTTTTAGCTTGTGAAAAAACTAAATCGGCTACCAATCGGTGTCGAGTCACCAATCGATGATGCATGCATACTACAATGTATTACTTTCATAATGACTATTCGGGACCACAATCAAAAACAAAAAGCCTGCATTTTCAAATGTTTATAACCATTTTATTGTAATGTCTTGTGAATCTAGTCTAGTCAGGTCGGAAGGTTAACGGATACTGCTCTACATGCCGTTCAACATAATTGAAAGAGTATATTTATCATGACAATAAATCATTCTTTTTCTCATCCTACAGTTTCCATCGCCATGGGCGTCACCGTTGCTGCTCTGGAATCTGATAGCGCAAGCCATGTCATCGCCGAGGGCTTCTCTCTCTACCAAGCCACGTTCTTCTTCTCTCTCCTTATTCTCTCCATAATCGTCTGTTACATCGCTATTTTCCGCTCCGTGCGCGAGCGCGAGCTGGTCGAGGGAGGCCGCGTGGCACGATGGCAGCAAAAACGCAACATGCGCATGCTCAGAATGGTCAATATGTTAGTGCTCGTTTTTGTCATCACGCGCGGATTCTGGCTCATTTACGGCCTCTACGCCAATCACACCACCCCCCTCGAAGTTGGCGACGACAAGCTATTCCATGACGTCATGATCCAGATAGTGGCGCGCATGGGGTGCGCGGTCAACAGCGCGTTGAATCCCGTCATTTATGGGATGCTAACGCCTGATTTTCACAGGCATCTGGTCCAGATAATATTCCATCCGTTTGCAGCTTCAAAGCCGCAAAGACGAGGAACCATGGAGGGACGAGAAGAGAAAGTGTCATTGTGACGTCATCATCGGTCAATACCATTTGCTCTACTTGAAAACTGTCCTACATTAGTCATGTTGCCAGATTCATAGTATAGGAAAGAGTCGGGCTTCAATATTCTAACTACCAGGTGTTTTTTCCTCAAGTGTTATAACTCAACTACCAAAGAATGTCTGATTATGATCTATTTAATAAACCATCCTTTTCAAAACTGGGAAGCCAAAGTCTCTCATTTCACATGCTTCCAGTTTGGCAACATGACCGATTTCGACCTTCTATAAGTCGACCAAAGAGATTCTACCCAACTCTGATGATTTTCAACGAAAGACGAGTCAACAGAATGTTACATAATGAAGAGTTTCTGCCCTATATAATTATATGAACGTATTAAGCGTCATCATCTTATTCGTAATACGTATGCGTAAGTGGGAGATCTGATATGTGTATGAACTGGCATATTCGCAAACAATATTTATATTGTCCTGTATTTGTCATGCTATAGCAACTCTTAAGTGATTTCTTATCTGATATTGTGAGAACTTAGACATATCTTACCGTTAACATCCAATGAAAATGTTTAAATTATGTAGTAGTTGTCCAATACTTTGTGTATAGCCAGTATGCTTGTAACATAACATATGAGAGAAGAAATTAGTCAAATAAAAAAAAAAAGCAACTAAGACTTCAGAATGTTATTTTCTATTTTCCTCTAACCAGTCGGGCTCAAATACCCTCTTCCCCCCCCTTTTTTTTAATCCAAATTCATCTAAATGTTGTTACCAAGTCTTCAGTTTAAAAGAACTTTAATACCAGGATAATGTCTTTCTCCTTTTGATGATCTTTCTTTCTATCTATCAATTACACTTATTTGTATCCTGTTTTCTTTCCGTATTATTTCAGTTTCCATCAATCTCTCTAGTTCAAAATGTTGATAGATTTTACATGACACTTACAAAATGGATCGAAATTAATAACGTAGCGAAATTTATAACTCAAATGAACTAAGTCATTATGAGCAAATCGCCTCCTTTTGTAACAGTTTTACCACAGTTATCCTGTTGTTATATCATGCTGATTGTATGTATGCATGTGTTGTATAATGTTGAGACGTATTAAATGCAAGTGAAATCGATTTAATAAAATAACCTAAGCGTAGGGTAATCTAATTTGCCACGAACCTCCCAATGTAGATCAATGCTATCATTAACTATCAATTATTAAAGGTTCCACTTGATACTATGTAAATGCTTCTCTCTTCGTTTACCGTTCTTACTCTCTCTCTCTCTCTCTCTCTCTCTCTCTCTCTTTCATTTTTGTTGGCCATCAGCTTTCCATTACATATGCATATATAGTTTATGAATATTTTTGTTTTGCTTATGAAAAGGATGTCAGCTTAAGCAATGGTTATGACGACCCATTTGTTTCTATAATTTTATGTGAATATATATGTTAAAAATTCATATATAATTATGTGTTGATGTATATATGGTAAATAAATGAACATCAATCAATTGATCAAAATGCATACATGTATGTTACAGATTTAGAAGTTAAATTGAAAAGGATAAATAAAAAAGGTTTGACAATGTTTTGACACGGATGTGCCATTAAACTGAATTACTTAATTACCTTTTTATGAAGGGCTTGACGTCAACATGACGTCCAAATGACCGTACGTCAACATTATAACCTTACATTCATTACAAACATCGATACATTGCAACGCTCTTTATTATTAAAAGAACCGCGTATACAGTCACACTATCATTGTGTTGTCAACAGTCTCCTTATTCTAAACTACCAGCAACATGCTATCAGGTTTTTGTTATCAAGACATGCGCATTCTGTTTGCTGGCATTACAAGGATTGAATTTCCACTTTGATACCTACCTAGGTTCTGCTTAACCTTTCTGCTACCGCGAACCTAGTCTAATGATTGTCTATATGTATTATATATGTTTCTGTGGTAATGAAAGGATAGATGAAATAATCAGTGGTGAGTTTTTGTCTATAAAGCAGGAAAAATACAATGAAAAAAACCCAAAGAAACCAGGCAAAATACAACTAGCAAAACAAAAAAGAGGAGCAATAGGTCACTATTTATAATTAAGATTTTCAAATAGATATTCAATATAAACTATATATAACTATATATATATATATATATATATATATATATATATATATATATCTCGAAATAAACATACATTAATACCCTTTCAGATGATATGCAGATGGCATCAAATAATTCGTGCATGAGTAGGCGTTGCTAGTTAACAATAAATGAGTTTCTGAAAGAAAATGGGCATTTTCCATTTGAATGTTCATGAGTTAGTGGAGATATTCTAGTCTTCGTCCACGATCTTGGTTGAAAATGAGAGTTAACACCCGTGCTTGTTACAATCGTGCATGCACTAATGAGACTACAATAATATTGAGATCCAGAGCTCAATCCTTCTCATTGTCTCTCATTCTTTGTTTTCATTGTTGAACAATAATGCCTGACAGATGCACTTGTTCATTACCATTTCAACGGCTTCTTGCTCTATTTTTGCAATTTTCTTAATCCGACCTTCTTATGGTTAAATGAATGTGCCCATCCAAGCGTGAAAGTTCAAAACTTGATCTTTATTGATGCTTGGTAGAATATTGTTTTTTCTTTAATTTGATGTATATTTAAATGAAGAGTGTCCATTTCTTTTGCGGAGTGTATATAGTAAAAGCATTCATAAACGGATTGATATTTGACGATGGAAGATTGTTTGCAAAAGTGGTGACGAAAGAAATTTTAAATACGGTTTAAATAAAAGAGCGATGACGAAGGGAAAGGAGTAGTTCCAATGGGAGCACGAAGGAAAGTTGGACATGGGTCATGAGACAGGAGGAAATATTCTGTTCCTCAGAGAGTTGTCGAAGGGAAAGAGAATGGTTATTTGAAAGAACAGTGACGGAGGGAAAGAGGAAGATTGTTTAAAAGAGTGGTGACGAAGGAAGAGGGAAAGAGCGGTGAAGGAAGAGAAACAAATTGTTTGAAAGAGCAATGATATAAGGAAAGAGAAAAATTGTTTGAAAGAGCGGTAACAAGGGGAAGTGACTTTCGATTGATAATGACATTCAGAACTCCTCTGATCTGGACATCCGTATCACGCCCAACCAAATATATAGGATCTTCGGACAAAAAATGCTTGCATAGCGTGGCCTATATGTTGCCCAGATTTGTATCTGGTGGAAGTTCTTAATAAAAATGATCTTTAGATCAATTTATATCAGCTACTATATAAATATAATGTACTGTGCAATTTTTATTTGTTTCTTATTTGGTTCTTACTTCTTTGAACAAAAACAAGATGACGCTAATTGTTGTTTGTTGCATTTCATTAGTAAGAATCACAGGCACTTGGATTTTGTAATAAACTTTTCGCTATTCGACTATTGTGAGGGGGAGGGGGAGGGGTCATACCTGTAGCAATAATAAACATGTACTAAAAGTATATATAGCAAGAAACTGCATGGTATTACAGGCCATTGATGGACATTACTGGTACACGAGCCGTTTGTACTTTCTTTATGCCAGCGGAGCTTAAGTAAAATCTCTAAGTCTTATATTTCAACGAACCCGGTAATCAATGTCTAACTTTTGAAAAATGAGGGTAGCAAAAAGGCCGAGAACATATGATTTCATCCATCAATAAAGTTATAAAAATTTATGACATACGTGACAATCATACCACAACGAGTTGGCATATTTAATGTGAGAGAATATCACTCTTTCATTCCGTGTGTATATCCCATCTGACGACATTTTGTTTGAAAAACGCGTGAAGAAACAACGTAACCAGTATTGCATGAATCTGGAACAAGCATTTTCGTTACACTATTTAGCTTCGATTTTCGGCACAATACGGACCTGCCCTCACAAGCGGGCAAACGTCATCCGGATTTAAGCTTGATATTTCAGTTTAAGGAAGTTGTTTGGCTAGACTTATGATGGTGACAGCATATCTAATCATGCTTATGGTTTTCTTTCATCCTTTATTTAACTTTTGACCACGCTTGGCTTAAAAACAAAGGGGAAACGACCATTCATCTTGAAAAAGTGAAATTGCGTTACTGCGAAGCAAAAAGATTTTCATAATTCGCTTTTAAATTGATAATCATCGGAAGAGGAAAACAATGTTACGTTAACGGCGTTTTGTCCTACGCAAACTTACCTCACCAGGGATCACTTAACTTTAGAAAGGTGGCAAACATTCTAAATATTCTATGGCCATCAGAAACGTCACAATGACGTGCAACCATAGCACTCTTTTCCGATGTTTCCCCGACTTCGTTAACGATACAGTCGACGATGAAGCCTTGCGTCGCCGCTTGCACAGCTTCGAGATCTCCGTCATAGTCATATCGTGTATCTGTCTCCTCGTCGGCGTGGTCGGCAACGCTCTCATCGTCTACATCGTCCCGAAAAAGGATATGCGAAGCGTCTGTAATGTTTTCGTCGCAAACCTTGCCATCCGGGACATCTTTTTCCTGCTCACTTTCGGTCTCGCCGGGATCGTCGAACATGCAGTATACATCACTAGTGGAAACGTGCTAGAAGTGATGCCATTAATCTCGGTTTATTCCTTGACGGTACGTTTGGTTTAGTTAGTGTGTTGTTTGTTTGGTGCACTGGGGGTCTAATTTTGTCGTTACTGAGTGGGACAACAATTAATTGATTTTCTTTTTTGTATGTTTGTTCTGAATGTTGGCTTTTATCCAATTTGTTGTGACTGACTACAAGAAAATCATCTATTGATAACTCAGTTCTTGAAAACATGTTGAGTATGATAGATGTCAAACTTAATGCGTACTTTTTAATAATTTTTTAAAAATTCTACGTGTTTTTATAGACCATCACACAATTTTGAATTCACGAGTGTCATATTGCATTGCCTAAAAGGGAAATCTATTAAGGAGACCATTTTTAAAAAATGTGTTTAAATGTCTTTTCAAATGATACCGCCTTCAGTTTCACTCTTTTGTAATAATGATGTCGAATCATGATTATCATTCGAATTTTGGTTAAATTGCACTGTAATGTCATTGTCTTAGGCCTTTATTTTGTAACACTCTGGGAAAAACAGATAAATAACTAGCTATTTCATGTCACATACAAATACTCCCAGAATATCTTTCTGATTTTTATAACTATTTGAGATTCCAACTGAATTGAACAATCATAACACTGATTCTAACTCACTATAAAAATTGAATTGATAATCACCATTGTATGATTCTACTTTCCCCGAAGGTGACGATATTGGCTACATCTGGTCTCTTGGTGGCGCTAGCTATCGATCGTTATCAATCTATTGGGAACCCTCTGCAGTCTCGTTCGAAGAAAAGTTTTTATAAAGCTTATACTGCCACCGCTTTAATCTGGATAGGTAAGTGTAGTATTGAGGGAGATGGGGAAGGGAAGGGAGGGGACAGGAAGGGAGAGGGGGTATATTGACTATAAGAAGGAGGAAGCACTGTATAAGTAGTTGGCATGTCCACGAGGAATGAACTTAGATTACGTTGCATATCACTACCCCCGGTCACTATCCCTTTCTCTCTCTCTCTCTCTCTCTCTCTCTCTCTTTGTTCTTTGTTCTTCTTCCTCTTTGCCATTTGATCAGGTGCCCTTTTGCACACTTTAGCTACCCAACTGGTTATGGTCATCTTGACGGCAGGGGGAGGGACATGCAGTTGCCCCTGTAAAATAATTATGTAGGCCTAGGCCCTATAAACGGTTAACCGTTAATGCCCCCCCCCCATATTTTGGCCCTTCCAACGCCCTTGTATGATTGTCAGATAAGCCGACATAGCACTGCCCCATCTTTGGTGATTTAAGCATAAACCTAATCATTACCCTCAACAATAAAGTAACATTTCTTGTACCAGGTAACTTACACACTTTTCTAACTTGTTTTGATTTGGTCTAAATTATTCAAATTGAGCAAAAGTTAATATCACGGTTGTAATTACATTGCGCATACACATCCTAAATTTATCGTTCAGATCATAATTAATACAGTTTAAGAGATCAAATTCTGTATTATGTATACCAAAAAGTCAACATTTTGGTCACCAATTATATTTAGATCAAAAAAATTAATAGAAATTTCTTTATAACACATTGAAATATCGTGATGACTTTGTTTCCATTTGTGTTTTTTTTCCTTCTCATCATGCAGTCGCTTTCATCCTACCAGTCGTGCACCTTATCTTCAAAACTCCGGACTCTAAATTACGGCTCGTCGTCGTTATCGTCAATACAGCGGTCGCTTACGTTATCCCGCTTGCCACCATTTGCGTTTGTTTCGTCATCATCGTGATCGCTGTGAGGCAAGGTCAACAGGTCAGCGGCGAATCGGACCACCTCACGCGCTGGGAATTCAAACGCAAGATCCGCGTACTGCGCATGGTTAAGTACATCGTGTTGCTGTTCTCGTTGACATGGGGAGTGTGGTGGGGACTAAACATCTTCATTGCCTACCTAAAATACAAGGACATCCCTATCACCATCGGCCACGAAGTCGCCAGGGACGTCACAGGCTTAATGGTGCTCGCAACCAGCGCTATCAACCCGTTTATTTATGGTCTGACAAACGCGTATTTCAACCGCCATCTGAAGAGGATTCTGTGCTGGTCGTGCGCGCCGAGGAGCTTGCACCATACATCTGTGACAAGATCCCCAGCGGAGTTTCCCTTTTCGGAGCCCGTCCAGTATTCGATAGTGAAGCGACGTTTCAGCCATTCGAACGGATCCGGACTCGCCGATAAAAGCGACCTCCGAATGAGCGTGGTAGAAATAGAAAGTACTGTATGAATATTGATTTGTTTTTTCATAACGTAATGATATTTTTATTCGAGCAGTCAATAGACTGAAGAAAAAAAATAGTCTATTTCTTTCGGGGTACGCTCTGAGTCCATCCTAATATTCAATTGGTTTTCATCATAGAAGCAGAAAAGTTAGAAAAACAATTCAGTGAAAGTTTGAGAAAAATCTGACAACAAATAAGAAAGTTATGAATCATGGAATCTTTGAAACAAATTGGCAATGCGGTTAGAAGTTGTGATGTCATCCCCTCACAATAATGATAGAATGACCCCCAAATCTCCATTTCTCTGAATGTTAATGGAATAGGAATAGGGACGCATGAAAGAACATGTTGTCCGTGATAGGCTATATGATCGAGAAAGGCATGAAGAAAATATATCAGATCAAAATGGAATTTAATGACATTTCTTGCATTCAACAAAGAATAAAATGTGAGGGGTGACATCATATTTATAGACCGCGTTGCCAATTTGACTTACAGATTTGAAGAATCTCCTGAAAAGTTATGGATGTATTTAATCCTTAACTTTCTTGTTTATTATCCGATTTTTCTCAAACCTTCATTGATCTGTTCTTCTCATTTTTCTCCTTGTTTTAAAACAAAATTATTTTCAGGGTGGACTTCCCCTTTAAGTACATCTGACGCCATCTCGATTAAACTCAATAGTCAACTTAATTGGTTTAAAGGTAATACACAGTTTTGGTAGGGGGTCATAAATTTGGTTCAAATGAACATGTTGGAAGCATATGCGATCCTACAATATTCAGTGATCGTTGTCGTGGCTGAAATCGAGTCTATAGTGATGAAATTGTAAATAATAAACTCTTTATGTTGTATAGCGCCCTCTCAAGCTAAAGCTATTGTTTTAGCTATAAAACAATGTTATTTGACTAAAATCGACCAATTTTTTTATTACCGTTTGGAATTGCATATTCTGATATTTGCATGGTCGCAGCTTCCAACGTATAGGCGCTATTTGAAATTTATCAAAATTTACCGGGAGCATCGGTAAATTTTTATATCCAATTTTTTTCAAAAGCAGAAGTGTTTTAGGGGCTAAATTTGTTAGTGCTTATAATACATCCATAGGGGCATCCAAATATATCAAAATTGTAAAGAATCACTATCCAGCCAATTTTCAAAATTTACCCAAACTTTGTAATACCTTTAAAAAGGATCATTGTACTTTCTAACATAAAAATTGACTTTGCTTTTTTGTTACAAAATGAATTAGCTCAAGATTGTCAACAATTTTAGAGCTTTTTCTTGCTAGTTGAAATGCGGCAATTTTTGGCTTTTTGGTATTTCTAAACAACTACTGCAATCCCTCATGCTATGTGCAATATATTCGAATTAAACTTAAGTATATATTTATACGCTTCAACCTACTTCATTTAAATAATACGCAAATTAAGATTATTAAAAACCGTTGGTGTCATGATGTCCCATAAAATAAATAATGCAGTTTACCTTGGAATTAACACTTATACATGTATATAAACGTCTCACTATTTAAATAAATAAATGTTCTCTGTCGAACGAAATGTTTTGAACTTTCATTTTATCTCGAACTTTGTGTATCACATAGCACTGTAAAAAAAAAAAAAAACGTCTATGACCTGTTACTTTCGAGTAATGTTACGTACGGCCGTTTTCGAGACCAGCACCTTCGATCAGTGTCCTGCAAAACTTTAAGTTTGTACTTGTGGCATTTCTTTCATCATTGAGCGGGCAAAGGACTTCCGTGAATCTGACCACTAGCAAAGTCGCCAAATTTTTTATACGCAAAGTTTCTGATCTTGCAATACTTCCTTACCAATTATTAGGCTTTATATACATTGGATGGTTGATGGTTTGTTTGCTTTCTTCCCCATGTCAGAAAATAGGACTCAGCATTTGGTACTTGTCATCAAAATCTTACAAACTAGAATATTATATTTTCGCTTAAGATTTCTCTTTGTTATCCGTAATTTTTCACACACACATTTTTCTTTATACATACATTTTATACATTAATTCACAGATTTATTTTCTTTCTTCATTTTAATTATTTTAAAAATCTCTCTCTCTCTCTCTCTCTCATTCTCTCCCTTTTTTTCTTCTCTTTTCTCTCTTTCCTTCTCTCTCTCATTCTTTCTCTCTTTCTCTCCTCCGTTATATCTCTCTCCCTCCCTATTTACACTTTCAGTTTCGTCTGCGGATTTCCATACACATTATTCACACATTTTATGATAAAACAAAAAGGAGAAATAGAAAATATCTTTTTCGTACTCTTTATTCTTATAAAAACTAACATTTTGTTTGAGATTTGATGTTATAATCAATCACCCTTTCTGTCAAATTTAATTTGCTATATCTGGACACTATAAACTGAGACAGAATGCGGGCGTTACATTGTTTAAAATTATATTTGTTGTTGTTCGACGTAGATCAGAGCTTTATTTTATTATACATGTACACACTAAGAAATAAGGGTTCAATTGGGGTGCAGAATTTGCATCCACCTACGCGTATTTGGCAGAGGGTGCTGCTATCGTAGCAGAATTACACTCTTATTTCTTAAAGTGTACAAGTCTAGACTATAAAGTTAATGACAAATACGTAACACATATCATGGTGAAGAATTAGAAGAGGGAAAAATATCAGCCGTTTTCAAATTCCTCCAATGATTGCACCGTAAATCGTCGCCATATGTTTATGATGGGATTGCAATCTAGCCTTTTTAAGAACAGTTGTTACAACAATCATCAGATGCAGACACAAATGGGGAAAGCAATAGCAATCTTTATTTTTCTTTGCAAAATGAGGGAATCTTATGAATTGACAATCAAAATATACAATAACTATAGGGTTAGATGCTGCTTGTAAGTGTCGGCTTGCATGGTGATGTAGATATACAGTAGGCTTGCGGGTTTTTAGAGCCACTCATCCTCTCCAAGCGGTAAAGTTCTCCTTAGAACTATAACTATAAGCTAAGAAAGATAACAAACAGTCCTTTTCAGGACTACACACCCCAAGAAAGATTACCAAGTCAGAGTCCTTTTCAGGACTCCTCAATCCTCTCTCTCACATGGTGCACCCGCAAGCCTACTGTATAACTATGGCCTATGGGTTATTTTCTACAACAATCATTATTATGGAATTGACCATTTTTTTAATTGTTTGGATTTTTATCTTTTTTGATTTAATAAATCACTAATCATATAGGATTATGCTCACTTTGGAATGTAATAAAGAAAATATTATACATGTATACATTCAGCGAGCTTATAAGGCACTTGGATTTGACCAATATAGATAAATTCTGAAGCAATTCAGTAATAAGTACACACATTTCATAAATCTCTGTGACTGTCCTTAAATCGCGTCAAGAATCTCACATCTCACCAATGACACGGATTCGTTGAAAACCTTTAACATTATGTTAAATGTATGAAATTATCACACAGAACGGGCCTCACGGTCATCCCACTGGTAGCCTTTGTAAACTCATGACCGTGGTGATATACGTTTTGAGTAAGAATAAATAATTTAAGACGAAGAAATTTCACCAAATAAGGTCATATTTTCCCAATGTTCGCAATTATTTGAATGCATATGTACCTGTTTTTGCATAGTACGGTATCTCTCATGAATGCTAACTCGAAACGACCCATATAAGCTTAAATTAGAGCCTACTTTGTAACTGTTTTTACAAAAATGGATGTCACATTTTGTATAAAATCCTCTTGAAAGAATGCAACTTTGGGGGCCATATTTTCGGCTCCGCTATAACACATGTTGATTATGAAGCGACAGCACTTTTTTCTTCTTCAGCGACCTTTATAGACCAGGAACCCTGAAAAGGTCGCGTACTTGTAGGCGTCGGAGTGGACGGCGAACTCCGTGGACGGTCCCAGTCGGAGGTAGACCTTGTCCCCGATCTCGAGTGGGAGCACCACACCTTGGCTCTCCATAACGTTGCGGGCGCTCTTCTCCGTGTACATAGCCGTGACCACCTCGTCGTTCTTCATCATCGTCACTCCCATGTAGTGACCATCGTACGATCGCAGTCTGAGAGAGAGAGAGAGAGAGAGGATAAAAAAAGGAGAGAGAAAGTTAATTGTCGTTCTTCGTCGTGGTTGTTTTCTTAGCCTTTCGCCGGTCGCTCGTTTGCCACGCCTTCAATTTTGCACAAAACAATAGGCACCAATAATTGACGAAAGGCTGACGAAAGGCTGACGAAAGGCTGATGAAAGGTATTGCTTGTGCAACACCCGGTGCAACACAATGCAAGTCACCCATTTCTGGTGTTCGTGAGCTCTATCGGAACCCTTTTAACATCGGTTAAATAAGCTTGAGGCCTTTGGTATATTCATCCCATGAAAAATCAAATATGGCATAGGATGATTATTTTGTGCGTCATAATATCGAGTTAATGGAAACAGTAACGACACTGAATTCCTGGGAGACGATGAATTTTAGGGGGTGGGTCGGGAAGGGAACAATCAACTCAAGCTATAACAACTATAAAAATTCAGACAAAAAATAGTCAAGTTAGTTTTTCTAGAAACACGATTTCATTGCTCAAAATTAGCTATATAAGAAGGCCCGTTACACACTCGGAGGCGTCAGTTCCGTTGCTTTTCCCTGAGTTATTCAAAGCCTAGGTACATAATTATGCAGGGCAGCGTTCCACGAAATCGTAATGAGTGCCATTTCACCAACATCCCGTTGAAACGCGTGAATTGTAATTAATATGCGTATCAATAGGTTGTCAGTGAACTTGTACGTATGACGGTTTCGTGAAACCCTGCCCTGTAATTAAAGTGAGTGATTTCAGTGTTCAGTTTCATTCCCTTTTCGTACGAGTTCACTCTCTCACTTGGCGCGTCAAAGACCGTGCCAGTCCGTGACGCAATCCTATATCAGCAAACTGACGCACCGTGTGTAACTATGACATGATTGTGAAGAGTATACACTATATGAACATGACGGACAAAGAAAGAGGACAAAACTGATATACAGTTCCTCATTCTACCCTTAACAATTGATGTGGGAGACAAAGGAACATCCCTTCACTGCTATTATATAAAATGGTGTAGAACAGTTGAATATGCATGTGACACCTGTTCTACACATTTTTACATAATAGCAGTGAAGGGATGTTCCTTTGTCTACCACAGCAATAATTGTTAAGGGTAGAATGAGGAACTGTATATTTTGTCCTCTTTCTTTGTCCGTCATATTCATAGTGATATAAGCTATATTTTCACTTACGAAAAGTGGAACCAATAGATACCGGTGATGCCGCAGACGAAATTCTGGTTTGTGCCGTTCCAGTGATCGCCTTTATTGACGAAAACGTAATCAAAGGGGACGGTCGTAGCTTCGGTGCTGCCAAGCAGAGGGCGTGTACTGGCCACAGAGAACACAGACTTGCGGACGCCTATACGCCATCAAGTGAAGGAGAACATTGATAATGATAATGGAAATAACAACAACAAAGAGATGATTTGTACAACAAATCAAAGAATAGCAGCGAATAGAGACTTAATAAATAAAGCTTTTCGTCTTGCAATCATCGGAGTAAATCGCAAGAAAATCAGAAAGAAAAATCAGAAAGCCGAAATCAGACAATTCCCCCCTCCCCCGTTTTGCCCGTCGTACTAGGTGTCATTTCGATTGCGCTATTACCTGCGTCAAACAAGCCTCTGAAAGCAACTTGTCCATATATCAGAAATCCAACATTATGTGAGCTATTATTAATCAAATTTGGTATCATTTTGTATACGATGCCACCCTCATGATATGGTGCGTCAAAGACCGAACCAGTCACTGGCAACCGTACGTCAAGCAAACGACGCCTCGTGTGCAACGGGTATCAATGAAGATTATAAGATGACGATGTGGATCCTAATCAAAAGATTGGTTGAAAGCGTATACACGACCGTGACCAGGCATTTATTTTGCCTAACGCGTAATTTGGATAATGACCGGTCATTAGTAAAATTATGTTATAAAACATCATTTTATAGTCGTTTAATAACCTAGGTCATTATCAGATTGGTGATCAGGAATTTAATTGCTCTGGGTTTATTGCGTCAAAGTTATAGGGTTAGGGCTTGGGTTGCGGTCATAAGGGGGTATATACGGGCACAAATTTGACAGGCTGGGGCACAGGTCTGTTGATTGCTTTAATTGAATTTCGTGTTTATACTTTGTACGAGCGAACAAACAGAGCACGTGTATGTAGATCGCACAAATAAACAATTTAGATACCTGAGGTGATGACTTCCCACATTTTACGTGATTGGTTGCCCGAACTTATAGGTAGAATAACAAAATTGTCGGGGGGAGGGGTGCAGCTAGCCCTGGTTATCTCCCGTTTCGTATACATAATGGCACTTCCCTGATGGTTAGGTTACATGGTTAGGTTTTTAGGTTTTAGGTTATTGATTTTTCTTTTATAGTGTACGGCCCAAATTCAGTTGAAGCATATCTGCACTACTTTGGCCAGGAGGGATTAGACCTCTCTACATGGTCACTGACGGCTGGTTATCTTATCGAATCAGCTCTCAATTCACATAATAAAAAGGGGACCATGGGGGACCAAACGGTCACCAATTAGGCATTGTTTGTTATACGGTATAGAGGGCGCAAGTAGCAATATGAAGTGCCGTTGGGCTTTAAACCCTTTGTTACGCGTTATCTTAGACCCAGGGTTGGCTGTAACTAATTTTGTAGAATAACCACAAGTTTGAAAATGCTGAGTTCCTACTCACTGTTGACACCCCTGGCAGATCCATACACAGACCCCTCCAGGATGGCGCGGTCTCCTGCTGAGATAACATCACGTGACCCAGCAAGGCGGTCGGCATTGTCCTTGTCGAGTTGCGTAGTTGTGAGCGCGTTGACAGTTGCCTCTAGAGTTACTAAACCATCCCTGCACTGCAAGTGTAAATAAAAGGATGACAGGAAGGATTGGATGATACAAATTTCAACAAAGTCAAATCAAATCGAATCGAATCGAATCCAGTCACATTCGTTCTCATGGAATTCACTAATTTGGATAATCTTCTATCAACATGTACAAACAAAACAAGAATCAAAACGGGATACAAAGGAATAATTGACAAGTCAAGTAATCAAGTAATCAATATACAATTAGACAAGGAGAATCAAATATCCACCATAGGATTACCATCGATGTACTAGATATTATAAAAAGGAAAATCAACCCGGTAAGAAAATTAATTATCGATAAACAGAATTGATATTTTCGTTGAAACAAACAAATAAAAAAAACACACAAATATTATGCAAAATATGATGCAATTTTGCTCAAAAGAAGATAGACCCAAAGGCAACCACCGTACTATCCTGTGGTTTAGCTACGATGGCACGAGGGGCACAATCCCCGAAAAAAAGTGGCACAAAAGGAGGAAAATGTAGGCCTATAACGTGAAAGAAAGAAATGGAAAACCAGGAGGGGGGGGGGGGGGGGGGGCGGGGGGACAGTAAAAAAAGTAAGTACTGCTTAGTTTACAGTGCTAGTCATATAGCAACGATTCGAGAACAATTCACGATGTAACCGGTCGAAGTAGAAAATGAAGTGAATCGGAGAAAATCAGTGCCGAATACTTATTAGCAAATATTGGTAAGGGATATTCACTTGACACATCGACCGATTTTATCATTAGCGTTGTCGTGATCATAATCGTTGATAATTATGTGACCGGACCAAAAGTGAGATATCACTAAAAGTTCATTGGTTGATTTTTTTTCTCACGTGATCCAGGGTAAAGATGTCATTGGTTCCACCGGTCAAGCTCCTGTCTCCTGCGGCCTCCGCCCCGTTGTCCACCCGTCTTTCCAGCTTGCTGACCTTCTGTTCCAGGTTACTGTTCACCGACGACAGCTGGGTCAAGACTCGACCAAGTTCTTCCTGGTCAACTGTGTCATTGGTTGGAACTGTTGCCGGGTCAGGTCGCAATCCTGTGTAATTCCAATTAAAAAATATTAAGACCATTATACCAAACTGCAAAGTATAATGCTTAAGCGGTATCTTGGACCATGTAGAGAGAGAAACAAACAATGAAATCATCCCTGATAATCTAATCACAATGTAGGGGTATGAGGGCCTTCCAGTGTCTAACAATTCATATTCTTGCTTTGAGATTTCCTTTTGTAGGTGCCCCCTTTTCCCAGAGAGTGCCCTTCTTGCCCCCCCCCCCCCGACTTTGAAAGACGCTCCTGCGCCATTGTATACCTCGGTTAATGTCTAAATTAAGAGTCTCACCTGCAAGGATGGCTGCTCTGTTGCCGAGGAAGGCATTGAGGCTGTCTATACGTTCCACAGCACCTCTTGATTGGTCAAAGGCATCCGGGTTATCAACCAGGAGCGACCCAAAGAACCTCTCAAAGGTACCCAGCATTGTCTGAAGATCTGCGTTCTGCTGGCGGAGCTCGGCGTTGGTTCGAGACAGTTCGTCCATCCTCTCATTCGTGTCTCCAGACAATGTGGTGAGGGTCCTGAACACAAATAGAGTCATGATTGGAATGGAAGGCTGAGCAGGTGTCAAGTAATATTTGTGAGAATTGATTGCATAAAGACAAATTAGATCATTACGACGTTCTGCAGCGGCGGGACAAATTCAAATGAAAAATCAAAGGAAAATTACTACTACCACCACTATGTTGCTACTTCTACTACCACCACTATGTTGCTGCTTAGTACTAATATTACTACTTCTGCTGCTGCAACTACTACTACTACTACTACTACTACTACTACTACTACTACTACTACTACTGCAACTACTACTGCAACTACTACTGCAACTACTACTACTACTACTACTACTACTACATGTACTACTACTACTACTACTACTACTAGTGGCGTACGCAGGATTTTTTCAAGGGGGGGGTTTAAAAACGGACACTTTTCTTCTTTTTTTTGGTCTCGAAATTTTGGAAATTTGACATTTTGTTCCGTTGGGGGGGGGGGGGTTAAGGTCACCTTTTTTTAGGTCAGCCATTGAAATAAAAATAAAATAAAGGGGAGGGGGTTCCCCCAAAACATACACAAAACATACACATAAAAAAAACTCAAGGGGGGGGGGGGTTAACCCCAACCCCCCCCCCCCTGCGTACGCGCCTGACTACTACTACTACTACTACTACTACTATTACTACTACTACTACTTTTAATTCTAACAATAATACTAATACTATTACTTCTACTATTGATACCCCTACCGGTACCCCTACTACTATTACTACTACTAAAAATTAAACTTACCTGGTCTGTGCCCTATTTTGATTTTCCAGATTCATGATTCTGCCCAGCATCATGTTGGACATGGTCCTCATACTCCGCTCGAAGTTATTTAAACGATTAGTAAGTATAGCCACGGGGTCGGTCCGGCCCTCCATGACCATGGACATGACCACGGCTGCGAAGAACAGGTGTCTCCATGATGTCGTCGACGACATGATGTCAGAAGTTACTTCGATCGATCTAGGTTTCATTCAAAATAAAATAAAGAGTACGAGTGTTGGTCTAGAGGTATACGTTTACTAGTTCATTTCTCTGTCTTTGCCTATACTGACTGAGAGGGACCTAAGTTCGAACCTGAGTCACGTTTTTCAATGATGACGTAAACAGGTCAGTCCCGAGGTGTAATGTAATCTCATTGATACACGTCTGTAAAAACCATGTAGAGTCAAACCTGTCTCACAGTGGCCATCTCTACAATTATAAACCACCTCTCTATACAGTGCGTCCCAGAAAAAATGAAACCGAGAATTATCGATGTATTATCATAACTTAATCACAATCATAATTAAAAAATGACACTTATTTGTAAAGCTTAGATCCTCTTTCATTTGATGCAACTCATAATGATGCACATTTCACGCATGAGTGATTAACATCTATTTGAAGAGAGGGAACCAAAAAGTGATTTGGCGGACCGTGGTATCTGAATTTCAAAAAGTAAATCACATTTCCAGAAAGTTCAGTTACTGCCCTTTCATATGACACCTCAATCAGGAAAAATGAGCAAGGAATAACAAAGTTCTGTTTGTTTAGAGCGATGCTTGCATTTCCATAATTTTATTAAACGAATTCGTTTTTACTGGCTGCTGGCCGTAGCAACAAACGAAATTGACAAAAGACTTTACTCCGTTTCGTTGACGATCAGCCATAGACGAAAGACTTCATGCATGGCTGATTGTCAACGAAACGGAGTTAAATCTTTTGTCAATTCTGCTTGTTGCTACGGCAAGCAGCCAGTGAAAACTAACTTTTAAATCAATTTATGGTACATGACTATCTAAAAGAGAAAATGTGAACTCCAGAAAACCCTAGACGAATGGTCATTTAAATTGATTATATTCCTGTACTCTTTCCTTCCGGATTCAACTCCATTTACATATATCCTGATAGCAGTACAGACCAGAAAACCTCAATTCATTATGTAGTAGTTCAATAGTTCAATAGGTAGTGGCTTGTGATAGGGTATGCCAGGGTACGCCAGGGTATGCCCCCAATTTGTAAGCCCCCTCCCCCCAAAAAATACAGAACTTTGAACTTAAAGGTACAATAGAGTGGGAGGGTAACTGTTGACCGCGTGATTTTTAGCGTCGGAAATCCGGGTTTCTTTTCTGTTCACGCAAATCGGTCAGGAAACAGCTGCTTTTAATTCGGCTAAGATAGGGACACACGCTCACGAAACGCAGGAAATTTGGTGTTTTGGGAAGCCCAAGTTTTATTATACCTATAAATGACAGCTATAGATTGATGAGCTGTTACAGTATCGTAGGAAGTGTAATTTCCTGATGTTTCGTGATCGTTTTCCCACACATTAAGTTTAGTTTTTTTGACCAATTAAGTAAGTTGGTCTATATGATTCATGTAGTGAGATCTTGTACATCTATCAGTATATTTGGATCAAATCTAAGTTTTTGTTTTAAGCACATGCATGATGCTTTTGCAGCGCGTTATAATTATTATGTTTCTACACTTTATGAATTTAAAAACTTCAGATTATAAATGTGTCATGTGGAGAAAACAAAAACCGCAATGCGATATCCATGTAAAAGTTCTAGCTATGCCGCTGGCGGGCCGCTGGATTATAAACCTCATTTGAAAGTTATTAAAATAAAAAACTCTAAGCTTAACATCGGACAAATCTAATAAATACATTTTTGAATACTGTAATGTGATAATAGACGATTTTGTTTGGATAATTATCATATTTTTAAAATCATCGACCGCGGTTTTGTTAACTTTGATGGATTAAAGACAGATCCATGCCGCACAGTCAAACCTTATAAGGCTAAGAAAATGTTGACTTTGTCAATTTGGCGAGAAATAAGGCCTGATAAAATGCAATGTGATTGGTAAGCAAGAGCTTTATATTAATGAACAACCATAAGTGGGCTCTAAATTTATCAAACTTCCAGACCGCTGTCTCTTTACACTACTATAGAGCATAACTTATAGATCTTCAGTGGAAGACCATATTTGAAAAAAGTATTCAGTTAGATTTTTTTTTTCCATCATCATTTTCTAGTTGCTTCAAATTCTATAGCTTTGAGGAACAGTGGCGGTTCTGGGGGAGGGCTGGGCTCAAGATTCCCGCCTTGAAATATTCGTGAAGCCCCCCCCCCCCTCCCGAATTTTTCTTGATTTTATATACATTTAAACGAGCCACGTGCAAGAATGCAAGAAAAAAAGCCAAGATAACCAATAAAAATGTCAGTGTGCACGTATCTAACAGAGTACAAGAAGATAGACCAAGGAGATAGACCTGGAAGCTCGACTGCTGCCTCAGCCTTCTTCCAGTATTTGCGGTAAAGGTAAAGTATACCTGGTATAGCAGGTCTCTTACCTTTTCTTTTGAGGCTGCAGTTCCTCTTCAACCCAGATCGTGGAGTCGGAATGCAAAGTGATAAAGCTTTTCCAAAGATGTCTGATTGATGTTACAGTTGTTGTTTCCGATGCCCAACTCCTCTTCAGCAGAAATGGACAATTTCAACCAAAACTGTCAGTGGAGGTTTAGCTCTTACTCCTGACTGATCACGACGTACCGATTGCTATGGTAATTCACGAAGTGGTTTCTGTTTTATACCAGTGCGACCCTCGAGGCAGTGCCAACAAGTTTATTGAGCAACTTATCGCTCATTGGCTACCCTGTGTCCGCCGGCTGTTGTGACGTCATACTACGTCACAGGTTGGCTAACTTTCAGGAGCGGTTCCATTTTGATTTAGGGATGACCATGCGACCGGTCGCTTAGTAATTGAAGGGATTTAGCATGTAATGCCTTATTTGGCAATGATTCAGTGATAATCTGGTTTGGAAAGCGAAGCCCTGAGTGAAATTAAGTGTAGGGCACAATCTAGATCCTTCTGTTTTTGTGTGTATCTTTTCTGTTTGACGTTGTAAATAATTACTTAGGCCGGAAATGATTACGTCAGAGCTTACCCCCCCAACATCAACCCCTTGCATGTTCCGGTGAGTGTGAGTCACCCTTCCCCCAATTTCTGAGACAACAAAAAGCTGTTTGGAAAACGTTGTTTATTTCTCCAAAATAAACAAAGATATTTTTGCAGGTACCCGTCTTACTTCTTGTAGATTTAATCGTTTCTCCGCTTTTATGTCTTCTTCATATTTTTTTTTGGCTCAATCTTTTTTGGATTATGGATATAGTGTTCGAATACATCGACTTTCACTGCTTTGTGTACCTGATTAGTGATTTTAACGTTAAAATGATTTATCTATCTTTGTTGTTTTTGCTGATATTATTGTTGTTTGATTGTGTGTTATTTGATTGCTGTTGTTGATTGTTTTAAAAAGATTTTTGTTATAGTTATTTTTGGGATGTGGGATTGGCTTGTACGCAGACAGAAGAATGTTCGTTCTAATTTGTTTATACAGTATGTAAACGTGTCGCATATACACTATTATGATCGATGTGACATTATGCAGAGTGACCCACAAAGTTTACTCCATGTATTGATATCTTCACAATAGCGGGAAAGGGTAATATTACGAGTCTTGATATTAATTCCCACCTTTTCACTCCTTTTTAAAAGTGTTTTTGAGATCCGACGCAAATCATTATTATGTGAATACCAGTGAAAAGGGAAATTATAACCCTCATATTAATCTTGTCTTTTTATCAGTTCATGATTGCATATAAAAATTAATGTGCGAATAAAATCTGTTTTTAATGATAACCCTTTGCATGAAAATTGATCCCCCCCCCCACAATGTTATATTCTTTTAGAAGAAAAATATATCTTTTTGATAAACTTCCGCAAGTCAACAAAATTACGCCATGAAGTTCTTTCCTTGCAAAAAGTGAGCGTGCATGTGCATTCAGAGAAGAGTTTCATTTCGTAGAAATTGGGAGGAGTTGAGAGCAACAACGAAACACTAGGATTTGCTAAAAGCTTTAGGAAACCAAATGCACAGTTTTTCCTCAGCACATCTGTATAGAGGGCGTTGTTCAGTTTCCAATGAATTGACTCATTGATTTAGCTCGTTTGATGATAATTATTGTTCAAACTTTTAGTGACGTTTGGGTGTTTGTGTAGTAATTTCAGCCACATAGCAAGATCTTTTAATAGATTTGAGAAAAGGTGGGGGTACAACCAAATCTAGGAAAAAGAGATTATCAAAATTAATAACTTTCCCATTTCTAATAGCATTTTCTTTAATTTTTTCTCTCTTATCTTTCTTCTTTAATTTAACCCAACTTAATATCAGGGTAGACTTCCACTTTAAGTCTTCTTGGCAGGGGATTAGTCCAAATTGCTGCTCTGAAACATTTTATTGGTATTTAAAAAAAGAATCAGGAGCGGGGGGGGGGGCGAGGCTCAAATTTTCCCTACCCATTTATATTCGGATCATGTATCGCGATTCGTTTGCGATACTGACTTTTCAGAAATCAAAACAAAATAAAAGCTGAGCAGATAATGCTCCTACCCTTCCTCTCCCCTAACAAATACTCCCCAGTCTCGAGCCTGAGTGAATGTGGGAAATCGAGAGCTCTAGTGATTTTTCTCTAAAAAGAAAATACTTAAAGGTACTTTGTCCCTTTTGCAGCCAACATCAAATTCTGTAGAACTTTGCAGGAATTATAAATATGTCACGTATGTCCTATCTATGGAATGTAAATATCAGCAGTTTAATTTCTAGACTTCACTGTCAGACACTTATTCAGTGACTAACTGACATCTTTTTTTCTTATGTAATAAATACATAAAGTACATGAGCACGTGTACTTCTTGTAAGGGCCAAAATTAAACTGATTGACGAATCTTTGCGCACCACAAAACGTACACCATTCGGTACAAGGGTCTGAAAATCTATTTTAATAAACTGTGCAATCCCTAATGTCGAATCAATAACATAACGGTCGAAATATTTTCCCACAGAAAGACTTTTTTCAAGCCCTTTCGTTTCGAGGGAAGTTCTGAAGTAGTATTTTCTTTCAAATGCCGGTGGAATATAAGCTTTTTATTTTGTTGGCCTGTAAATGGGACATAGTACCTTTAAAGGGCAGTAAATGCCCACCCTTTCTAGCAAAATATGACTCTACCTGAGATTGCATCCCTTATTATGTGGCGGCTTGCGATCATCATTTTCTTCAATATGAAGGACGTAGTCGCTTAACATGGGTAAAAATATCCTGCGCCCCCTCTCCAGCCAGTGGCGTAATAAGCATACACATTACACCCCCCTCCTCCGTTTTAATTTCAAATAAATAATAAAATAGATAAATACATAATTCAAACTCAAATTCAAATTCAAATGTTATTGGTCCATATGGTCCATATGTGTATGTATGTATAATGGTATACAAAGTTCAAGTATTGTTTTTTATTTATCTTTATACAAGTACTATTAATATATTAATATATTTTGATTGTCTATTATGTGTTAGAACTCCATATACGAAATTAGTAGATCATTGATTGTGTTTTACCATTTTTATTAATCTCTTGTCGGGATCATCTAAATTTGGTAATCATAAACACATATATATGTATATTGTCTTATTATCATGTTGTATTTTTTCTTCTTCTTATTTGAAAAGAAAAGGGGAAAAAGGGGAAAATTGTATAGGGTATTACGAGTAATATAATTTATTTCCATCCCTGTATTATATTTCAGATGAGACATGCAGTAGTATGTTAATTTGTGTCACTCCTGGTCATTGTTATTTTTACTCTTATACTCAATTATCTACACTATAAATTTGAAATTTGTTATCCAATGTACACAAATTGAGAATGATCCTATCTGTTTGAATAAAGTTTGAATTTGAATTTGAATTGAAGCAAAAACTTGGGGGGGGGGGGGGCAAAACAAAAATCGTGTCATTTCAGCAACACTTGTAAATCACTGGTATCTAATTATAATAAAACCACCCCTAATCAGTACGTCAGTGCCCCCGTCCCCCTCAGAAATTAACAGTGAAGAAAAGAACAAAAACAATAACTTGAATGATGTCGACAGAGACTGATAGTTACCTTTTTTTTTTTTTTTTTACTTCGACGCTACCATAGCTTTAATTTCTATACGAATTTGGATCTAACTTTGCTGGAGTAGAGGAGCTCAGCTCATCGAATCTGGCAAGATGACGCATCTTTTGCCACATGAATTGAGGCAATTAAAACGGCCCAAACTTGGACCCCCTGGCTATTATCCTCAGGATCCGAAACAGAAAGAGGTATGTTATCTATATATTTTAATAAACTATCTGAATTCTAAGATTTAATGTGTATATTTCATTTGCGAAAATGATCGCTTGATCTCTACGCCGGTTCCGGTGTGAAGCTTACCGTGTTCACTTTGTTGGTGAGCTGAGCGGCTGGCGTCGGGCGAGGAGCGGGCCCGAGCAAGCACGATTGCAGCTGCAGTGAGGAGGAGGAGGAGGAGAGAGAGAGAGAGAGAGAGAGAGCTACATCTGTATGAATATAGAGCATAACACAAGTCTGTGCATCTGAGATTTGATTTTACTTGAAACCTAATAAAATCTACACTAGACTTTTTCAAAACTCACAAGAGTTGAATCAAAATTTGAGCAAGAACTTGAAGTTGAAGAAGATTGTAATTTTTAAAAGAAAAAGTGACTTGCCTTGAAGTTTGAGTTTAACATTTTAATTTTTACGACTTGCGTGCCCCATTTTTAAAAATTAAGAATAAGAAGCTATAAATCATTACTGCACACTCGTGACTCGTTCATCATTTCATGTTTTGCTATTTTCGACATGGGAGATTGCCTTTCGAGGCTTGGTAGTTGCTAGACAGCAATAACCATCTGATTTGGGTCATTTCTTTAATAAAACTGACATTTGTTGTCATTCCCCAATACAGATGGCAACCCAGAGATCTCGTACCGTGGGGATGGCTATAGGCCTATATGTGCATATTTTCGTCCACGACATTTTCTCCCCGATTTTCTTTATTTAGATCTAATTTCCTGATTTCTAAATCAGATGTAAATTAGGTCGGTATGTCATTCGTCCTAATTACAGTTATCAAAATTTGATAACTCAATATTAAATGGATAAATTACGGACTTACTTATATGAATTATCCATTTTGTATCTCCGAACGTTCATGCACTCGGAACATAGGGCTATATGACCCGGCGGCCAAAGTATTTCCGGGTCAACCTACCAAAACATAGCCAAATGGCCAATCAGAGCACTCGTTTTGTGGGAGTTCGTTGGTCAAGCTGGGCTTACTCGTACGTAGCTACGGTAGCTATTGGACGTTCGAAAAGAAAAAATGAATATTCATCAACTAACACCAAGACGGATAATGTTGACGAGACTTTCTCGGATTAATCATTAATTTAGGATCTAAATGAGCAAGCTATCGTAAGTCAAATAAGCTGTATATATGTTATTTTTAATTTGTGTTATAATTGCAGCAGTTATGAGGATGTAAAGAGTGAAAATCTTGTTGCATATCTCATTCATCGCGGTCCGGTCGAACCGAACCATTTGTTCCGTACAGTGCCTCACAGAAAGAGGTCCCCAGACTTCAGTCTCTATAATCGGAGGTCTAGTGGAGCCAGACGTAGTCTCAGTGGAACAACCAACGATTAGAGAGACTGAAGCTTTCGGTCTAGGTAGTTGCTAGCTAAATCTCGAATGGCTGAAATTAGACCTTTTCTCAATTTTTGTTTACTTTTGCAATAGCAGGATATAGACTCATTATAATGTACCTTATTTGTTACAGATTATGTGGATCATGATGATGAAAAGTTTGTGTTTGCTGCGTCTTGTTTTATCATAAATGTTATTGACATCAACAAGTCCAAGGCCAGGCCGTACTTGCCGCACACCCAAAAATGTGTTTGTAATCGAATGGGTTACGTTTATAATCTCCCTTTCAAATGCTGGGCCATACAAACCAGCTTTGTTGTTTGAAAACAGTTGAGCCCTCTGCCCTCCCATTCTAACCCATCCAACATATTTAAAAAAACTGATATGAAACGTTGGGCTTTGCTTCCATATGTCGCTGTTGACAGTATAATGCCTTGCCGGCATACAATTAACATTTAAAAGCTTTGACCTTAAATCTGTTGGTAAGGAATCTGCAGTCTTACATGTACTATGTAGTGTGCAATTTAACACTAAGATGTGATGTGGGCCTGGAAGATAAATTTTAATGCACTAATTAGTTCACTCCAATAGATGACGTATGCAAGCGAATTGATAAGCGCACTGCCACTGCCACTGAACTATAGTATTTTGTCATCACAAAATGTCAGTGTTAGACTGTGCTAGGCCTGTAACAGATGATCCGTTCGGGGGCCGATCTTGAGCCGATCAGGGGTGATCAGATAATAATTTCTGATCGCCGATCAATAAAAAAGATCGAAAAAAAATTGGCAGAATTTTTTTTTTTTAATGCCGAAAATTTTCAAGTTTTGGGCTATCAAATGCTTTAAAAAAAATTCATAGCTGGGATTATTTTGTCATGTGGCGGCCCGCATGTTTTGCCTCTTCTCTTAGACCAATATTATTAATTTCAAAGTCCTGAAAAGGCACTAAATATCAACAAACAGTCTAGTCTACAACAACTCCAAATGACAAAATAATCCCAACCATGAATTTTTCGAGCATTTGAAAGCCAAAAACTTGAAAAATTTTCGTCATTAAAAAAAAATAAAAAAAATCAGCTGATTTTTTGGGTCGATCTTCCGATCCGATACCGATCAAAGGTGCGAGGGTGTCGCTCTGATCTTCCGATCCGATCAGAGCCCAAACTTACAGGGTTAGACTGCGCTTATACACAACATATACTGGAGCTTGTACAGTTACGTGTACAAGACTACAGTACAAGAGCATTCATAAAAACATTTTTTGACCAAATTAGCTGATTTTTCCCCTTTTCTTTGTAGGATGAGCTGACAACTGTAAATGTGAAGCAAGGTTTCATCAATGGACCTCCTCACAGTCTCTCAAATGAGGTAAGTTTTCACTTCAACAATTTATATATCAGAATTCACATGTACAGTGTACAGTACATGTATATTTATATGTTTTCAATTAATGGAAGGAGAGTAAAGCAAGTCGTATTTATTTGTTTATTCATTTGTCTTATTTCTAATACCAAATCGTTAACAAGTGATTGAAACACTCCTTTTCTTTATGGCCCTGAGTATTAATCTGAATGAACACAATCTGAATGAATATTACCATGAAAAGTATATCAACAACCATCTGGTTTCGAAAGTTTAGCATTTTTTTTAAATAGGGTAAATATTAACAAAAGATAAGTTCAGCTCTTTTCTGAAAAGTGAGAAAGGTTAAAAGCAAATAAGAGAGGTGTACGATAATATGAAATGGGTCTCAAGATGAAGTGGTATTTAGTTTTATTTTTCTTTATTTTCCATTCATTTATTCTTGTGTAGAAAACCATTGAAGCAAGGAATGAGAGCAGTAATAGTGAAAGCATGAGAGGATTGCTCTTGAAATGTTGATAAAAAAGGCCTATAGTTTTTATATGTATTCAGAGGTAACACAAAGGAGAAGACTTAATTTGAACAAAAAGCGGGAAACGTTTTTAATGAAAAGCTGCTGGAAAAGGAGTAATTCTGTATGCCTGCTCAAATTTTCTAAATAATACAAAAAAATATATTGTTCAATTTAACTACAGTAGACTGTGTTTAAATGATATTTTAGTATACACTGTAGTTAAGTGGATGGCCAAATTAGTATATGTATTTCTTTTTCAAAATGGTTTAAAAGGTAGTTTCACTTTTTCAGCTCAGCTGAGACCCTCTCTCTCGAATGACAAGAAAAATGCATTGCTTCATTCCTGCACTTACAGTGTATATAATTTGTTTCTTTCTTAGTAGCTTTTTGGGTGCAACAAATTCAAGATTCAAGATTCAAGAGAGAGGGAGAGGGGGAAAAGAAATGTTGAAAAAAATGACTTAAATACTCACTTTCTTGTGAACAGTAAAGTATGTTAGTATGTTCTTATTCTTTTGAGAGAGAGAGAGAGAGAGAGAGACGGAGATAGACAGGGAGGGAATTGCCATTGCAAATATTGTAACCTACATTAATTTGTCTTTATCTTCTCTTATTACAGTACGGGACAGGAAAAAACTGCAACATCTACAAAAATAAGGTAATGTATTCCACTTCATTACCGATACTTGTGTATTTTAGTGTGCCTGTGTAAACATGTACAGTATACATGTATGTAGTCTGTATGAAAATGTTAATCAATTACAAAAATAGCAATGATGTACATTTCTCTTCACACCCAATATTCCACATCAACAATATGACCTTGATTATTTCTGGGCTTCTGGCACTATAGAACAAACACCATTAAAGGGCTTCTGTTGATTGGTGTACATGTATATATTGTTCTCAACGACAACAAGTATTAAAAGCCCACCATACACTGTATATGAACATCGGTACAAATTTGATTTATTTTGAATCTTCATTTTCCAAAAGTCAAATATGGTTGTTGAAATTAAACATACAATGTATGTTGTCTCCTACATACTGCATTATGTAGAAGACACATCATCTTGACTTTAATTTTTTCCTAATTTTGGGGTACACCAATGAGGGTAGAAAAAGATACACACTAGGGGGGTGTTTCATAAAGCTGTTTGTAAAGTTACGCATGACTTTACGAACAGCTTGTATATGAAGTGCCAGATAGGATGCCCAAAGTTTTTCCTGATGTTTTCACAAAGTGTGACTATATTTCCAATAACCTCAATTAGATTAACGCAAAAATATACTTTGTATTAAAAATGTTTGTTATAATAAGAATGTTAATCTACATCTGCACAGTTCAACTTTATTTGATGCAGTTAAAAAATGATTGAGCATCCCATTTGGCTTTTCATATATAAGTCGTTCGTAAAGTCTTGTGTAACTTTACGAATGGCTTTATGAACCCCCCCCCCCCTGGTCTATGAAGCTCCTGCGTCTTCAAAAATGAGGGAAATCGCTTGTTTTAAAACTGAAGATTCATTCCTCAGCATTGAATTCTTATTCTTATTTTCAAACTTACAAATCAAACTTCAGAGACATGCTTTATACTTTATGTTAACAAATTTTTGAATGACAAAAGATTTTGATTTCGCAAAAGAGAATGGCCATAAGGCAACATTCTTTTATCAAACAGCTCACTCCTGGATACTTATAAAATGATCAGTCAAATGTTGCTTTATTTACTGAGACTATCCAACATTTTTCATAAAAAGCCTGCACTATTTTCCAGTACAGTCAAACAATTTTTAAGTACTGTAGCCTACGTGATGTGCAGCAGTACGTGTAGAGGTTAATTTGCATATACTGTGTGAGTCAATGAATAAATGCATAGCACTAAACATTGACGCGTGTAGAGGTAAGTGCACTTATCTCTGTGTGCGCTAAAGTGAGCCTATTAAACTTGAGGTTTATTTGTCAGTGAAAATGATACAAAATAATCTTGAAATAAGTTCTTTTTGCATCAAATAACAATGTCCTTGGAGTGATGTTGTTTATAGCAAATGATGCATGTTTTCAGTCATTCATTAAACAATCTATTTGTTCTCATTGTGGCTATGTATATGTACCTAATATGACAGCCTCAATTCAAGGGTAGTCCATGTCCATGAGGGCTTTTGATATGTAAAAGCAACAGATTTGAATTTTGATCCAGGTTTTTATTCATTCTCACTCAAAATTCTTTAAGAAATAAATCAAATAATAGTCAGGAAATGCTTCAAAATATGGCTCAGATTACACCAGAGTAAATTTTAGGGAGGGGGGATGCCTACAGAGACGAAAACGAAATGAGAGAGTACTTTACATGACAAAGATAGGAGAACACTGTCACAATACAATGAGTAGACAATGCCAAAAAAAGGGTGAGAGATTGGGGGTACAGGAAATAATACAAAACGATGAGCTTGCATGTGGTTTGAGAAGAGGAGAACAAGAGAGTTATGAATTTGTAATCAATCAATCAAAAGTATACATTGTATTATTCCTTCTACCAGTAATATTTGAAGCTTCCTAGAATTCGTTCACCATTCGCTTGTTTTTTAAATTTGTTTTATGGCTCTGTTTTTTTTTATAGCTATGACCAAATAGCTAAATTTGAGACCCTGGATATTTTAAAGGCCCACTGCACTACTTGTAGCTACTTGCGCCCTCTATAACAAACCATGCCTAATCGGTTACCATTGGTCCCCCATGATCCTCTTTTTCTTATGTTAACTTAGAGCTGAGTTGATGAGATAACCACCGGTCCAGTGACCTTGCAGGGCAGTCTAATCCCCTCTGTAAACTACATGTAGTACTGATATGCTTTCAAATATAAAGAATTAGAAATCAGTTGCAACATTTTCTTATAGCATGGATCTCCCACAGCAATCAATTTGCATTATGTGCATGAGGTTAAACCATGAAGAGCATATTGTTATATAATTTTGTAACCCAAATTGACATTTCATTTTGGTTGGAGCTAAAAAATGTATTCAGCCACAAACTATATGTATTTAGCCACAAACAGTATGTTTTTTTTTACATTGATGATTAATTAGCATGGGTGGAAAAGTTAACAGTAATCTGATTTGTCTCCTGTACGGTGATGGACCAGTGCAATTGAAACCAGCGTTTCAGACGTTTCATCTTCTGAAACCATGTAGACCCTTATTTAACCCACTAGAACAATAATTTAATGAGATTTGATATGGTTTGTATACGCTTATTAGTTACTCCAAGTGATTATATTACAACAAATATCATTAGGTTATAGTAGTGATACAATGTTAGAAATATACTCAAAAATTGAAAAAAGTTGTCTCATTTTCTGCAAACACTTTTGTAACGTCTGAAACAATTTTCATTTTGAATTAGCAGAAATGATATTCCACATACTAAGAATCTTGCTCTACGATTGGTCATAAGTAAATCATGTGATCAAAGATAGTTCGCCCATCATTGATGGGAGAAGCAAATAGTTTGTTGCCCTTTGTAGATAGTACTACTATCTACAAAGGGCAACACACTTTTACTGAAGGTAGAGGTACTATCTACAAAGGGCAACGCACTTTCACCGAAGCTTATCCAAAAGCGCACTAATAGTCCAGTAGACGGTACCATATACCATGTACATGACCTGGAAAAGTTGATAAGTACAAGGTTTTTTTGTTGATTTGTGTTCTAGACGGGTATTGAAGTAAATTCAACTTGGTTGCCAGCTTGGCAACCTTGGGCAACTTTTTTAATAGCCATATTAGCATAATCATCTAATTAGCATATGTGCAATATGTAATAATGTTGCTAATCTCAATCCTGGAAGCCTGAAAACATGGATAATACAACTTTTCAAGGGTTATATATGACAAGGAATTCATTTATGGCACCAATTTTTATTTTTAAGTAATACAATTGTCTTAAATAGCATAATTAGCATAATAATGTACAATATAAGGACTTCATTGTCATTGTTTATCTATATAGCCTAAACATGGTGCAATGCAACATTGCAAGTCCCTTATGAAAGATTAATCATTAATTCATGAGACGATATTCCATGTATATGTAGTATAATTAGCCTAATTAGCATAATCATTTAATTAGCATATATGTGCAGTATGTAATAATGTTGCTAATCTTAATCCAGGAAACCTGAAAACATGGATAATGTGACTTTTCAAGGATTTTCCATGACGAGGAATTCATTTATGACACCAATATTTATTTTTGAGTAATGCAATTGTCTTAAAAATAGCATGATGAGCTAATTAGCATTTGTACGATATATGGAATTTATTGTCATTGTTTATCTATAAAGCCTAAAAATGGTGCAATGCAACATTGTAAATCACTTTTAAAAAAAGACTACACATTAATTCATTAGAAGATATTCCATGTAGATGTCGTATAATTAGCCTAATTAGCATATACACTGTATGTGCCATATATGTAATAATGTTGCTAATCCTAATCCAGGAAGACTGAAAACATGGATAATATGACTTTTCCGGCGGTTTCCATGATGAGGGATTTAGTTGTGACACCAGTTTTTATTTTTAAGTAATGCCATTGGCTTAATATGTAATTATTTTACTAATATGCCTAATTAGCATATATGTAGAATATCAATTATTTGGGACTCTATTTAGCTTCACAAATTGTATGTCCAATGTGGTGGTTATCTTGGTCTTAAGGCAATGTTGTCGAACCTCATGAAATGTCTAGGAAATGACGGGGTCATCATACGCATTGATGGCTGGGCTTCAGTCCTTGGATTTAGAGAGACTGTCGGAAACACACTGAAGATGGTTAAAGCAGATGATAATGATGGAATTGATGATGTGGTGAGACAGGTACGTACATAGGCCAGGGATGTTGAATACAACAATGCGAACTATGATCTGTCTATGTTTACCAAAGCCAGAACCATTGAGAGTACAAGCCCGACGTTGCTCAAGCTGTTGGCAGAATTCCTGGAAAAGTCATATTATCCATGTTTTCAGGCTTCCCGGATGAAGATTAGCAACATTATTACACATTGCACATATATGCTTATTAGGCTAATTATACTACATCTACATGAAATATCTTCTCATGAATTAATGATTTTTCTTTCAAAAGTGATTTACAATGTTGCATTGCACCATTTTTAGGCTTTATAAATAAACAATGACAATGAAGTCCATATATTGTACACATGCTAATTAGCTCATTATGCTCATTGTGCTATTTAAGACAATTGCAGTACTTGGAATCAAAAACTGGTGTCATAAATGGATTCCTCGTCATAGAAAACCCTTGAAAAGTCGTATTATCCATGTTTTCAGACTTCCTGGATTGAGATTAGTAACATTATTACATATTGCACATATATGCTAAATACATTATTATGCTAATTAGACTATTTATACTACATATACATGGAATATCTTCTCATGAATTAATGATTAATCTTTCAAAAGTGATTTACAATGTTGCATTGCACCATTTTTAGGCTTTATAAATAAACAATGACAATGAAGTCCATATATTGTACACATGCTAATTAGCTCATTATGCTCATTGTGCTATTTAAGACAATTGCATTACTTGGAATCAAAAACTGGTGTCATAAATGGATTCCTCGTCATAGAAAACCCTTGAAAAGTCGTAATATCCATGTTTTCAGACTTCCTGGATTGAGATTAGTAACATTATTACATATTGCACATATATGCTAAATACATTATTATGCTAATTAGACTATTTATACTACATATACATGGAATATCTTCTCATGAATTAATGATTAATCTTTCAAAAGTGATTTACAATGTTGCATTGCACCATTTTTAGGCTTTATAAATAAACAATGACAATGAAGTCCATATATTGTACACATGCTAATCTTCGGAAAGATAGCTACATCCAGATCGCCTCGGAAGTGATAGTTTGTCCCATCACCTTCACCAACGGTAGTTATTTGCTTAATATATGAGCTGCAGGACCTATCTATCATAACAATTTTTGAACATCTCAGAGCAGCTACCCACAAAAACAAAGAAATTTGAAATACATTATTACAATACCATTTTATACATGTACATGTAGTTAAAACACATTTTTCGCTAACAGTTGTAACGTCGGATTAATAAATTAGAAAAAGAATGGAAAAATCCACAAAATGTGCACTGTTTGGTTATCACCAGAGCAATCATGCATACATGTACGTACATGTATCATGTATACCAATAATACCTCATTGGATAGATAATTCCGAAAAATGCAATATGTTGTGGCTTACCATCCTTGAGTGCATGTTGCTAATTAATGAGCACTTTGGGGTACATTCACCATGCATTGTAATTTTCTTTTGTTGGCTTACAGGTGTACATGTATGGCTGTGTTGGAAACCAACATGAAGATGTTTACAATTTATACATACTGGTGGTCCGTATAACCAAGCCCTGTTTCATAAAACTTGATATCGAGAAAAGTTACAAGCTACTGTTATAAGCTACTGAAATCAAGGCATCTGATTGGCTGAGAGCAAGTTTATCATAGAAATTAAGCATTTGTTATAGATAAAAAGTTTTATGAAACAGGCCCCTGGATGAAACAATCCTTGCACTTGGAGTCCAAAAATGAAGCTTGACACAGGGTATACATGTACATGTAGGACTCCTCAATCCTCTCTCTCTCTCACATGGTGCACCCGCAAGCCTACTGTACATACATGTACATGTAGTTCCATCAATCTCACATTGAGCAGTCATTACCCCAGGGATAATCCCCTTGCAATATCTCAGAACAAACTATCTTAATTACAATTTTATAATCAGCAACACATACATGTGAGGGGTACAGGGGTGTTATGGACACTACGCAAGGGTTAGTTTACTTGCATCATTAAACATGATATGCATGAATCATGCACTTTTGTTGGTATTTTCCATGCCATTCGTACACAAGAGAACAAAAGCATTCATTCCAACCCATGCAAGCAACACAACACACACACAAACATGTATGTCACAAAATGGGATCAGAATTGATGAATGCAATATATTTTAAAACCTGTAACTTTAAAAAAAAAGCCAACAATACATGAGATGAGTTCCTAACTTTTGTTCCTTATGTTTATAAATGTATTAAAGAAACATCTGAATGCTATTAAATGTAAACAATAGTTTCATGAGACAGGGATTCTGAAATATTTTGTGTACAATATCTTAAAGTGTGTACATTTTGCATGTCGGCTAAATATAGTATTCATTAATTATATGAATAGAAATCTGTAAACATCTTTCTGTATTTTCTTGTTTTCCATTGTTTGGAGGTTCATTAATGAATTTAAAAAACAAAAGACATCTCCTGATTCTCATCCTTGCTTTCATTGCAATTTTCATTAGCATAAAATTAAAAATAATAAAAACACATCTAAAAATGGTGAAACTTACTAAAAATTTTGGTCAAAACTTGAACTTGAACTTTTGTACAAGAACTTGTAGACCATGTGCTAATCTAAAAAGAGATATTCATTCTGTTTAGTACTTATTCTTGGTATATGATCAAGATTTACGTTTGGGTTTAGTCTGTTGCACATACTACAGATCATTTTATTTTTGGCACACGGTCAATTTTGCACAAAATTTAAAGTTGAAAGCTCATTGAAATCTGTGGAAAGTCGTCATTGTGAGCCATCGAGCCAGCGGTGGCCTGCAGGGTTTTCACAAATCACAATAGGGGACAGTCCGGCTTGCTCACACTCTGATGGCTCTACTTCGGCTACCCCCTTTTTCAGCTGAACGTTAGTCCAAAAGCTCCTGGACATGACTTGTATCGGATTCGGCAGGGAATAATCAAAATATTCTATTTGGACTGCATAGATAACTTTGAATCTCAAAAGAATTTTTTTTTTGTATGCTAAAACTTAAAAACCAGTTATAAATTATAGCAATTATGTATAGTGATTACAACTATTCAGCAAACTATGTTCACAATTTTGATGTGATTTGGATTTCTCTGGATATCCCTGTATAATTTTCATCTTTAATCTTTTTTCTCCCCCTCTGCATACCAGTACATGAACAGTGTATATTATGAATTAAATATTATGGTAATAAACAAGACCCTTAGGTACCTACATGTACAGTATACATGTACATGTACATGTAAGCCATTAATGCCTCATGTTTTTAGATTGAGCATTTTTCCAGACTGCACCGTCTGCTATTACCTCATTATGTATGCGCACGAGAGCGTCATGTCTCGTTTTTTAATTTTTTTTATAACGGGTTCATTTAAACAGGTGCATGGAACACATCTTCTTTTAATAAATTTAGTGCAACATATGGTATTTCCATCTGTGCAAAATGCAAATATGTATACATTTACATGTTCTCAAGATGTGCTTCACATGCTCATGAATTGATTTCAAAAAAAGATAGGTTGACAATTTCCAGGTTACATTAAACGATGTTTGATGAGCAAGAAAGGTTGACAATTTCAAACTTTAAATAATGCATTAAGCTACATGTTTGATAAACAAGACAGAACTTTATGCCTAATGAAAACTGTGTTTTTTCAAAAGACATTTTTTCTTTATCATCATATCAAAAGAAATGAATGAGAAAGTACCTCCACTTGGTATCCCAATTTTATTTTTTGCCCAGAGTAAAACATGATGTCTGGTTTCCCCTCAAGTGTTAATACAAAAAAATAGTAATATGATAACAAATTTCAACAGTCTTTATATTTCATGTGACATGACTTTAACTGTCTCTGTGAAGGTGCCGGTTTCTTGACACAAACATCTACATGTATGCTCATCAGCCCCTTCACCATAAAGTCTAGTCATAACAATTATTAACATTTTTTTGTCTTTTTCATTTAGTATTTTTGTCTTTTAGTATTTTTGTCTATAGTTTGTTTCTCCCCCATAAAGTCTAGCAATAACAATAATTAAAGTGACTTGGTAACATTGTTCAGATGAGAGATAGTGGTGCTAAGGTAGTGACTTCAATGCCAGATGTACAATTAAAGATAATCTGAAAATCTGAGTGAAAACGGACCATTATTCATGGTACAAATTGAGAAAAACTGATCTGATCGATTACTTAATTCTCCCAACTATATTATTACAATTTAATTACATTTTAGGTGAATGGAAATTGTCACAAAGCAATAAAATGGCTCTACATTCCATTCCAGACATTTATGTGTTGACAGATTTGTTTGTAGCCTTTCTTTTTAGTCTTTCTTTTTTTCATGTAAAAACTGTTGGGAAAATTCAAAAATGGTTGGGAGAATTTACTGTTAATCACTGTTAGAGGGTGTCATACTGTACATCGACTCCTTCAAAGAAAACCATAGATATCATAGTGGTTTGAGAATTTTTTCAGGATTTTTTGCATGTCAGAGGGTTAGTATGTACAGTAGAAGGAATATAGTAAGTAACATTTTATACAAAAATTAAGCAATTTTTTCATCAACCTTCAACAATGTTACCAAGTCACTTTAATGTGTTCTCTTTTATTTTTCATTTAGTTACTCCCTCATAAAGTCTAGCCATAAAAATATTTAATGTGTTTCTCTTTTATTTTTCATTTAGTATTTTTCTCTTTTGTTACTCCCTCATAAAGTCTAGCCATAACAATAATTAATGTGCTGCTCTTTTTAGTCTTTTATTTTTCCTTCAGTATTTTTGTCTTTAGTTACTCCCTCATAAAGTTTAGCAATAAAATAATTAATGTGTATCTCTTTTATTTTTCATTTAATATTTTTGCCATTTAATATTTTTGCCATTTGTACTCCCTCATAAAGTCTAGCAATAACAATTATGAATGTGTTTCCCTGTTTATTTTCCTCTTCTTTTTTCTTTAGTTTGGTGTCTATTTTAGTGCAATAGTAGCGGAGAAGCAGAAACTCAACACGTTTCAAGATACAGGGAAGAAAAGACAGCCAATATCCAAAGACAACTTCTTTCTGGTAAGTATTCTAAAGGCCTAAACCCTGAAAAGTATATATTTTATTATTAAAGATAAAGACCAGTTATGGTCATGCGATTGCATGTGAAAGAAACGTTGTGGAATCGCTCAGAAAAGGTTGATCATCTAGCATATAAGTATTGGTGTGTACTGCTAGGTTCTGGAATCATCAAAATGATAAGAAATTTGACCCAGTCTTCGTAAAGTTACAAGCACTGAACACAGAAAGATGTATATGGGACTATACGCACACGTGCGCGACACGTGCGTTTATCTCTCACATGCCAATAGATAAACTAATTTACCAAATATATCAAGTAGTAGGCGGTTTCCCGGCAAAAATGTTATCATCATGTAGTCGTCAAAACATATTCTTGGTAATAAGAGCTTCCATTTCATTTTTTTTAAAATTGGGGCGTTTCCAATACTGGTTTTTACCTTTAATTTATCAATTGCTTGATTGATTGATGGGCTAGAATCGGAGTGCTCAAAATTGTCAAATTTGGGCAATTTTTGGAGGCAGTTTAAAAACAAAAAAATTATCAGATTTTCCTCATGATCTGCTGATCCGATACCGATATCGGGGGCCAAACCGCCAATTCGATCATTCTATCCGATCATTGCTCTAACTTTAATGCAGGGTTACTTTTTGTGCCATTTCTGAACAAGCCTGGGACTGTTTCACAAAGCCTTTTTTCAATGACAAATGACAAAAACCAGTGACAATTCCGCTGATAACCAATCAGAAGCAAGGATTTCAGTAGCGTATTAACAAAAACTGTCATTTGTCACTGATGACAAGTTTTGTGAAACGCCCCCCCCCCCAGAACTCTTTGAACATTGGCACTTCGAGATATGTGTGTTATGGTATAAACATTTGTTGTACCAGGATAATTATGAATGTACAGGTACTCGTTACAGTATATTTGAATCATGTTTACTGATATGCTTTAAACTGAGATAATGTGTCCTTCAAAATTAAAGGGGAAGACTACCCTGATTTTAAATTTGCTGTGATAGAACTTAGCAGAACAAATTATTTATGTTTGCTCTTTCTGTTTTGTGTGTGTGCGTGCAATTAATGCGCTTGCCCGATTTGTCTCTGCCCTGCATGCATATTAGTCAGATGAGCTAAAAAAAAAACACAGAATAATTCACCAATGTTTTGAGACCACAATCCAGTAGTGTTTTTTTTTAAATTCATTTTTGGGGTCATTGTTATGGGCGGTTGCCTAGCAATTTCTAATAAAACTCTAGAATGTGAGAAAAAACCCTGGGGGTTGTTTCATGAAACCGTCACTAGTACAAGATCGCCGACAGCAGCCCATTGAAACGTGTGTATTAAATTCAACACACGTTTTGTGGGGCATCAGTGAACTTTTACTTATGAAGATTTCCTGCTCTGGGATTGTGCATGCAGTGTACTTGTAAATGCCCCTAATATGAATCTTAAAATAAAAAAGACTACTTAATGTAGATTTAATTTTGTTACTGGTACTGTCTGGGCCCATGGGTGTATTAAAACACAAATTCAAGTGCAATCAGTCGGTTATTTGTGAAGTGATTTTGCGTGGCATCTGTGTAAGCAAATATTGGCAGGACAGTGTTTTTTATGCCTTCACACATGTATTGTACGATTTAAAAAAAAAAAAAAAATTTTTGTTGTAAAATGAATTTATTGATAAATATATGCTTTTGAACAAATCAAACAATCATACACAATCAATTGAAATAACATCGTAGCATCTTAACATAGTTCAAATAAAACGTTTCGTTTTCTTGAATAACAGTGTTTTCAAAAATGCATAGCTTTTTTGTTTTACAGTTCCTTTCGATCTTTAATCGGTTGTGGATTAGTCTTTTGAAAATACAAAGAATAGAGACTTCATATTGTACGATTTGATACAGGTGTGTTTTATGATTTCTTTGTGATGTTTCTTGTTTTTCAAAAATATGATTTAAAAACACCTTCTGAGCCTCAGGGTTTTATGGCTTGAAAACACATATCTTGGGCTGTGTTATTTGTTTTACACTGTACATGTACATGTATATGTATATGCAGCATACATGTATCATGTAGTTTAATTTTGTGTCATGTTTTCATGCTTTAGTTTCACTTGCACCAACATGTTTTGAGTTGTGATATACAGTACATGTACATTTTATGTGCTGCATTCAGTTTGTTTATAAATGTATAAGTACATTTTTTGCTGTGTGTTATGTTTTTTATGCAGTATTCAAATTTTGCGTCGCCATAAATCAATGTTTCATTTCTTAATTGGCTCCTCCTCATAAATATATTAATAAAGATGTCTCCAACACCTACAGCGTATGTGCCTTTTTCGCTTTATAGCCACATTCATAGCAAACATGAGACGCAAATGTGCGCTCAGATCTTTGGAGAACAAAAAATCCTTATTTATAGCCTCTTATCTTTATTACCAGTATTTTTTATAGCCTATATGGCTTTTTCATGTTCCTCAATATTTTCTTAGAGATATTTTGTTTTCCTTTAAAGCATTTTTTCTCCTTATATAGCAAAATTTCTCCCTCTGAGCATGTATATTTTCACATTAGAACTTTAAAGATAACGACCAGTTTAATATGGTCATGCGATTGCATTGTGAAAGAAACGTCGTGGAATCAATCAGAAAAGGTTGATCATCTAGCATATACTGTAAGTATTGGTGTGTACTGCAAGGTTCTGGAATCATCAAAATGATAAGAAATTTGGCCCAGCCTTTGTAAAGTTACAAGCACTGTACACAGAAAGATGTATATGAGACTACGTACAAGTGTGCGACACATGCATTTATCTCTCACTCACCAATAGATAAACTAATTTACCAAATATATCAATTAGTAGGCGGTTTCCCGGCAAATTTTTTATCATCATGTATTAGTCAAAACATATTCTTTTACATGATTGGTAGTAGGAGCTTCCATTTCATTTTTCGAAATTGGGGCGTTTCCAATACTGGTCTTTACATTTAATATCTTCATGAGTTATGCTTGGTTATTGAATTTCTCTTCTTTGCTTTCTGTCGTTACATCCCTTTTAAACTTTACATTCTTGATTAGATCCTTGTCCAGCTACATCGTTTTTGTTGTGTGTTCTTGTGAGAGTAAGATTTATAAACTCCCAAAGTAGATTAGTATAATCACTGGAGTGGATAATTTACATTAATATTAAACCTGCAATTTGCTTGAACATACAGTACATTTAGCTTTAGAAAATTGTGCCTATAACCACCTTTTGCAGCCCTATGCAGGCACGTAGCCAGAGTTCGATGTTTGGGGGAGGGGGGGGGGGCACATACTGTACACTGTACATGTAATCGATTGAGTTAAAAAAAAAGGGGTCTAAAAAAGTTCAACCGATCTTGGAATTTTTTTTTTTTTTTTTTTTTTTTGGGGGGGGCACGTGCCCCTCCGTGCCCCCCCCCCCCCCCCCCCCCCCCCCCCCGTGGCTAAGTGCCTGGCCCTGGCCCTATGTATTATCAAGAATAGAGAAAGAGAAAGAAGCAATAGATAGATCACAGGAGAATAGCATGCATGTTTAATTTAACTTTGAACACTAAATGAAACACTAACCATAATTAATATTTGATAAGATGAATCAATTGTTGTACACATGCATCTATCAATTGTTTTTTGTTCTTGTTTTTTGAGAGCGATTCTTTTATTTTCAACTGTTTTTTCTCTTCTCTTAACAGGTTGCAGCCAACAAATCTAAAGGTCAGGTACAGTCATGGTTTCATGACCTTGCTGGGAATAAATCTCTTAATCAACTCACAAAGAAGGTAAATAAGACCCCCCCCCCACCCGCACAAAAAAGAAGAAAAAAAGACAAAAAACTAACTTGAGGAAAGTTCATTCATCCTGAAAACATCACGCTTTACTTTTCTGAATATTTTCACCTGTTTCTCCATTTTAAGACAATATTTAAGAGATGTGATTTTTGTTTTATGTACAGTTTCTGCATCCAGTAGGGTTTGCCCTTTATTTTCACCCTTTAAACATGTAACGTACATGTATTGTTCATCTGTAATAATCCTTAACAAAAAAAAAATCTTTTAAATTCTAGTTTCTTTAACTGCTTTATGAAAAACATAGTAACAAGGTTCAGAAGATTTTGTGTAGTTTTTAACCAAAGTGACTCAGTCTTCTGGTCTTCTTTTGCACTCTGAAAAACTATGTTAATGGTCATATGATGAAAATCTAGAAGAAATAGATTTCAAGATAATGAATTTAACTATTACATAATCATGAGACACAATCCCTACAGTACTTAATTCTCAGTGTAAAAAAAACAACCATTATTGTCCTAAGAAATCCTACCCCTCCTTTAATACAAGCTTGTCAATATTATTTATGATCAGGTACCAGTGTTCCATCGCAAGGAGGACATCTTCATGACACTATGTGAGAACAACATGCCCATGATTCGAGCTGCCTGGTATCTGAAGATGATGGCCGCCAACCAGGCTGCCATCCAGGAGACCAAGATGAAGAAGAGACAACCCAATGATCCCTCACAAGGTATGCTAATTCTCTAGTCCCCGGGGTGGCCATTTTTTGGGTGGGGTGTTGTTGGTATCATGAGAGTTCGGGGTGGGGGGAGGGGGATTGCCAAACAAGCTGCCATATCATAAACAAAGATGAAGAAGAGACAACCCAATGATCCCTCACAAGGTATGCTAACTCTCTAGTTACCGGCATGGCCATTTGGGGGGGGGGGGGGGGGTGGGGTGTTGTTGGTATCATGAGAGTTGGGGGTGGTGGGGGAAGGGGGGTAGGGAATGCCAAACAAGCTGCCATATCGTAAACAAAGATGAAGAAGAGACAGCCGCATGTCAGTGGCATAGCCAATCTGGGGGCGTTTGGGTGGGGGAGGGAACTAAAATGTAGATGGATAAAACACTAGACAACAAGGCATTTTAGAGACGGAGAGAGTGTGTGTGTGGGGGAGGGGGGGGGGGGGGGGGGGGGGGGGGGGGGGGGGGGGGGGGGAGTCAGTCATGTTGTGCATTCAAGAAATTTGAATTTTTGTTGACCTTTTTTCTTCAAAGGCTGGCAAATTGCCATACACTGTGCAGTGTGAAAGTACAGACTTTTAATATCGTAGTTGTCATTTTGTGGTTGAAAATACTGTACTTTTTGTTATCTTTTTTGTTACATGCATGTACTAATTTATACAACTGTCCATACAAGTCTGAAATCTCTTTGCATCATGGGTTTAAAATTTTAAAAGCAATCTGGCTCCAAAATAGCACGTAAATAACGTGTTTATTGAATTGAATTGAATTGAACTTTATTTCATTCATCATAAAAACATCATAACAAACATATAAAATACAACACATAGCGTACAAGTTAAAGAGAAACATTTACCATACAATACAACAACAAAAATATTTATGAATGTGGAGACAGCTAGGAGCAAGGTCAACTCAACACGAAATCGTGAGATAATTCATTGCACCTGGCAGTGCACCGCTCCGCACTGCCTGGCACTGCCTCGTACCGCCTGGTACCATAAGTCTTGAGTAATCAAGTTCCCTTTTATTTTTTCTCAAAATCAATTTTTCATCATTTTGGGAACCTTTGGTTTTAATACCTTTAACAAATTGTTTATACTTGTTTGTTTCCTCCTTTATGATATGGCATATATGTTTTTTTAAGCAGACAGTAATGCATTCTTTACAGATTCTGTCACATCTTTCTTGTCTTTTTGTCACCATTTTTCCTTCGTTATTTAAAGAAAAATGTAATTTATAGTCGATCTGATTATTCCACTTTTCAAAATTTTTAAAGATCATTAAGATTCATTGTCATATGCCAAAGTTATGGCAGGTTTGCTGCGACACTTTCTCAGCAGTTCACGTAAACAACATGTTTACTCAACAGAGAAGCAAGCTCAACTCAAAACAAAATCGTGAGATAACAAGCAATAACATTATAAGTCTCTTTATCTTTTAGAATTGCGAAAAATGTCAGTTTCAATATGATCTATTCACAGAGATCTCCTTTGATATTTTTGTCCCTATGTTATAACAGCTGGGTGTGTCGAAAGAGCCAAATTTACCAGATAATCAATGCATTTATTAATGAAGAAAGAATTGTTATTCATTGAGAATGATTTTTATTTCCTTTATTTTTAACATTCTGTCATCACAGATTGGAATCTCATCATAAGCAATTTTATTCAAAGCAAGATTATCAATGAATATGATTGATGAAATTGTATACCTTTCTTAATTTACGGCCTTGATGTTTATCATTAATAATAATAATAACAATAATATGTCTTGTTTACCCAGGGTAGCCTCATCAGTATTCATACTGTTCTCCCTGAGGGCCCTGCAATCATATTATGAGTTATCATATATTATCATTGATGATGTTGTGTTAAAGCCACACTGTACTACTTGTACATGTAGCTAATTGCTCCCTCTATATAGAAAACTTCCCCAATCGGTGCCTGTTGGTCCCCCATGATCATCTTTTTCTTATGTTAATTGAGAACTGAGTTAATGAGATCGCCACCTGTCAGTGACCTCGCTGGGTAGTCTAATCCCTTCTGGCTGAACTCGTACAGCCGGCCTTTAAATATTTCTTTTTTGTTGCCCTCATTACAGACTGGTGTCTGATCATCACCAAGTTCTTGAAGAGCCAGCTGGACAAGATCGTGGAGTACAACAACACAGCCTCCCTGGTCTCCGCCCAGCAGGCGGCGTCGGCGAACACTAAGCAGTCGTCATCGTCGACCACCTCGTCCATGCTAGGAGGCGGGATGGGGTCCATGGGCATGGGGTCGGGCACCATGGGGGGCAGCACCATCGAGCTGGAGAAGTGCGTCAAGCTGTGGCAGTATACCACAGAGTTGGCCAGATACCTGTATCAGGTACGTGCAGGGCAGAATCACTTTCCCTAATGGCTCATTCACATATGAAGAGCTTAATTCTGAAAGGAGCTAAATCCACTTTTGATGAAAATTAAGTTATTGATATCAGAACATTGTTCACTTAAGTACCCATCTTTCAACAAAATTATTTACCTAAATTTTGGGAGCAATCATGAAAAGAGTGCACCTTCTAATATCATTTTTCCATAGACGCCTGTACAAAATCTGATAAACAATTTCCTTTTTCTCTGAAGTTACAAAAGTGGATTTAGCTCCTTATGGAATTAAATTCTTCATATGGTGCTAGACAGGGAGGGCCATTCGCTGCGCTGTTTTTTTTAAAAATGTGCATGTGAATAGCAAGTGGAAGATGGAAATGTTAGTCGAACATTTATTCTTCATCTGTTTGTAAATAAGATAAAGAAACATGAAGAATTTTACAAAACATCCCCATAATCAGAAATCAGACGGTTTATGCTGATTATATGTGAACAAGCTTTAAGGGTCCACCATGAAAATGTTGAGTTCAGTATTAGCATTTGGTGGTACCTGCAGCAGATATTAACCAATCACTTGTCTTGATTTTGATTTGTTATGACAAATATAACATTGTTTTACTAAATTTAACATCGTTTTCAGAATACCACCCTGTTCCACATTTAGTAACTTTGACAAAAATATTCTATTCTTTTCATTCTTTTGTGTTTTTTAGGAAGGGATGTTGGAATGCCATGACTATCTCTCATGGCTGGTTGACACTTTAGAGAAGGTTAACACCAACGATGACAGCACTCTGCGATTCCTTCTCCCATTCGTTGTCCAGGTATGTAGCTTATTCCTAAGCAGATCTCACATCGGAATCTTAGTTTCCCAAAAAACACACAAATAAATAGAAACTGCAGTACCTAAAGTTGCATGCCTTATGAAATTTGAGTGTTATGAACTGACAGCCAACCCTGCACTCCATTTGCATTGTACACAATATGATCTGGCATATAGGATCATTTAAGGCAATTCATGTTGTACATACTACATACAAAGATGTGTGCCAAGTTACCGGGGTTCATGAACTGACGGAGTGATATTTAAAGCCGTTTCTGTAATAATTCCATCGTGTCGTACTAAAACCTATTCACTTCAGCACTCCATGAGAAATGTTAGAAAAAGATATAAAGGAAAGGCACTTTTGATGAAATATAACTTTAAAAAGGTAAATTATCTGAATATGGATTTCAGTTTGGGCACATCAGTATGCCAGGCCATAATCCTGCAACCAATATAGAGTATAAAGAATGCAATGTGTCTTGTAACCATCCTTGCTGTTTGAACATATGCTTTTTTCGTAGTATTTGGAAGAGTTTCTGAAGAGTCAGATGCTATCCCGCCGTCTTGCCTACGTCTGTGCTCGTCGTCTAATGTCCATGTGCTCTGAAACTAGACCGCATTCACCTCACCTCAATACTTCAAGCAAGTAAGTCCTCTCAATAGATTTTTTTAAAAAATTCTCTTCACTTTATCCAATAATTTGATTAAAAATATACAACAGGATGCCAGTTTTCAGGCAAAAGCCTGAATTCAGGCCCTGGCGAGTTATTTTCAGGCCATAGTTTAGGCTTTTATGTGTACAAAATAGCTCATTCTAGGTGATTTTCAGGTCTTCTGATCAATTCTAACTGGCATCCCTGATACAAAGGTAAACAAACATATAAAAGTTACAAAATAATATTGATATATAACATGGGAATAATATTAAAGCGGAGTAGACAAGAAAAACAAGAAAACAAATCTAAACATATTCATTAATGAAAATGTTTGGAGACAAGACAGGAAGGCCAGGCCTCATGTAAAAGTCAGTGTCCAGTGATTGTTAACTATGTACATTATTTGAATTATTACATATTTTGATTTTGATAGAAAGAGAAAAAAAAGGAATCAATTACACATACATACAATATGTCACGTTGGTGTCGCGTAGAGCCCTGATCAATCTGCTCTGGATAAACAAAGAATTTATACATCAGTATTTACTTCTCTATTATCACAGCTTCTATTCGGTTGAAGGAAATAATCACCAATTTTATTAGATACACCTGTACTAATTACCAAATTTTGAGAAACCCTGGATTACTATGATGTCCATATTTGATGATCTGACATTTGCTCCGGCAACATTCTCATCAGGGTTTGTTTTGTCAAAGATATAGGTTGGGTTTTAGGCTAGGTTTAGGCTTAGGGTTTGGTGTAGTGTTTGTCTCAATGTTGAAGTTATACATTTAGAAATTATTAATTTTATTTATTCGGCAAAGACAAAGAAAATCAGTGAATAAAAAACAAGATTACATTTGGAAAAGAGTCTCATGGATGCCGGGAAGAAAAAAAATGTTAACTCGATAACTATAACCCGAAGGTCTTCTTTTACATCAGAGTAATTGTTGTAGAAACGTGTGTTGTAAAAACCAGATAGTAGTTACGAATTCAGATGGTACTATAAGATTTTGAAAGCAGAATAATTTCGCCCAGAGCAAGTGAATGAATGAATTGACATTTATTTCCATCATCATGACAGTATACAATATATACAAAGATAAAATATGGAATTTCATAACAGATAACAATATCAAAATTACATATAAATTGACAAAACAGCATTCAAGTGTCATATAACTTCTTTATATCTGCCCTTGGTTCTGATTCCCCAGTGTCCAGTTACCGCCGAACACACCGCCTCATTCCCAGCATGCTCTGGCCAGCATCCTGGCAGAGTTCCGCAGCTGCCCTCAGCACCACTCCATCATCCTTGGTCTGAGCTGCGTCCTGCAAGCCATCACCTTGCGCTGCCCGAGTGCCCTGGTATGGATCAACCTGGGTGAGAGCAAGAACTACAGCGTACCTGGTTCGCCCTTGGACATCCTGCCGTGTCCTCCGTCCCTCCTGCCCCTTCCTGGCAGTGTGTCCATGCAGAACCACCAGGTGAGTCTACTTGTGTTTGTGTCTGTATGTCTGTTGTTAGGCCCATGTGTCTGATTTGTACCTGGTTTGCCCTTGGATATCCTGCCGTGTCCCCCCGTCCCTCCTGCCCCTTCTGGCAGTGTTTCCATGCAGAACCACCAGGTGAGTCTACTTGTGTATGTGTCTGTCTGTCTGTCTTTATGTCTGTTGTTAGGGCCATGTGTCTGAATTGTACCTGGTTCGCCCTTGGATATCCTGCCGTGTCCGCCATCCCTCCTGCCCCTTCCTGGCAGTGTTTCCATGCAGAACCACCAGGTGAGTCTACTTGTGTATGTGTCTGTCTGTCTGTCTTTATGTCTGTTGTTAGGGCCATGTGTCTGAATTGTACCTGGTTCGCCCTTGGATATCCTGCCATGTCCGCCGTCCCTCCTGCCCCTTCCTGGCAGTGTTTCCATGCAGAATCACCAGGTGAGTCTACTTGTGTTTGTGTCTGTCTGTCTGTCTTTATGTCTATTGTCATGGCCATGTGTCTGTCTGTCTATCAGTCTTTCTGTCTTTGTGCCTGACTTTCTCTGTGTCTGACCCGAGGATATATTTCTGTGTCCATCATCCCTCCTGCCCCTTCCTGGCAGTGTGTCCATGCAGAACCACCAGGTGAGTCTACTTGTGTTTGCGTCTGTCTGTTTTTCAGTCTGTATGTCTGTTGTTAGGGCCATGTGTCTGCATGTCTGTCTGTCTTTCTCTCATTGTGTCTGACTTTCTCTGTGTCTGTCCCCAGGATATATTTCTTTGTCCATCATCCCTGCTGCCATTACCAAGTAGCATGTCCATGCAAAACCACTGTGTAAGTCTGTTTGTCTTTCTTTCTGTCTGACTGTCTGTTTGCTGGGCCATGTGTCTGACTGTCTGTCTGTCTGTTCGGCTATCTGTCTTTCTGTTTCTCTGCCATGTCCATTGTCTCTTCTGATTGCGAGTCAGCGTGTCCATGTAGAACCATCAGGTTAGTCTGTTTTCCTTGGTGTCTATTGTCTCTCTGTCTGTCTATCAGGGTTGGTATACATAGAATGTGTTGTTCATTTTTATTTGAGTCTGTGGGAGTAACTGAAATAATTTTCAGCAAAATTGAGGATTAGATGAAGAATATGTTATCCTCCAAATCTGGTTTAAGAGCACATTATGTAAATTATAATTGAAATGTGCTGCAAACACTAATACATTTTTTTTTAGCTACCAGCGTTATTCCTAATTTACATGAAATCATTTCATAAATTACCATACAACATGTACCTTCTTATTGGTACACCAACGTTACAGCTTAAAGAGAAGGTTGAGTTCTGGGAAGAGATGAAAATTTTGTAAGTGTTATCATTGAAATTATGCAAGTGTGGAAGAACATCAGATACAACATGTTCCCTGAAAAGCATGGCTCTTCAACTGTCTTAATATTTTAAATATGGCATGTAATATAATACAAATCAGGACGGATGTTTATGGCACCTTTTTGTGTAGTCCCATATACATCTTTCTGTGTACAGTTCTTGTAATTTTACCAAGACTGGGCCAAATTTCTTATCATTTTGATGATTCCAGAACCTTGCAGTACACACCAATACTTACAATATATGCTAGATGATCAACCTTTTCTAATCGATTCCACAGCATTTCTTTCACAATGCAATCGCGTGACCAGAACCCAACTTTATCTTTAAATTCTTTCCATATCCCTCATGACGATGTAATCTGTCTCAGATTTACTAGAATCTTTTTGCTGTATTAGTATTAATCCTAATGCAGGCTTAATTTTGGTAAGGATCAAGGGGATTGTCTGGATATACAGGGAAGATAAAAATACATTTTAATGAGACTTAGCAGCAAGAACATGTGTATGAACAGCATTGATTGATTTTTTTGTGGCTTTTATCATAGAATAAAGTTGGGATAAGTCAAGATGTTGCGGAGTTGTGTAAGATATATAAAACCAGGAACTTCTGCAAGCTGTTAATATCAGCTGTTTCTACAGCGAGAACTCTAACAAAATGCAAAAATTCTATGTTTTGATTGAATCATTCCGGAGCTTTATAAGTTCACTAATTTTCAACAACTCATGATATTTGGTACTGTTTGATGCAACAAAAAGAATGTTGGTTTAGCTACACACTGTTATAAAATGTTTTCAAACTGTCACTCTTTTTTCTTGCTTTCTTGCATTTTCTCTTACTGCTTTTCTGAATTTCACCTTATTAATACTTTGTCTCAAATACCAAATTGAATTCTGAATATCAGTTAATATTCATCATGTTTAGACCTAATTACTAAAAATTCAGTGAAAACTTAGATGGGGGAATTTCATTTTATACTAATATACTTAAATGTATTGTGTCCATTTGTATGCTTATAAATTGCTAATGGTTTATGTAAAATCTGAAGAGTTGTCATATCGACTAAAGCTTTTGGCAGTTCTCCATTCACACGTAGAATAGAGCAGTTTCTTTTCATGAAAAATGATATGTGGAAATCACACCCATTACCAAGCAGATCACCATTTGCTGATTCCTTTCTTTGATTGTGTGTCTCTATGCACACTTCCCCCTCTCTCTCTCTCTCTCTCTCTCTTTTCTCTCTCTCTCTCTCTCTCTCCTCCCTCCCTCTCTCTCTCTTTCCTCTCTTTTCCTCTCTTTCTCCATCTCTCTATCTTTCCTGCTCTTTCTCTTTCTTCACTATATCTCTCGATCTCTTATCCTCTCGGTCTCTTTTTCTCACTTTCCTTCCCACTCTCCCCCCTCTCTCTCTCTCACTCTCTCTTTCCCTTTTTTAATCTTTTTCTCTACATCTTTCCCTTCTCTCTTCCTCACTTTTATACTTTATTTAGGTACATATTCCCCATTTCCTTCTTGTTCATATTTTTGCTTTAATTTTACATTTGGTACAAAATTAAGGATAAACATGTGACATATACGTGTACTTAAAATTATGAAAGTGATACCGTTTTCAATTGTACAGTTGTTTTTAAAATGCAATGTATATTCATGTGCAATTCATTATATGTAACTCGGATGCATTATTCAATAAATACCATACCATACCATACCACTAGATTCGGAGCAGCATTCGGCAGGCAGAAAACCAGATCAAAATGAGGAGTAGGAGAGCAGAAGTGAGATGGTCTTCAGATAAATGCCAAGAATCTGCAGCTGGTAAGCTGAAAAGATCAATTGATTAGATATATCATATATATATATTGGCCCGAATTCACAAAGCAAGGTTTGAGCTCAGACCAAGGTTTGAGCTCAAACCTCCTTTTGTTTCGCCAAACCTCCTTTTGTTCTTTACAAACCAGGTTTGTAAAAAACGCGTAAAACGCGTCATATGACGTACGAAAACCAAGGTTTGTCGACAAACCTCCTTTGTGAATTCGGGCCATTGGGTTTAGGAATCGGAAGGTCAAAGGTCAGTTTCTGAGGTTAGCTATAAAGTGAAATGTTGTTGCCAAAAAAGGCACATATGGAATGCTAAAGGCATGACAGTTCATGACTTTTGTTAATTAAAGGGGGTGTAGCATGACGAGACTAAGTGTCTTTCCCGTGGCCTGACTCATGGTCAATCGGGTATAATACAACTACGGATGACACAACCTCAGTATTCACGTGCGTGCAACATACGCGAAACCGAAGCGTGAGGAGAACTTCGGCTGTTTCGTGATCGCTAGCACACGCTGACTGTTAATCAAATCCATTCGGTTACTGTACGTGCAGTTGTCCAGAAGAAGTAGTAGATGGCGTTAACTAGTATTTGCCATGCTACGTCCCCTTTTGAGTTCTGTTATGATATATCTGAATGAAAGTTTGGGCAGCATCAAGCCTAATCTGAATAATGCATATATCCTAATGATATGGTTCTACCTCTTTGTAATGAGGTCATGATTTCCAATAATTACGCATTTTGTGTTTTTGTCTTTCCGTGCCAATACATTTTGCTAAGCTACGTGTATACCAGAAGAAAAAAAAGTACTACCATGATAACTTGAGAACAATTGAGGGAAATTTAAACACTGTTAAATATGCATAAGGATGAAGAAAAAAAAAGAGAGCTTGATTAGATTTTGGGTTTAAAAGGTCTAAGATCAAAGGTCATTATGTCTTAAAAATGAAATTAAAAAAACTCTAAGCTTTAACTGAACCAGATCCAAATGATGCACGAGCACTTATAGATGAATCAAATCGATATGGGGTTCAAGAGGTCAAATATCCAGTTCATAGGGTCATTCATTAATCGAGAGTGGAAGTAATGTCGGAGTTGCTGTTGCATCCATCTAGTTTGCTATGTACGTGTACTTTTATTTTTGTAAAGTATGTATAATCAAGATTATCAAAACTATTTTCTTTTTGTTTTTTTCTAGGTCACACAATATCAAGAGTGCTACAGACCCTTGAAGTATTGGACAGACATTGTTTTGATCGCTGCGATGCTAGCAACTCAATAGATGCTCTCTACAACAAGATATTTCTCAATAGTCAGAAGCAAGAAGCACCCGAGGTATGCCTCACTCATCCATCTTCTTTTTTCCTTCTTCCCCCTCCCCCTTTTTTTTTGGGGGGGGGGGGGGGAGAGGGGCAATGTATGTGTATGCAACACAAGCTATGAAACACAATTACCTTCCTCTGTTCTATCAAAAGCAGAAAAAACCCAAGGTATTCATAACCCATCTAACTTTTTTTTTTTTTTTTTTTTTTTTTTTTTTTTTGGGGGGGGGGGGGTGGCATTTGTATACAACAATAACTTTTTTCCCTGGACCCACATTTAAGGCAGTTAAAGCAAGTTTGTAGTGCTTTCCGACAACATTATCATATTAGGAGAATATGTAACACAAGCAAAAGGAGATAACATCCTCTTTTCACTCTTCTGTGATAATCATTAGAATTTGATTGTTTTTAGGCATTTATTCTAACTTTGTAAATTAGATGATTGCACAGTTCAGGCACAGTAGGCTTTCAAAATGTATTTCTGTTTGCTTTTGCAGTCTCTCCTGAATGATGATCCCATAGTGCTATTAATTTAAAATTAGGATGGTATTTCAGGCTCGTTATAGCATCCCCTAGGATTGATTTACTGCTTTTTCAAATTGTAGCTTTTATTATTTATACTACAGTCAGACCTGCTTTAGTGACCACCTGTCTACAAAGGCCACATTTGTTGTTTCCCTTGAAAATGGTTTCTCATTGAAACATGTACTAAAGGAACCTGTCTACAAAGACCACCTGTCTACAAAGGCCACTTTTGTGTTTTCCTTGGGCGGTCACTATAGACAGGTTTGACTGTATTGACAATGACTTGGTATTCATCTTTGTTGTATGTCTTTTTGTGTGCAGCCTCTGCAGAGTGATGATCCCATAGTGCTACTGCTTTGCCAGTGGGCAGTGTGCCCAGAGAGGACCAGCGAACATAGAGCTCTCGTAGTGGCTCAGCTCCTGGAGAAATATGTCATCGACATGGAGGCAGAGGTATGTGGATCAATGGCAAACAACAAACTAACAAACAAACAAACAAACAAACAAACAAATAAACAAACGCCTAGATATACATCCTTGTCAAATCTCTAAATTGATAATTCCGGACATACAAGGTCTGTGTTTGTGTAATTTTGGTTTCATTGAATCTCAATTCTGAGTTAGCTTAACATTGGAGGCAGAGGTATGTGGATCAACAGCAAACAACAACAAATAAACAAACAAACACCTAGAAATATTACTTGTTTTACATCCTTGTCAAATTTCTAAATTGATATCTGGACATAAAGGCCCGAATTCACAAAGGAGGTTTGTCGACAAACATAGGTTTAGGTTAGAGACACGTCAAATGACGCACATAGACCTAGGTTTGTCGACAAACCTCCTTTGTGAATTTGGGCCAAAGGGACTGTGTTCTTGTAATTTTGGTTTCAGTGATAAGATTTATGAGATGATGAAATCTCAATTCTAAGTTGGTTCCACAAAATGAAGTATTGGGTAAAGATGTGTCATGTAATGCAAAGAATATGATTTTATTAATATTACATAGTGATTGAGTATGTACTATTGAAAGTTTGAAAGTATCTGTTTAATAGCCTTGGGGAAACGGCTGTTGATCTGTTCTTTTGTCAAAATAACAGGCTTATAAGGGCATTTAGAGTAAAGAAATTGTTGTCATATCAGACCTAAAAAAAAGATGTTCTATTGCCCTTTAGGTGCCAAAACATGGGTCGGTCAGTCAGAAATATATATTTTTTTAAAGCTCCCTCTTTGGGCTGATATTTTTCAGTTTTGAATGCTTTCATACATTTTTTTCTCTAAAAAAACAGTAAAACAATAAAATTAAACAAAAAAGTCGACTGTAGATTTTCAAGATTTTTTTTTTTTTTCGCAAAGGGCAATACAGCATCTTTTTTTTTTGAGGCCTCATCATGAAGATATGTTTTAATAGTGCATGATAGTTAATCAAGTGTTTTAATGTACGGTATGTTTTACAGTCAGCTAGAGTGAATTGGCCACGATCAAAGACATGAAATGTGATCCCTTCTTCTCTTTAGAAAATGGCTGAAATGGAGGTAATGGAAGACAAAGAGATGGCACCAATCTCCCCCATGCCTACTGCATCAACTATCCCTGTGTTTCAGGTCCTCCTTCAACATTTCCTGGATATAAGAGCTCCTGTGATTGGTAAGTCTAAGGGTGCGTTCAAGCAATTTTTTGAAGCTGGAATCACAAACATGAATCACAAATCGAAACGTCGTTAAAAAACATGGTTACTGCAGGAGGGCGTTCAAGCAATTTTTTCATCAACGCTGACTTGCTCATTTCAAGCCCAGTCACTGCTCATCATACTGTGCAGTTTGACCCAAGAAGGAAAGGTCAACTTCGCCGCGTGCTTTCTAATGACGTCATAGAATCATGATTGAGATCTCCATTCGTTCAAGCGAATTTTAGCGAATCACGATATAAAACGCATCTTTTCCAGCGTTTCATGTTGTGTTTTTAAATACATTTATTTTTACGATGGACAAAAAATTGCTTGAACGCAACCGTGTTTTAAACTAAACGTCTTTGAATACTGATTCTAGGGTGAAAAAGTGTTGATTAAACGCACCCTAGATTGTCTTATAATGTCTCTTTGTGCAAATAAGGTGTCCATGTGTATACAGACAACCTCCCTTTATTGACCACTGACATGGAAAAAAAAGATCCACCTGTCTGTAGGTAGTATTCTGTCTTTCTCTTGAACAATGTTTCTGACTGGAACCTGTATATAAAGACCACCTGAAATTTGTGTGGTCTTTAAAAATCTTTATATTTGTAGACGAGGTTATGGTATAGTGAGTGAGGACTGTTGACCTTGCGCTACAGGGTTCAAAGGTCATTTGGCAAGATTTTAACGCCCCTCTGTACTAGTTTGGCCAGGAGGGATTAGACCTCCCACCATGGTCACTGACAGGTGGTTATCTCATCAAATCACCCCACCCCCTATAACAAAAACAAAGGGGATCATGGGGGACCAACGGTCACCGATTAGGCATTGCTTGCTATATCGAGGGCGCAAGTAGCTATAAGTAGTGCAGTGGGGCTTTACCCTGCATTTGCTACTCTCAACCCAGGTGAAGCAAATGGGTGCCTAGTGCTTGAGCACCTCGTTGGGGGTAGCTTGGCTTAAGCCCTAGTATTCCACGTTTTGTATTCTCAAGAAAAAGCGCTTTGTAAGCTACATGTACATTGAAATCTTTATACAAAGACCACTCATGGAAACCAGTCTGTATTGACAGGTGGTCCTTATGCACCGGCCATTTCAAAGTTCGGCCGATGCAACCTGAAAAGAGCGAGACCCATAGAATTTAGTATTTATTTGTGGAATGGTGAGGAGAGACTTTTGGGAAGATCTGTGGGTTCAGTTTGGAACATATTGGGTAAGTAATTCCATTAAATTAAAGTAGGAGCTAATCGTTTGAGGCACTTAAAGGTTAAAACAAGGATCTTGAACTCTAATCTATGATTATAGTGGTTGTAATGAATCTGCTAATTCTGCCTCGATATCAAACTCTTCTCCAGATGACACCTCCTCCTCGGCTGACGACAAAAAGGCCTTTGCCAACCTGATCCTTCTCTTTGGTGAGCTGATCCGATGCGAGGTCTTCTCCCACGACTCCTACATGTGCACCCTCATCTCCAGGGGTGACCTGACCACCGTTCCTACCCAGGCTCAGACGGGGGCGTTTGTCGGGGGTCCAGGCAGCCAGCGTAATGATAGAGGTGCCGGGGATAAGAACGAGGTGAGAATGGTTTTATTTGAATAACAGGCAAAAGAGAATGTTGTACAAATTTGTCTAAATCGGAAAATCTGTCATGGGGTCAGGTGACATTTTGTAGTTGCATGGAAGGCAAAACCTACCTAGATTACGACTAAGGTGCAGCTTTTAAATTTTTTTTTTTCTCACAAAATAAGATATGAACAAATATTTCATTGAGAATACAAGTATTTTTAAAATCTCATAATCATGTTCCTCTGCATGTACACTTAGCTCTGAGGCTTGCTTTTCGTTTTCTTGTACGTTATCACTGAGGGTTGGAGTTGACCTCAAATTTTTCTTTAAATGATTTTGTTTAAATTTTCAAACTTATTTTGTGTGAATAGGCCAAGGATGATGGAGAAGAAAAACAGGACTCCTCTGACAATGAGGATTATGGTTACCTTGACGACAAACCCCCTCCTGCACCTGCCCCGCCCCCTCGCAAGGAGTCTACCTCCTTCCAGGAAAAATTCCTAGAGTCCATCCAATCCAAGTCAGACTCTCAGTCGGACATCTCTGATGACGAGAAGGACAGCCCCATGGACGGTGAGAAGAGCGACGAGGAGAAGAAATCTGACATGGACTACAGGTCACCATCTCCAGAGGCACCCCGTGTCAATCGGCATCAGCTCTACGTGAAGCACTTCCCCATCTCGACCGAAGATAGCTCCGCGTACCACGAGAGCAACCAGCGCTCGGTGCTCCTCTACGGATTCGGTCGCGCCCGCACGGAGGCAAGGCAACAGGTCAAACACGTCCAGAAGGACCTGCTGAAGATTCTGACCCAAGGAGGGGGCAAAGGTGAAGTGTCAAAGGGCAAGAAGGTGTCCAAGTTGGACGAGCCGACGGTCAACAAGGAAGAGACGATGCAGAGGTTTCTTGCCCTGTGTTACTTTGATCAGCACATGGTGACGGGGTCTTGTGCAAACGGGGTCCTGGATCAGGTGCAGGCATTCAGTATGGGCAATAGAGACACGCCACCCACCTTTGACCAGGTTACACTCGTCTTTGAACTCCTGGAGAATGCACTCAACATCAATGGCTTGCTGGAATTTGCTGTCAAGGTTTGTTGATTTATAAAAATCTTTAAAACCTTTAAAGGGATCCGGTAACTTTGTCTCAAAACCGGTCACTCAAAGATTTTTACTTTTTTGTGGCACTTCTTGATCATTTTGAAGTGCAATTTTTTTAAGGGCTTCAATATAACACCATATCACAGACACTGATAACACGTAGGGCCATGCATTTCAGATTTAACATTGTTAAACGATCCCTTAAAGCTACTTGCACCTTCTATAAAGCAAACAGTGCCTAAATGGTGACTATTGGTCCCCCATAATCCTCTTTATCTCATGTTAAGTGAGAGCAGGTTTGATGAGATAACCACCTGTCAGTGACCATGCAGGGAGGTCTAATCCCTCTCGGCCAAACTAGTGCAGATGGGCTTTAAGAGAGACATTAGCACTTTATTTTCATTTTGATGAGTCAACACAATGTCAGCTGTACAATTTGCAATTGAAATATGAATACTGGTAATACAAACATATTAGATTATTGATAACATACATGTAGCTTCACATTAAACATTCAAGTGTTTATAAATTCTAACCTCTTTTAATACCGTATGCATGTTATGTATGTTATAAATTATATTGCTGTAATATGAATTCTGTGAATGAGAAATATTATAGTATTAATGACTGCTTTGAGAGAAATAGTTGTTTTTATACGCTCAAGGGAAGGTTAGAATTGTGCTATTACCCGAGGCGTGCCGAGGGGAATAGCCCAATTGTAACCTTCCCGAGAGCGTATAAAAACAACTATTTCTCGAATATTAAAGCAGTCATTAATACTTTTAAAAAAAAATAGACTAAAAAATAAAAAATAAAAAATACTTTTTTTTTTGGTCCAAGATGAGATTCGAACTCTTGCGTACAAAAGGTGATGTATCTAAAGTCAGCGCCTCAGACCTCTCGGCCATCGCACGTTATTAACATGCTTGGCAGTTTTGTACTATATATACATTAAAATGGATTGAAACCGGCTTTGCGTGTGATGAATGCTTCGCAAAAGCTCCATATACGGACTCTTCTTTTACTTTTGCAATGCATATTGGCACGAACTTAGATCAAGATCTATTGGCAGATGTTGTTTTTTTTGTTTTTGAAAGTTTATTTTCGTCTTCATGTCAACAATGCAAGATAAAATTGTCGGTAAGATCGATCGAGATTCAATTGTATTGAAATTACCGACCAATTATTCGCACACATACGGTATCCTCCATCGCTCAAACCATTTTTTAACATGTAAACCTATGGGGTAACCATGGAGACTGACCTATTTTTTTAATAACCATGGTTATTAAAAATATTAAATGTTTTAAGCATGGTTACCGGGAATTTTACAGGAACAGTTGAAGTTTATGAATGCAATTTCGACCAATCAGATGGCTGGATTACTTAAGTGAGGTATATAATTTAAGTTATGTTTGGATAAATGTTCTCTATTGATAAAATATAGAAAGCATTGGTAATCTGTTTGCTCTTACTCTAAAAATGTCAGCCTCTGTATAAAACTTCAATGTTTATCGTGCCAAATATTTAAACGATTCCCTCACACATTGGAAGCCGTTTTATCCTTGGTCCTTTCAGAGCACTCTCTTTTCAACATCATCACTGTTGTATAAGATTGTCTAAATCTAAAAATATACTTGTTTAGTTCTTAAAGGTATAAACCAGTTTTGGAAACGCCCCCTCTCAAAAATGAAATGGAAGCTCTTATTACCAGTCATGTGAACGAATATGTTTTGACTAATACATGATGATACAAATTTTGCCGGGAACCACCTACTAATTGATATATTTGGTAAATTATTAAATCTATCTGGACTGAATAGATATCGCGTAGTCCCGTATACATCTTTCTATGTACAGTGCTTGTGACTTTACCAAGACCAGGCCAAATTTCCTATCATTTTGATGATTCTAGAACCTTGCACTACACACCAATACTTATATGCTAGATAATCAACCTTTTCTGATCAATTCCACAAAGTTTCTTTCACAATACAATCGCATGACCAGAACTGGTCCATACCTTTAATTTTAACTTTTTTTTCCTTCTTTCAGATGTTATCCCACATGAGTCGTGTAGAGCATGAGTTAATGAGGAGGAAGTCCCCTCAGAGTGGGACGTACTGTACAAACCTGTGTCTGACCATCGTAGCCGTGCTGCGTCGCTTCCAGGCATGTTTGCTGGTGTTCCCTGAACAGACAGCCACAGTCTTTGAACTGTAAGTTGGTTCCAACATTCCTGTAATCAGGCCTAATTTTTTTCTTCTCGATTATACACCTTCCCCCCCCCCCCCCATTTCCCCCTTATTTTCCCTATGTTCCCCCAATTTTTTTGCTCATAAGGTGGGAATGTTGTTAGATGCCATTTTTTTTTGGTTGAGGAAAAAAAAAACCCTATTTTTTCTTTAGTGCTCACTATCAACCCTGTGTAATTTAATGGATTGGATAAATGGCATGTGGAGAAAAATTATCTTATTCTATGAAAACTGTTAATTCATTGATATAGTAAACAATTGCAAATATAAAATATATAGTAGTCATAGAACTGTTGTGATATAAAGCTTTGTGATCTTGTCAATTTGTCAATTTTCCACTCACTGTTTTTGTTTTGTTTTGTGTGTGTCATTCAGTCCATAGCAACATTGTCTTGATTCTAAACAGCTTTTCCTAAATCCAGAATGTTTAGCTGTGAGCAAAAAGAAAATAACAAGGCAGAAAAGAAAGGAGGCAAATGAATCTCGTTAAAAAGCAGTCAAATTTTGTTCGCATACCTTATGAAGAAAAGCATTAAAAAATACATTTAACAGGTGTGAGAGAAAGGCAAACGCAATAATTAGAAATAGTGAAGTTGTTGTTAATGTTTGTAGCATGGCCTTTTGCCATGATTTACAAATGGTTGAAGGAATGCTGTTGCAGTCCTACATGTATACTGTTTGGAGCCAGAAGGGCATTAACTCATATGCTTTAATACAGAGTTAACTCCCTTCTGGCTCTGAACAGATGTTTTGATTCTCTGTATCATCTCTCACAGGTTGTGTGGTGTCGTAAAGCATGTGAGTAACGTGACTAACTGCACATCAGCAGAACGCTGTATCCTGGCCTACCTCTATGACCTCTACACATCATGCAGTCATCTCAAGGTTAGTTTCAATGTATCTCTAGAAACCATCAAACGATCAGGCCTGATAATTACCCGATTTAAAAAAAAAAAATCCTGATTTTTTTCTTCTTTTTTTCCCGATTTTTTTTTTTCTGCCTGATTTTACCCCCATCTTCCCTTATTTTCCCTATTTTTCCCTATTTCTTACTCAAAAGGAGGTGAATGTTGTTAGATGCCAATTTTTTACCCGAATCCCTTTTTAATTTTTTTACTCAAGGTGGGGGTGGTTGAGGAAAAAAATTAAAAATAAAAAATAATAATAATTTAGCGCTCACTATCACCCCTGAACAATAAAAGCATTGAAACAAGTTGCATGTGTTCAGGGCTTGATTCTAGTAGATTTTGTGAAGAGAGGGAGGGGGCGCAAAATTCTGAAAATATCTTTGAAAACGCCTACAAACATAAAAAGGAAAAAAGAAATCATAGTGGACAATTTCTTATCTGTATGCTGTAAGATACTAAAGTGAAAAGTGCATTGTAAATTTTGCCTCAGAAGTTTTTTGGGGCGGTTCACTGCATCATGTGAGAAAGAAACTATTAATTTGCTCTGTACTCCACTTTCATGTGAGGAGACAATGTATTCATGTCAGCTAAGAATTGTGATTATCTAAATTTTCATCAATTAAAATAGAAAGATGTGATGAAATATTTGTAAAAGCTAATTGTACTGTGATGTAGAAATAGACTTGAACATGTGTGGGTTATTTGCAATATCTATTTGAACTACATGTACCTTTAAAGCCCCACTGTCCTACTTGTAGCTACTTGCTCCCTCTATATAGAAAACTTCCCCAATCGGTGCCTGTTGGTCCCCCATGATCCTCTTTTTCTTATGTTAGTTGAGAGCTGAGTTGATGAGATAGCCACCTGTCAGTGACCTGGCTGGACGGTCTAATCCCTTCTGGCCCAGTAGTACTGATGGTTTTTAATAGGTTTAAGTCAAACTACATGTACCGCTGTTCAGCATTGAACTAATCTTTTGTTCTCTCTTTGTTTCAGTCCAAGTTTTCAGACTTGTTCAGCAGCGTGGCTAACAAGGTCAAGCAGGCTCTCTACACCAGCATCACACCCTCTGAATCTAACTCACGCTGGAACCAAGACTTCATGCTAGAGTACATAGATAACCCTAGGTAAAGATGACCATGATGATGATGGTGGTGATGATGATGGTGGTGGTGATGAAAGTGATGATGGTGGCGATGATAGTGATGATGGTGGTGGTGATGATGCTGACGATGGTGGTGATGATGGTGGTGATGGTGATGATGGTGATGATGGTGGTGGTGATGATGATGAGGATGGTGATGAGGATGGTGATGATGATGGTGGAGATAATGATGATGATGGTGATGATGGTGATGATGATGGTGCTGATGATGGTGATGATGATGATGCTGATGGTGATGATGATGATGATGATGATGAAGATGATGATAATGATGATGATGAGGATGAGGATTATGATGATGATAATGATGATGAGGAAGAGGAGGAGGAGGAGGAGGAGGATTATGATGATGAGGATAATGATGATGATGATGATGATGATGATGATCGCAGTCGCACATTGACACTCGTAGCACTCACTCCCTAGTTTCACATAGCTATAAATGTTTGGCATTCTGAGCATCTAATACATTTTCCCTACGAAGTGGGTCATTTACCAAATTTAGATGGAGAGAAATGAGTAGCATGTGTTGAGGAATTTTGAACTTTAATAGCACATGGAAGAAAAATTTCAATAAATGTTGCTAATTTAAATTTCATTCTGGCAGGGATTAATTCTGTGAAATGCTAGAGCGCCGTAATGGCAGCACAGCTTAAGCCGGGGTAATAATCTCAAAGTTTGGAAGCGCTTTAAGTGATTGTAATAAGCGCTGTATAGAACTGAGTATGATTATTATTATTCTTATTTTTATGTCAACCCAGGGGTCGTGAGTTCAAGCAATCCTCGCTGGGACGTCAGCTGAATGATAACCCAGGAGACAGATACAGCTTTGTGTGCAATGCCCTTCTTGCCATCTGCAATGCCAATCCAGAAAAGTAAGTTGAACACCAATCTTCCTAATCACCCAAGCTACTGTTTAGAATTGTGACCAATAGGCTCGAAACCACCAGTGTTTCATACAAAGTCTTTGTCGGCACTTTTGCCTGAGTGGGGAAAAGCAACCTGAATCACCGTACACTTTGGCCTGAATTCACAAAGGAGTTTTAGATTTAACCCATGGTTTAAACCCTCATTTACATAACCCATGGTTTAAAAATTAGCGCAAAATAAGCGTACCTTGCCTTGCCCGCGTGTTTAATATTGGACCTCTGACTTGTGTCGCGCTTATTTTGCGCTTATTTTAAACCATGGGTTATGTAAATGAGGGTTTAAACCATGGGTTATGTAAATGAGGGTTTAAACCATGGGCTATGTAAATGAGGGTTTAAACCATGGGTTATATCTAAACCTCCTTTGTGAATTCGGGCCTTTGGGTCTCTCATCCCGGTATAATTGATTGGGATGTGCCGTTGTGCTATTACCCTGGGTTTTTCACCTTCTCTTTTACAAAGACTGCTTTGGGTTCTAAATGAGCAAAGGGATTGACTCTCCTCCACCTCCGTTAAACATCCTATCCAAGGGACAGCGTGTTTTCTTCTGTAACCTAGGTTGAGTCTATGAAACAGGGAAGGGGAGTAAACACACAACAAGGCTCTTGCAATTGCAGGGGGGTGTTTCACAAAGATCCTAAGTCGAACTTAACTCTAAGTTGGACTTAAGTATTATGGAGAGCCATTTGTAGCCTTGAAATAAAATATATTCAAAAGCAAACATTCAAATATTTTAGACTTTTTATAAATTCCACATCAAAAACATGAAATCTCCTTGATTATAGAAAAATATGAATGATTTTAATCAACATTTTTTGCCTTTTAAAATAACTTTTACAAAATACTTTCATAGATACTAATGGCTATCCATAATTTTTAAGTCTGACTAAGAATCTTTGTGAAACACCCCTCAGATCTGTCACCAGTGTTCCTTAGCATTAAAATGATGACCTTTTCCTCCTTAACCTTTGTTCCATAGGTTGAATAATCTATCTATCATGTGTGCTGAGTTGACTGCTAGCTGCACTACACTGAGTTCCGAGTGGCTAGGAGTACTCAAGGCTCTATGTTGCTCCTCCATACACAGCTGTGGGTTCAACGACCTTCTCTGCAATGTTGATGTAAGCCTTACCTATGTACTTAAAGGGATCCGGTAACTTTGTCTCAGATTCTGAAACAAAATCCTGGATTTAGCTCAAGCTGCAATGATAATTATAAACCTTTAGGTCAGTCAGGAACCCCATTACGTTTACAAGCCGATCGCCTGTCAGATTATCAAGATATGATAGGAAATCGAAACCAAATTTTGCGTTTTCCTAACGGTTTTCATAACACTACAGTCTATTGGGGAAATTAGTACCGGTATGGTTAAACTGGTCACTTAAAGATTTTAATGTTTTTGAGGCACGTCTTGATCATTTTGAAGTGCAATTTTTTTAGGGCTTCAATATTTCACCATATCACAGACACTGATAAAACGTAGGGCTGTGTAACTCAGATTTTACATTGTTAAATGATGCCTTTAAACAAAACAAAACAAAATTGAATATTGTCCCCCAGTCCCCCAGTCCTCATGGCTTTCTTCACCATATATATATATTTTTAGTACATATGCTCCATTGAAGTAGTCTGTAGTTTAACAATTTACATTATAAATTGAGCATCAGAGGGAAAGCACTTTTAGCTCCCTTTCTCTCTTCTTTGGAATACGCTGTTTTCCACCCCAAACATCTGCATTGCAAGTGTCATTGGAATACATGACATTGTAATAGTATTATTATTCTATTTCTTCCTCTAAAAATGAGGTTAGCTTTATAATCCCTCAGTTTTCTTGAGATAAAGTCAAGGGGCAGAGTTTAGATGCCTCATTGACTATCAAAGCAATCAATATTTGTTAATCATTTTGTGAATGGATGTATGTATGAATGTTATTTCCTCACACCAGCATCCATGTTATATTGATAGTAATATTTTTTGTGTGGATTCACTAATATAGAGTAAATGTTTTCAGTTAAATAAAAAAAAATGTTTATATTTATATAAAAATCAATGATTATGAATATAAAATATTCAGAAAATAGTAAGTTAGTAAATACTAAAGTTCATAAAAGATTTTGTGAAATGTCATGCACGCAATATGATACATATTTTATAACCTGGGCAAATTAGGCATGGGGAAATAAGGAAAATGGGGGAATATATAACGCAATTGATAAATAGTGAGGCATTGACGTCTCAAATTGATAACCAAATTGGCAATTTGTGTAGCTAATTTCTAAGTTCCATAGTTTGTCATAAAATTAATAACTTCCTTATTAGTTATCTGATTTTACTCAATTTGTTGTGCTATGTTTCTTTTGTTTTTCTGCATCTATTAAAAGCAAATTATTTTTGGAGTGGACTTGACCTTTAAAAGCTCTTAAATTTTGATGTACAGTCAAACCTATCTACAGCGACCGCCCAAGGGAAACACAAAAAGTGGTCTATGTAGACAAGTTCCTTTAGTACATGTTTCATTGGGAAACCATTTTCAAGGGAAACAAAAAATGTACTTGTTGTAGACAGGTGGTCACTAAAGCAGGTTTGACTTTACAATGTCATGCTCTCTTTTGTTTCTTCAGGTGAGTGATCTATCGATCCATGACAACATTGCAGTCTTCACCGCCATCTTGATCGCTAGGCATTGCTTCTCTCTTGAAGATGTCGTCGACCACGTTGCCCTCGCTTCCCTCATCGCTGCCAATCCTGGCATCTCTGGTAAGCCACAATCTCAAAAGGCACTCTTCTGCCTATAGCTATGTGGGGGTTACAGACCTGCCAACCAGTACAATTTAATCGTATTTAGTACGATTTTTAGAAGTAAATACAACAGTACGATTTTCCTAAAAAAAAAATTGTGTGTGTGTGTGCCATTTTCAATGGCAAAATGCCCATTCTATCCTGTAAAGTATCCTACAAGCATCTCACATTGGCGATTTTGGAATGTTCATTGGTTCATCGAACACAGCAGTCATGATGAAATGATGCATATTCAACCAATGATCCATCAAAAATTTCTTCCTGTATGTAGGCACCGTAAGAGGCATTGATCCATGTTTTAAAAAGAAAATACAACTTTTATTAGTAAAATACAACTTTTGGGATTGAAGAATACAGTTTTGGAACTCCAGAGGTTGGCAGGTCTGAGGTTATTGAGCACAATTACTTCTGTCTCTTTCAACAAACTCTGCAAAAAATTAGGTTTTCCAAGATGAAAATTAAATTAAATTCAGTTTGTAAGTACTATTTTTTCATATCTTCATGTACATGTATGATCTACCCTGGACCGATCCTCGATAATCCATAAACACAAATTCTTTCTTTTACCCATTTACCTCCTTGGTTGAGTTTAGCTAATGTAGAGTAAAAAATCTATAGATTTTTACTTTTCTTACAATAGAAATGATAAAGGCTATAGTGCACATGCAATTCCAGAAGGATCCCTCATCTTTAATTTCGGTTCTGGAAGGCAATAGCAAGAGAGATGTTTTTGCTGAAAGGCCAACAATACTTCACATATAGAGTACCGAAGCTGTGACGTCATACAAATCTTTTTTTAGAATTTCTCAATTTTTTCTTCATTTTCCGAAAGAGCATAAAAATTAATGTCCAAATTTCTTTTTGATGCTGTTTTAAAAAATGAAGAAAAAAAGAGAAATTCTAAAAATAGATTTTTGATGACATCACACTTCACCACTCTATAATGTTGATTAAAGTGATCAGTGACTTTTCACAGGTCTACTCACTGAATCTTGTTTGACTTAGCAGGTGCATCAATAGCCGATCCTGATGCCGAGCCGGGGGCGCGGCTCATGTGCCACCTACTCCTCTGCCTCTTTTGCACCTCTCAAGAGACCCCCACCTTACCCTCCACCGGCTCCTCCAGCACCAGCGGGGGTAATAACCCCAACTCCGCCCCTGGCGAAGGGGAAGAGGCGTTGGAGGAGGAGGAGGGGGTGGAGCGGTTAGATTCATCAAGACAACGTGTGATCGTCATATGCTGGACTCGTCCCATAGCAGCATCACAGTGGATGCTCTGGTTGGGGTCCTGAAGGCTATTCTGCTGCTAGGTCAGTATTGCAAAATTCTCTCCTGTTAACTTTAAGTTTCAAGATTATTTTGTTTCACGTTTCACAAAAAAGAATTCACATAATTGACAAAATCAGAACATAATATGAAATATACTAACGGTATCACATTATATAATCGATTCTTTGTAAAGACGTCAAAATTAATTGTATTGAATAGTTGGTAATACAGGGTGAAATGTGAGGAACCTATTAAAAAGCTCAGCTTGTAGATTATAGGTTCCCATAAATAAAACTAATATTTGATTGAAGTGGTTCCAATGATGAAGGACATAACTTCTCATGCTTTGCATTGTGTACAATTTGGCCCAAGACAGTTTTCCTATGCACTGGCTGGGTTATTTTATACCCATGTTAATTGAAGCTATTTGCAATGTCCAAAGTCTCAAGTTCTCCAAAAAGGTTTTAAACATAACTTGAAATTCAGGGCTTCTGGGTTTCATTGACCACTAGAAACCCAGACATTCAACCCCAAAGTATTACCTTTGTAAACCAAATGGTGATTATAAATCATGAGATTGTTATTGGGCAACTATAAAAGTATTTGACCCAACACCATGCTTGCTGCAGTCATGGTTAAAATTCGACATCAAATATTTAATTTGCTTCATTTTATATTTGCAGTGAGAGAATCATAAATGTGGTAATGAACAGCTCAGTCTAAGAAGTTGGCAATTATTTTTCAATACAATGATAAAACATCTTACTAGAATATAGCTGCAGTTACTGCCTTACCCTTAGGCCTTTAAAAAAAAGATGCTGTATAGCCCTTTGTGACCGAACCAAAAATCTTGACTTTTACAGAGAAAATTAAATA